AAAACAGTAGCAGGATGGATGCCTTGCTGGGCACAGCGAGGGCAATCGCCGCAGCTAGAGGCACTAGGTCAAATGCATGGATTTGGGTTGACCGCTGGGACTTACAATAACAGTCGTCGAGGTCGATCCCGACGCTGATCCCGACGCTGACCCGGTCGGTAGGCCAGGGTTCCCTGGGATGACAGCAGTTCCACTCGTTGAAGACGACACAGTGGGTCCGAAGAAGCTGGGCAAACCCAACAGACGCTGGGTTTGTCGGAATACGGTGTACACATTTTTCTGTCGACATTCGTCGTCAAACAGAATTGAATTGCTGATGAGAGTAGGAGCTGACCAGGAAAGTGTCCCGACCACCCAGCCGGGACTGCCTGAACTGGCTTGTGAGCCAAGCGTCAAGTCGAATATGGCTCCGACGCAAAAAGAGCTGCCTTGCTGAATGGGCCCCAGATTCATATCCTCAGGGCTAATAGGCCAGGCTTTGCTCCGAACGAGAGGGTCACGCTCACGTTGGTAGAGCAGGCTGTTGGATCTCAGTACGTCCACAGGCCAAGACACAGACGACAAGTGCAACGCACGGAACTGGTAGTATCCTTGGCCTATCGAGGCGGAGAGAGGACTTGCCCCATCAACGGCAGCCCAGATCGCTGAAACGGTGCTGCTGGGAGCACCGATCAGGCTCGTTCCAGTGTCAATAGCAGCTGTGACCGAATCTCCCTGTGGTAGAGTGACCGCGTTCCCTTGAACCGTGACGGCTGACATGTCCAAGAGCCAGTATGTCTGTGCCGCACCTGCGGGAGACTGGACGAGATTCTGGAAGTCGATGTCCCCTGTGTACAACGATGCGTTGGTGCCCCCGAGCGTGAATGTCCCCCCTGGCGCATCCCCCGAGCTTAAGGAGCGAAGCAAGTGGAATGACATTTCGGGTGACGACAGTTGATTAGCGTTGATCAGGGCTTGCCAGAAAGGGACAGCCTGCGTCTGCGCTAGGCTCTGGAAGGCCAGACCAATCAGGCCGGAAACTTGACCCTGGATGAGATTCTGCGTAAGCTGCTCTGCCAATACTAGTCGTAAAGCTTCAGATTCAGCTTCTTTCTACAAGAGATGTAGTACGCACAGAACCCCTGCGAGGAAACACTGAGGCTGCCCATGCTAACAGTATCTGTAGCTACAGTTCCGGCCACCTGCCCAGAGCCATAGACGATTTCCACTGATTGGCTGCTTGATTGCAGAAACGACGACGAAGATGAAGACGTGAAGGAGCTGCCCCCGCCACAGCTTAGACACTGTGAGTCCACGACCCAAAGGTCGGAACTTCCGGTGTCCAGTATAACCGAGAAGGTCTGTGGTCTATCCAACAACGTGATTATCAATTTAGCGACAAGGTAAGAAGAACATGTGCTTACGGCGTGCCAATGGAAACACTGCCAATGTAACTCGCGTCGGCTCCCTGGTCGCTGTGAGTGAACGACCCGACGCATCAGCCGCACCGCTTACCTGGTCTTCCATTGAGAAGTCGATCGTGCTACCCCGTCGAATCCTTGAAGACGTGGATGGAAGACCGGTAGCATAGCCATATCTTGACCGCGCAGACGACCCGGCAGCAAAGTGGTCGGTAAGAGTGCGGACTCGATCAGTCCTTCGATTGACAAGCGGGATGTGGATGGGTTCGCTGCAGACCAGGGGCAGCAAAAGCAGAATCACCGGAAGGCTCGCAGGCAAGGAAGGCGAGACCATCATTGTTTGAGCTGGAATGAGGGCGAAAGAGGTGTGTGTAGACGTCTTTATGTGGAGTTGAACTGCGCAGCACCCTGGGATCTTGATGCGCGAGTCCGCCGTAGACCGAATGTAATTTTAGCTTGATCGGTGATCCAGTCCCCCAAGGAAGCGATGTAAGTTCGCAATGCAGTGTAACGAGCTTGATAACCGTAGCGGCAAGAGCGGCAAAAGCCTTAGCAGAGACTGCGACATTCGGACTCCAAGCACCAGATGGGGCGCTCGCCGCTGCTCACAGAATAGTGTAATCCAGATGCGACCCAGCACCCCAAGAGAGCGATGACAGCATTGAAGACAAGGAGGTCGTAGACGGAGATTGGAGTAAGAGCAAAGGAAGAGGAAAGAGCATTTGCCAGGCGGATCAGTCTAGTAGTATGAGTTGGTTCCAGCTGAGATTATGAGTGAGGTTTTTATGTTTGTGTGATTGGCATCAAGTCACAAATAATCATCGTGCTCGCGAACTGCTGCTCTTTGCTAGGACCGGTCGTCCCTCTCGATTGAATCTTGCAGTCCGAGCCCTTGCTCTCTTTCCGCCTCGTCCAGGCCTAATCGACCCGACATTAACGGTGCCGCTCTGAGTCTCTCCGCATCGCTCCCCTTCCACCTGCCGCCACCTGTCATGCAAAGCTTGCGTTGCATCTCTGTCAGTTGGCGGGGGGTCATCTGACACGCAGCGAGGCGCCGCGCCCGCTCGCCAATCATCGAAACGACCGATGGAGCGTTCTAATAACAACCGCATATACTCGTCATGCATAATGGATCCATTCATTCCCCTCCTGATTTCCGGTCACATGGGGACTGTAAGATTGAGACCCGGCGTTTATAAAGCGGGGAAGACGGATCGACAGGTCGAACGGACCCAGTCCAAGTCCGACCACCATCTTCCTGCTCGTAGCTTGCATTCAAGGCTGCTGCAATGCTTCCGCCCGGGATTCTTGCCGTCGTCATCGCCGCGTGTCTAGGGCGTGGAGCGGTGTCTCAGTCGAGTAGTACCGGAAGCGCCCATTCGATCAGCTTCTCTGCATCCCAGAGTTTTCCAACGACAACCGTGTCCCAGGTCGCAGTCGCGACGCTGACTGCCACGCCATCCGGCTCGGCAGGGGCCCTTGTCCCATCTCAAGCTGCTCTTCCCCCCGTTCAAGCCTGGTGTCCTTCAGAGATCTTCTGCGCAGGCTCGGTTCGCACCTAAAACACGCTCGTGGCTTCCCTTCCTGATGGGTATGGTGCAGGTTCTCCAGACGCTCAACCTGGCGGGTATCTTCACGGACCCCAAAACCATCGTCGACAAAGTACGTCGCCCATGTGACCGCGTGAAAATGATCCAAACTTTCCGCAGCCGACTTCGAAAAACAGGAGCACTGTGCTTGCTGATTTTGCGGCGTTGAACAGCAGCGGCACCGCTCTCACGGAGGGCCAAGTCGTGAGCTTTGTGGACGCTGACTTTACCGGCGAAGGACAGGAACTCGAGGCTGTCGTCCTCCCTGGATTCACCACGACCCCAGCTTTCTTAAAGAACGTGACGGATCCGCTCCTCAAGGCATTCTCGCAGACGGTGAATGGCTTCTGGACGCAGCTGGTTAGAGGCACAAATGCCAGCACCCTATGCGACGGGGTGAGATGCGAAAGTTCGCTCATTCCTCTGAATCACACTTTCGTCGTTCCCGGTATGGCTTTCGTTCGACTTTGAAACCTCTGGCTGACACGGTGGATCAGGTGGCCGTTTCCGCGAGCAGTACTATTGGGACTCGTATTGGATTGTGGAGGGCCTCTTGGAGTCCGAGTTGTTCACCATCGTCAATGACACACTCCAAAACTTCATGGACGAGATTGAGCGGTTTGGTTTCATTCCCAACGGGGGGCGAATCTACTGTGAGTTACTCTGTCAGCTGAGAGCGGTCACTCGAGCTCTGCTGCAGATCTCGATCGGTCCCAACCACCGCTCTTCATCCAAATGCTCGCGCGTTACGTATCTGCATCGAACGACACGGGAATCCTGACCAGAGCCCTGCCCATCGCTGAGGTGCGTTTGCTCTTTAATATAGCTTTTGTCGTCTGAATCTCGTAGCGAGAAATCGCTTGGTGGGCGGCCCATCGAACGGTTACCGTGAAGAGCCCGCTCACAAACAAAACACACTCGATGATCCAATACAAAGTGAACAACACTGCCCCACGACCGGAGTCCTACCTGACTGGTAGCGTCTTTGCCCTCGGTCTTCACCGCTCGCGACTAAACGCGAGCCAGATTACTTGACCGTCCACGATCCATCACAACCTTCGCTGAACGCAACGCAGTCTGCTGATCTCTATGCTGAGCTGGCCAGCGGTGCCGAAACAGGCTGGGACTATTCGTCACGATGGATCACGGACACGAGCTCCAATCTGCGCAATTTGAATGTCAGGAAGACGTTACCAGTCGATCTGAACAGCATCATGTGTCAGTCCTTTGTCACTTCGTCGCTATCCTAGGCTAATTCGATCCAGACAAGAACCGTGTGATAATGGCGGACTTGTATAACAAGACCAGAAACGCAACCGCAGCAACGTCTCATCGGGCTGCTGCGGCTACCATCAAAGACGGTATCTTGGACCTGTTTTGGAATGCGACTAAAGTAAGCGCTCTTCCAAGCCCATCATCCGATTTTCACGGTACCTCAGCTTGCATTCTACGATTTCAATCTGGATACGAACGCCCAAAACAATGTCTTTACGATGGCCGCGTTCTATCCGTACTGGAGCGGCATCATTCCGGCGGAGATTGCGCGTAACAGCTCGAACGCGTTCGGTGCCTTTGCGGCTGTGAATATGGTGCTCAATAGATACAATGGGACAATGCCCGTCTCGTTCATCGAGACCGGGTTACAGTGGTGTGTTTTCGATGCGCCATGCTCGAATGTTCTCTTGTTTAATCAAGCGATAGGGATGCTCCCAACGCATGGCCGCCGCATCAATATATCGTTCTTCAAGCACTGGCCGCCTTGCCCTCGAATGTGTCTCAGGGGTCTATCCCCACTCCAGCTGCGGGGCAGAACACGTTCTCGCTCATCCCCGCTGGCCAACTGGGCCTGTCAGAATCGGCCCTTCCGCTGCAGAATTACAACGCGACTGTCAATGTCACTTCGTCTGGCCCCGTTGCAGATCTAAATGCGCTAAATGGCACTGTCTTCAATGGAGGCAACGCGACGGGCGGGGGCTGGGCCGAGGCCCTGCGAGTGCAGCTTGCCAATCGCTACTTCGCCAGTGCTTTGTGCAGTTGGTGAGTATCATCTGTCCAGGGTGTCCTTGCGCTTATTCTGGCATAGGCATGCGACCGGGGGCTCCATCCCCGGAGTGCTGCCGCGCTTGTCGGACTCGGAGTTGAATGTCACTCAAAGTGTCAATAACACAGGCAACGTTCGTTTCAATATCTCTGCCTCTGATGTAGTCTCACCCCGTCCCCTGAAGATGTTTGAAAAGTTCTCAATCTCGGACATCGACTCTGCTGGTCGCGGAGGGGAGTATGTCGTGCAGGCCGGCTTTGGCTGGACAAACGGAGTCGTACTGTGGATTGCGAGCAACTATGGGTCCTCGCTTGTGGCCCCACAATGCCCTCCAGTAACACAAATTGCGGCTGCAAGCCCAGCGAGTGCCAGCCCTAGTGGCACATCGACTGCATCTTCACTATCGGCGACGCCGGCTGCAGCTTCGGCAACTCCCACTACCGGAGGCTCTTTCAACGTTCAAGTATCGGGATTGGGGTCTCTGCTTTCCTTGGCAACTGTGCTCGTGATGTACGCATTTGTATAGCAAATTTGTAACTGTAGCCCTGTGCTGTTCGGACACTGTAACTTGGCACGTGTTGATGCGCTCCCTTACACTTCAATCAATCAAGCTAGTTATGTAATCAACCAGCCCTGTCACCGTTCTCTGAAGCTCTCTCCCTTGTTCCTAGAGCAGTGCGAACACTTCGGTGGTTGCATGGTCTACCGTGACCATCTCCCTTCTTTGCCGCTTCCAATCAGGGTCAGAGGCGTGTATGTCACATTTCTTTGTACAACCCGAGAACAATAGGCACCATTGTTCATTGTTCTCAATCCATGCACATGCCGTCTGTCATCGCTTTTGTGAACTATAAGAGTGTTCGAGCGACAACGTGCCCCTCCACTACTTTCTAGATTCTTCCTTTTACGCCCGACACTCACTCGCTCCCGGTCGAGCCTTTCACGACTGTTCTGTCTTTTCTTACGACTCTCGACGTCCACACGTTTCAACTCCCACACAACCACTTAATACTCACCTGCACGCCTTAACGCAATGCTTCTTACCTCTATTCTGAGCGTCGCTCTTCTACTTTTACTCCCGCGGAAACACGACCGCTTCGCACGCGCCAGGCCGCAACCGAGGGACTGATTTCGGTTCCTTTGCGCCGCGTGGAACGGAATCCGAGCCTGCATCCTGAGATCGTGCGTTCTCGGTTCTCTCTTGACCGAGTCTCTTTGACTGAGGTCTGTGCAGCGGCATCAAATTGACCTGAACCATGCGACGCGCATTGCTGCTAGAGCCGCAGGTCTTCCTAATCCCCCGCAACACGAGCTGCTGGCCAACCTTCATCGCCGCGCAGAACACATCCAGGCCCAACGCAAACGCTACAGCGTCCTCCCGGCCGGATTTGACGGGTCCGTCCCCGAATTCAGCTCAGGTGCAGGGAACCAGCTGGTGGCGGCCCAATCCTTCCAACCGTGGGTACCTGCTGTTCTATCGATGATGCTCTATTCATTTGTGTTCGCCAGTGCTTCGAATACGCCTGCCGTCCTGACCAATGACTCTTCAGAGGTCGATTCCGAGTGAGTGTCTCTTCTGCAATCGTCAACATGGTCTCATCTGCTATCTTAAAGTGGCGCCGACACATCCTTTGTGATGATCTTGTCCATCGGCAGTCCCTCGCAAGACTACAAGGTTATCGTCGATTCTGGATCGTGTAAGTTTTCCCTTGCTGATACCTGAGTGTCGACGAGGCTCAATTGTTGCAGCGGTTCTCTGGTTGAAGTCGGGCAACCATTGTGTTTCACAGGACAATCAGGGGAACCCTCAGGGCTGCGTACGTTTCTCCGACTGAAACCCTTCGTTCGTTACTGAGCGGCAATGTAACAGGGCAACCACAAATTCCTCGATTCCTCGACATCTAGCAGCCTCATCTCACTTAACGATCCGTTCAACATCGTCTACGGCTCTGGCTCCGCGAGCGGTTCTCTTGTCAACGACACTGTGGTGTTTGGTGGAATACTTTTGAGCAACTACACTTTCGGACTGGCGGACAAGATCAGCAACTCCTTTGCGTCGGATGCTGTCGCTGACGGGCTAATGGGCACAGCCAAATCTGTGAGTTCTTTGGCACGCTTGAGACGCATGCGCTCATATGAGTGTCAGGGATTGGTAGCCTCCGCAGTGGCCGATCCGACCAAGCTGCCGACGCCCATCGAGGCATTGGTCAATTCCGGCACGATCTCTCAGGGCATCGCGTCCTATGCTCTGCCGCGGTTGGTGGATGATCCCAATGGCGGAGAGATCACTTTCGGCGGCATGGATCCCAGCAAATTCGACGCCAGCACAGCCGTCACCGTCAAATCCTCCGATACCTCTGCTTTCTGGGTCGCTCAGATGGATGGGGTGACGGTGAACGGCGCGACGATCCCCCTCAGCCACAGCGCCGCCATTCTGGACACGGGCACGACGATCGCGGTGTTCCCGACGGCCGACGCCGCTGCGATTCATGCGCAGATCCCAGGCGCTGTGTTCAGCGAGGCCACCGGGTCGGGGACTATCCCGTGCAACACGACTGCGACTGTGGCGGTCCAATTCGGGGGCAAGTCGTTCCCGATCGACGCCAAGGACCTGCTCTTTGCGTCGTTCGGCAAGAAGACTGGCGACTGCACCTCGGGGATCGGCGGCTTCAACCAAACGCAAGCGCTCCTTGGCGGCACGTTCCTCAAGAGCGTGTACATGTCCACCAACATCGACGACAATTCCATCACACTCGCTCAGCGGATTTAACATCCGCGGACTTTCTGACGACTTTTACGGACTTTCTTTTGCCTCATGGACCACGCATTTGTAGCTAGACGCAATCTTTAATCCTGTATTGTTAGCACCTAATTGAATTAGTGTATCGTTTCCCTCAGCTGTTCGCTACCGCTTCTGATCTGTGATCTTCGCATATGGTTTTCCCACGCCATCTTGATGTCGGCGTCAACGTCGAATCCTCCTGTGCCCCTTGATGTTTCCCCACAAGAGCACCCAAAGACGACACCTTTGAAGCGAAAGCGCTCGGACTCCAGCTTGTCTCAACTGGATGCAGGTCCCCTCAAGAGGAAGCTCCCGGCCCCGACACGGGGAAGTCGTATTCGGGACGACACATACTATTTCGACGATGGCAGCTGTATAATTCTAGTGCAGAACACACTATTCAATGTGCGCACGAGCTGGCACTCCCTATGAACGGTCGTTGACGCTTGGCATTGCAGGTGCACCGGACCATCCTGTCGAAAGGTACGTGACTCTACACCAGGAGATCAGTCTACTCTAATCTGCGGCCAGATTCTTCCTCCTTCCAGGCCATGTTCTCTCTGCCGCAAGGCTCTGACCTGGAGGAGGGACGCTCTGACGAGAACCCCATCGTCCTGACAGGAGATACAGTGGACGAGTTCCGCCACTTCTTTTGGGCGCTGTATGCCTTGTGTGTTCAGTTACTTGTCTGTCTATCCCGCGACTGATGCGCTTCCCAAGACCTCCAGAACTCAGTGTCATCCACTCGGCTGACGCGAATCTCGCACAGCTCATGGACATCACGCGGATTGCTAACAAATACTCGTTCAAGGGGATGGAGACTTGGACGCTGGATGCGATCCAGGAATATGTCAATCGCAAGCCCTCGCCGATCCTCACGGCTATCCCTCCGCCTAATGCATACACCTTCTCTCCTAGCTCAGTGTCTGCGCCGGCAACTTCGTCGGCGGAGAGTACGGCACAGCTGACGCGACTGGTACGGCTGGCGCAGATGTGCAACCACGAGAAACTGCTGTCCACGATGATCCTTCTCCTACGGCAGCTCATGAGCTCCTCAGTGCAGTATGCGTACCTGGCGATGACCCTCGCAGACGAATTGGACCTGCGCGTCTTGCGGGGTGCGGCCTATCTTGAAGTCATGCAGAAAGCGGTGATAGTCAAACGCGCGTCCGTTGATGGACTGCTGAAACCGAAGACGAACACCTCGACTGTGGCACCGACCGTCGGTCCTCCGGGTCTAGGTCTAAGTCTGGGTGCGGGTGCTACTTCCGCCAGCACAGCTTCGTCGAGCACGACGGCCGCTCTGCATGAAGGTGACGTGGATGACGAAGGCCGGCTTGTGATCAACTCCGCACAGCAGCTGCGGCTTCTTGCTGGGTATTACCGGCTAACGCGGACCTGGGAGCATCTGCGCACGAATCCGCCACGTTTCGAGCACGCGCCTGCGTGTGGGGCTACATGGCATCAGAATGGATGCACATCGAGCTGGTTGGATTTCTGGAAAGACAAGACGCGCAGCGACCAGGTGCTGGCGCTTGGGATGGCAGATGTTTTGGGCCGACTGAAGCAGCTGCAAAGGGATCACGAGAGATGGGGCAGTGCAACATATATGCACGGCGAGTGTCGACTGGCTGTGGGTTATTCTCTCATATTCTATGTTTCTTCCCGTTTCTGAAACTCCGAAAAAGGCTAGGAGAAGTATCGCGGAGACAATCAAGGCTGTTGAGGAAGCACTGCCTGATTTCTTCTCTGACGATCCAGATTAGACTGCGGACGTACACTGCCAGGATACATATTATGCGGCTAGATAATACATGGTATGTGCGATTTCGGCCAATGCTTGCAGTATGTCACTTGCGGCTCTTCCCTTTGCCTTTTGTCGCCCGTTTGGCGGGTGTTTTGGACGGCGTGGCCGGCCCGTTGAGCCCTTCGAACTGATACACGCCTTGGACCTGGTTCCACGGCCCATTCGTCATCTGCTGTTGCTCCAGCGTCAAGGATGTGCCCGGCTGAGGCATCATGCTGAGCATGACTGCGTCCACGTCTGTTGGGATAGTGTATTGCTCGATCCCTGCTTGAGAGCCCCGTAACATGGTTTGCTCAAACAACTCGTTATCCTCGATCTCTGTGACTTTGGCGCGGAGTTCTCGAATTATGCGTTCGGAAAGATCTGTTCATTGATCTGTGTCAGTCGTACTTTAAACGCAGATGATGATAGGCAAGCGAAGAGGAAGTGGTTTTCCCATCGGCGAAGGACAGTGCTTGACCTTGCCATTTCATTTGAGAAAACGAACTTCGAAGAAAGAAAGGGATCGTGGTAGAGGGACCATGGAACGGAGGCATACCTCGTTCCTCGCGCGCAGTGCCGGGACGTCGAATGAGTGGCTCCTTGTTGGCAATCTCCTCCTCGTGCAGAGATTGACGCAGTTTGAGCTTCTCCTCCATTTTTCGCTCAAAGGCCCGATCATCGAGCCCATCATCCGAGGTCTGGTCGGGACCATGCACGCTGCCGACTGTGCTGGCGGGGGAAGGGGCACGGACGAGAGGGCTGGCGTACTCGAGGTGGTGAGCTGAACGTGACATTACAGAGAGGAGCCAGGCATAAAGGTCAAGAGAGCGTAACAGCCAGAAATTGTGTGCGCCTAGTTCAAAGACGTTATGGCAGATAGCCGGAAACCGCTGGCACGCGACGATTACGCGTCTGTCACAGTCACACATACATACGCGTCTCTTGCACATTCACTTTGATCATCCATGGACCACTTTCCGACCAACTGGGGGCGACCGGTGCGTATTCTTTGGATCCCAAGTCTTCGGTAATTCAGAAGTGGAATCAGAGGAACGACGCAGTGGATCTTTACGGTACCTACCCGATCCACCAACGACCGAGCAATGCACCCAAGGACGCTTTCTCGGCCGGAATCCAGCACACGCAACAACCCATCGTCACTGGCACCAGTGTGCTTGCTATCAAGTACAAGGATGGAATCATGATGGCTGCGGATAACCTCGGTGCGCGCCATGACCCTCCCCAGTTGTGCGGTAGTGTAATCTCTGTCCCTCTTCTAGCGTCGTACGGCTCGCTCGCCCGATTCCGTGATATCCAGCGACTGGTCCCTGTTGGGAACTACACCGTCCTGGGCGCCAGTGGCGATATGAGCGACTTCCAATATATCCAAACCATCCTCGACGAGCTAATGGTGGACGAATTCTCTGCTGCCGATGGACACTCCCTTGGTCCTGCCGAGATCCACAACTATCTCTCTGAGGTCATGTATGCACGCCGCTCGAAGATGAACCCGCTATGGAACTCGTTACTTGTGGGGGGCTTCAAAGATGGCAAACGGTAGGCTCGATGATCCTGTACAAGCAGGCATACTCATCGAAGCCCCAGGTTCTTGGCGTATGTCGATCTGATTGGTACAACCTACACGGCATCCACGCTTGCAACTGGCTACGGCGCTCACATCGCCCAGCCGTTGCTCCGCCGGGCCGTGGAGGGTCGCGAGGAAACATTGACTGAAGATGAAGCTCGCAAAATCTTGGAGCAAAGCATGCAGGTTCTGTATTACCGAGATGCCCGCAGTATCGATCAGGTAGGCCCGCACTTTCTGCTTCGCGATTCGGCGCTAAGCCCTCCGCGCAGTATCAAATTGCGACTATCACTGCTCAAGGGGTAGACATCTCTGCGTCCCGCAAATTGGAGACGTATTGGTCATTTGCGGAGGGTATCCGGGGATATGGTTCACAGACGCAGTAAATTGTAATCCCAGGACTCGATATCGTTGAAAACTGATGCGGTCTACTCCAACACTTCACCCTCTTCGAGCTCAGATTCTTGATGCTCCTTGCTCTTCTGTTTCTTGCTCGGTGGTGGTGGTTGTGATGGCCCATCAGCCATTTTGTGCTTTTTCGAGCTCGGCATTGACGGTGGGCCGTTTGTCAAGTCGAAACATGGCTGGTGGCCAGGTGGGACTTGACCGCGGCAAATCATGAAATCGGCCACTCCTTGTTCAAATGCAAGATACACAACGGCCACTTTCGCATCTTGTCGAGATCCATACAGCGGAGGGGCGACATATTGCCGTGTGTCCGTCTCGTGTGGCTCGAGGGTGACACTGAGCGTACATCCATGTCCTGGGCAGATTCAGGACGCGCGGGATATGGGTGGAAATCACGAACGCCGATCACAGTCGTCAAATTGATACTGATATGCCACACGCGCGGATCTCACCGATGTGTACTTGCTCAAGAAGGCATAGGCCGTCTTGGACACAAAGCTGCGAGCCGCTTCTGGGACGGCAGTGACTGCTGCTGGTGAGCCCGAACGAAACTCACGCAGGACATTGCCCAATCCCTGGGAAAGGGCGAGGAGGGCGACTGCGGCCCGCGCTTCCTTGTACGTGGGACATCGGGGCTCTAGAAGATACGACCAGGACTTGGCTGCACGCGTCAGACGAATGAGAGCCCCGTACACTTTGATGCACCAGTTATCAATGTGTTGGATGGTGGCGGCGGACATACATACGTTGGCCAGACTGCAGGCGGTAGTAAGTGCAGAGCGCATTTGAGCCACAGCGAGACGCGAGCTTCGAGAGCAGCCCCTGACCATCGATCATCCCCGCGATTTTGCTCGAGAATTCTTCCGCACTGGGCCTAGCGAAGGACTCGAAGAAATTCTGGAGGTTCCATCGCGAGCCTGACTGGAGTGATGCGGGTAGGGACATGGGACACGACCGCGGTTCTATCTGCCCGTCGCCGTGCTGGATAAAATGGAGAGCGCCGTTCGCGATGGCGTTCCGAGCGCAGTGTGTTTTAGCGGACTGCAGATCTGCGTAATCCAGCTGGCTGGAGTAAACTCGGTAGCAGTGCGGAGTCAGTTCGATTTTCAGTGCACAACCACATACTGGAAGACGATCAGTCTCGGGCAAGATGGATTAATCAGTCTGTACACGCACAACCAGGGACAGAGACCTCATCGAAGCGAAACCAAAGCAGGTGGCTTGCGTCACCTCTCCAGATCCTCCAGCACTCTTCAAGCGTCTCTACAGCTTCCAACTCATCGGACGATGCGGTCGAGCCGTGTTCGAGACCCTCGTCGGTGTTCGATTTGAGCTTGAGAATCTCGTTCTCTCCAAAAAGGATGAAGTCAAGTGCACCGTCCTTGATGGCAGAATCTGCCGCTCCTTCGACGGCATCTTCGCTGTCTGGGAACGGTTCTGATTTGTACGACCGCGAAGGCCCTCCCGGTAGCTGGATGGTGAGGACGCATTGTCGATCCACCGCTGAATTAGCTGTGAGCTCTGATCGAAAGCACCCGCTGTAAGAAGGTGATGGATGGAACGAACCCGAGTGTTGCAAGAACTCGGTCTTCAAGACATCATGCGATTTTCCAAATTGGCGAAGGCAGGCTGTGGTAAGTACGAGGAGATTTGAGTCAGAGTCATGTCGCCTCGCAGGCTGGCCGTCCGGTTGTGAAGTGGAAATATTTTTCAGGCCAAATGACGCGAATTGGTGGATGGGGAGAGCACCGATCGACAAGAGCCTCCGATGAATCAGATCGGATGTTTCTTCGGGCAGATGATTCATTCAGAGCGCTCTGAATCCGAGCCGGGATGCCCTACAGACTCGGAAAGTAAGCTGCAGGGATTTCATGTTCGGGCTTTGCCCAATTGGGTCTTGCAATCAGCGATCTGTTCGGAGCAGATTTCAGTATTCGATGGATCGGGCGTGTCTTGATCGAGGTGGAGTCTTTGGTCTTTGTTGGACTTTAATTGGTTGTGAGTTACGTAACATTCATTCTGTGCCGTCTGGTCAGTCGCAGGTTCCAGCGGCTTGCGGCGCCGGTGAATGGAGGGTGTATGGTTGAAGGTTCGTTGTGCGGCTTAATCTCGGGCTGTAGGCGGATGAAAAAGACGAATCCAGCAGCACATCACTGCATCAATTGTTTCTTCCAAAACCACAAATGCTGCTCCACGCGATCAAAATCCGCTCAAATCTATTAAAAACTGCCGGATCGTCCATCTTGACACTGTCTGACTCACCTGGTGTATTCCGGCCGCAATGACGCGTCCCTCCTCATATCAACACCACGACTTTACATAAGCAAATTTGCAGACGGATGAAACAGAGAACCGCACATGCATGGCTTTTCACTCGAGGCCAAGGCTGCGATTCGCAGAAAGCTAAAAGATCGCCCAGACGGCATCCCCGAGGCTGCATTTGCACCCATTTACGGCACCGATCTCTGATCCGTATCCTCAAATTTGGTCATCAGAAAAGATTACCAAGACCCTCCTAACAAGATCGACGTTCAACATGCTCACCAATACGATGATTCATCCAATCGCGGTTAAAAAATATAAAGGCGCCATTCCTGGTCGCTAATCAGCACGTTCAGTCCTTCCCCTTCCTCCCCCCCACTCTAAAAACGACGCTATCATGGTTTGGGATCTTTTCCGCGACGCGGCCGTTGGGCAAATCGTCAACCGCCTCTCCAATGGCCGCCTGTTCCCATACCCAGAGCAGCGGCCTGATTTCGTCGTCCCCGCGAGATACCTCCTTCCTGAGCATCGGCCCGCGAAACAGACCGTGTATCCCGCATCAGATGCAGCAACACTGAGTGAAGAGGCACGCCCCCCTCGTGCTGCGCCGAAGCCCGACACAGAACTCAAGCGCGAGTCGACCTTCGTCACGCTCCAGGGCGATGTCGAGGAACAGAAGAAGGGTGTCGAGGATGTCTCGGAATTGCCGGACCCCTTTCTCGTTGGCTGGTATGGCGATGATGACCCTGAAAATCCCAGGTCGGTCGTCACCGCCCCGCTCTAACCGACGTATGTGCTAAATGTTCCTAGAAATTGGACTTTCCGCAAACGAGCCTTTGTCGCCTTTGAGATCAGTCTGCTCACCTTCAGCATCTACGTCGGCTCTGCGATCTACACGCCATCGATCCCCGGCATCATCGCCGAATTTAATGTGTCTTTGGTCGTGGCCACTCTGGGATTGACTCTCTATATCGTCGGTCAGTCTTCGCCGACTGAACGCCTATCGTCTCTTCTGATCAAATGTTCTCTTCCAGGATATGCTATCGGGCCCATGTTCCTTGCACCACTGCAGGAACTGCCGATTTTCGGTCGAAATCCCGTCTACCTTATCGGCCTGTTCCTGTTCGTCGTCCTGCAAGTTCCACTCGCTGCGGCCAAGAACATTCAAACGATTCTGGTTCTGCGATTTTTGACGGGCTTCCTCGGCAGCCCCGCGTTGGCGACTGGGGTGCGCTTCTCATTCCTTCTACAAGGTGTTGTCCTGACGCTGCTCTCAGGGTGCATCGATGGGGGACATCTTCCCTGGACCACAAATGCCCTATGTCATTGGGATTTGGGCCTTGGGCGCCGTCGCCGGGCCCATCACGGGCCCGGTCATTGGTGGATTCGCCGCACAAGCTGAATCGTGGCGATGGCCAATGTGGGAATTGCTCTGGGTCACCGGTTTCTCAGTGATCTTTTTGACCCTGCTGTTGCCCGAGACGTACGAGGCGACGATCCTGGTCAGACGTGCGGAACGGCTCAGAAAGCTCACCGGCAACATGGAGCTGCGCACAGCCGGCGAGCGGGAGGAAGAGACGAAGACCAAAGGCGACATCGCGTACGAGGCGTTGGTTCGTCCTCTGATCCTGATCACCGAGCCGGCCCTTGCCTTCTCGAGTATCTATCTGGGCTTTGTTTGTATGCATCAGACTTTTTCCGCAGTCACATCGTCTCACCGCGTTGCAGATGCGATCTTCTATCTCTGGTTTGAAGCGTTCCCACTGGTCTTCACGGACATCTACCATTTCAATCTCGGACTGAGCGGTCTCCCCTTCCTCAGTTTCATCGTGTCCGGTGGTCTCACAGTACGCGCCTTTCGCCTCCTTCCTTTCGAGCTGGCTGACCATCTTTTGTCCAGTACACTGTTTACTGCTTGTATCAGCTGTACCACATCACCCCACGGTTTGCGAGAGGGATCGAAGCGGGGAAACCTGTTCCTCCTGAAATACGCCTGGAAATCGGGCTGATGGGGAGCATCTTTATCCCGACCAGCGTCCTGATCTTCGGATTCTGCTCCAAACCCAGCATCCACTGGATCGTGCCTGTCATCGGCGCAGCACTCTACCTGCCGGGCATCTTCCTCAACTTCCAGAGCATCCTGATATATATTACCGGGGCGTATCCTAAGCACGCCGCCTCGGTCCTGGCCGGGAACGATCTGCTACGGTCTATCATCGCCAGCGTCTTCCCGTCAGTCTTGTGTTTCTTATCTTTGCACGGCAATGTGCTGACCGTTCGACAGACTGTTTGGACGAATTTACTTCACGAATTTGGGTCTAGGGCCCGGCTCTGGTCTGCTCGCCGGCCTCTCGTTCCTTTTGATGATTGTGTTCTATCTTCTGCTGCGCTATGGCCACATCCTACGCAAACGGTCCAAGTACGCCATGGCCGGTTAATTCCTACGCTAGCGCCACGTTTAATTGGGGAGGATTCATGCACATCTGTATCATGCTACTCGTAGACATCATCAATTCATGTAACAACACATCTAGACTACATACACTGACAGCACTGTCAAATACTCCGGACCAAGTTTCAGTCTGAGTCGTAGTCCGCTTCATCCAAGACCTCCTTTACGAATTCGTCGGCGCGAGTGTTTTCCTCACGGGGAATCCAGTTGAAGTAAACCGAGCAGGAGTATTCGTCCTCGAGCTCATCCACGAGATCAGACGCTTCTATAATAAGATCGCGGTTCGCAACCGGCAGACCTGCCTCGTCGTCCAAGCCATGTTGCACAGACCGAGAACAGACCACACGTACCGCGAGAATTGATCCAGCCACGGTCTTTCCAGCCCTCCAACCAGTCGACCATGCACCCCACGGCATATCTCGAATCGGTGTTCACAATAAGCTCGTAGAATCTCCCTTTCTTCCCTCCTCTTTGTTTGGCGCTGAGCGCTGTTTCGAGGGCCAGAACGATGCCCGTCAACTCTGCACCTGGTTCGTCGGAGTTTCAGTCTGAGAGCCGTGCGAGACACGGGAAGGAGGTCCTGACGTTGGCTTGTCGGGCGCGGGTCAGAGTATCGGGGTAAGATTCGACGCTTGCGGCGGCCCAGAGGCCAGCTAAACATTGCCACAGCAGCTCCTATGGCATCGTCGTACCCGTTCCCCCTGCATGCGCCATCCGTCCAAACCCTCAGACCTCGGGTCATCGTTGAAGAAGGAAAGGGGAGTGCGACGCGCCAAGCGCCACCAACACCAGCGGTCCCAATTAGGCAAATATAGTTCCCAGAAAAGTTCTATATGTGCATGACTATATTTACAGGTGGTGGTAATGGGATGCATGCTGTGCACTAGGATATGTTCCAAAAACGAAAGTGATGCGAAATGGCCGTCAAGACAGATCAAGCAAATAGGTCCTCTACCAGCCCCATTCATCGTCCTCCTCCTGCTTTAGTGCCTGAGCAGCGCCCGTGTTTCCTCCAGGCTCCTTTCGGATTCGGGTTGACAGGGGAGTCTTTGGTGTCGGCTGGAGCGTCGCGGAAGGGATCAGTGTGGGAGTCAGCGCCGGGGCATCGAAATCGTTGTCAGCGTCCAGCAGCGAGCGGGCCGAAGGGGCCGGCGAGGGGGACTTTGATGGTGGCGGAAACGCTTGTGGCGAAGATGGTGGCGATGTAACTTGCAAAGCTAATGCGATGTCAGAGAAGAGGAGCGACGCCCGTTTGCTGTTCTTTGCGAAACTGTCCCACCGCAGTGAGCCACCGATATCAGAACAAGTCACACCTCACTCACCCTGGGGTCCCAGTCAGCTCCTCCCACTTTTTCCCGACATTGCCCACCCAGGCGCTCATCGGCGCCACTGTATTGGTGCTGGCAAGCCCATCGACCAGTGAAGCGAGGGTTTGCGGTTTTTGCGGTTTCTGGTTGGATGTGCTAGTACGATAAGGCCCGGAGGTGATTGTTGTTGAACCTGCTAGGGCTGCAGCAGCGAAAAATTCAGCTTCAGCCTCAGCGCTGGAATCAGATGTGTGTTCTCTCTGTCTTGATACTCGATCGCTGCTTGGCCCCGTCCGTCCCGGCGAGCCGCCATTCGCTGGTCGACCTGAGGCTCCTCTGGCGCCGAACATCGGGTTAGGGCTAACGACGGGAGTTGCACCGGTATCCTGGACCATAAGTATCTGGCCGCCGTCGTCCTCTGCAACATCCAGATCTCCCCAAGGATCATCGTCGTGGTCAGCTCCACCTGTCCAGCCAGCCTCTCCGTCACCATCCGCAAACGAGCCCCATGCGTCTTCGTCGCACTGCTCTGAAGACGTCTCTCCGAGAGAGGGCGTCGTTTCCTCCTCGATACTTGATGCACTCGATTGCGACAGTCTCGTCGAACTGTTGAATCGGGACGTTGTAGAACTGCTCGCGTTTGTGCTGGTGCTTGAACGCGCCGAGTGCATTTTCCCACTGGTGCTTCGCTGAAGGGCGGGTGGTTCCGGACGGAGTGGACTGGCGGCATTGGGGCCGAAATAAGAGGGGGCAGGTGGGCTGAAGGGAACTGCCGGTAAAGAAGCCGCAATCAAGCGCCCGACACCCTCCATTCCTGCGCGAACTCCTTGCACACCAGCGCGAACGCCGTCAAAAACAGCGGCACCGTTAGCCGAGGTAGGAAGATCGCTGCCAGATGTCAACGACGTATTTGCCGACGATGGGGTTGACAAGGTCGGAGCCAGATTCGAAGAAGGGGCCGTAGCGACCGTAGCATTGGAAGAAGGAAGAGACGGGGTACTAGGGTTATGAGGGGAGATGAACCCTCGCGAAACGATCCGTTCCCACTTGCGCTTCACTGTGAAAATTGAGACCAGGCTTCAGCGGGACAGGAAGAACGGCGAACATTGGAGCAGTTCCGCTTCGTGCACGGATAGCTGCGAACGCATTTCTAAGCATTTGGACTCCTTCTGGGCGATGAAATGCAAAAGATCGGCGTGCCTATCAATGAGGTTGAGAATCAAAAGCTAGAATGCACACGTCCGAAACGGGGATTATGCGTTCCAAATGGACTACGAACGCACACATAAACTGATATCGTGAGAATGAGGCTCACTTTTCAGCTAACGTGGTGGGCGCCCGTTCAACTGTGGGTGTTCTTCGGTCGCGCTCCCCTCCAACCGAACTACTCCGCGCAAGTGGCCGCGCATGCCGTGAGGTTGGAGTGGGCGGGTTGTATATGATTGAAGATGGACGCCGCTTGTGGGGCGGCCGTCCCTGGACTCCTGGCCGTGGACTCCCAGCCAGCGGGCTTGGTGGGATGGAATACGAAGCAGATGCGGAAAGAGGCGAGGGCGAAGGTGTGGCGCCATTAGCAAGTTGGAGTGGACGCGGCACGACGGGCATGGAATGCCGCTTGTAGTTGGACGCCATTGAAGGAGAAGGAGTAAAGAAAGAGCAAAATTGGAGTAAGGGGCTCCGTCCAAGTTATGGCTTGCATCAACTGTGGACTCGGCAGGGAAATGTTCGTGATTCATCGCTTTCCTTCTTTCCATCACCAGCTCACGCCAGTGCTCCTGTTATTCCTATGTCTGCTGTTGACCAGCAATACACCCTTGACCACAACTCACCCCTCACAACTCTTGTTCGTAAGACTTCGAGCCGGCAGCCCAAGCAGCAACTGCAACGCCTTCAGCCGACCCAAGGCAACAGCCGCGAGCGCCTCCAGATTGATACCCTCCAAGAACCTTATCAAGCAGCGCATCTGCCTGTCTCTCCCTTACTGCATGGCACTTTCAATCGACAATCTAGCGCGACTTGGGCCGAGTCCTCCTACGGCGACAATGACAGGAATTCATACATGGACTTTGCGAGAGACGGAGACGGCCCGGAACTGGGCTATGGCTATGGAGGGTTCGAGAACCACAGTCCATCCCATACTTTCTCCAGTACTCCGACCCTGAAGGGCTCTTGGCAATCTGGCAGTGATGCCCATACCGTTCCCGGAGGTGCTACACCTGAGCCACAACAGACATGGGGAGGGATACCAGCTGTATATGTGTCAGAGCATCCAACCGAACAGAGTGTCCCTGGTTATTCTCCGTACGAAGCTGGCAAAGCAGCGTTCGCACAGCCGAGCACGCCCAACTTCACGCTTCCTGCTCACTCTGCGGCCGAGGTGGGAGTTCCCGAGGCTTGGGAAACCGAGCAGAAACGGCGTGTGTTGGAGCGCAACGCCAGCCGACGAAACGCAGCGAAAGCGGTGTCCTCTGACACTGCCCACGCTTCGCGGCAGCCCATCTCCTATGATCGCAACGCCCGCCCCAAGAGCGCTACTTCATCAGTGTACAGCCGAGAGTCTGCTGCGATGTCACAACATATAAACAGCACTCAATTATCACCTGTGACTCCTGACTCAGATCCCAGCCACCTTACGGGACGACCTCCTTCATTACGACCAGGCTCGCCTGTGAGTCTGTACTCACAGTACTCTTATTACCAACTGGACAGCGCGAGTCCTTCTCCAACGGCGGACAAACGGTTCCCACCTCCTTCACCCATGCAAAGTGGGCCTAAGCGCGTTGCTTTCTCATCGGTCCCTTCGTCTCCGGCGCCGTCTTCACGCTCACCTGCTGGCTCCCAAACAGCCCAAGACTTTCTCCAACTCGGGATCCAGCACCACGAAGCCGACCGGCTTCCCGAAAGTGCCATCGCGTTTGAGCGCGCAGCAACGGTTGATGGCGGCTGTGGCGTGGGGATGCTGATGTGGGGTCTCGCCCAGCGCCATGGCTGGGGCTGCAAGAAGAACGAGAAAGCTGCTTTCAAGTGGTTACGGCGGGCTGCAGAAAACGCCGTGGACGATCTCGAGGCCGCCCGCTCTGGTGGACCCATCAACGAGAGCGCAGTCCAGTCTGAGCTTGTCTTGGCCGTTTACGAGGTCGGCCAGTGTTTCTTCCATGGCTGGGGCGTCCCCAAGGACCAAAAGATGGGATTCAGTTACTACAGTGTGGCTGCCAGAATGGGCGATGCCGACGCTCAGATGGATCTGGGATTCTGTCTCGCGAACGGCAAAGGCGCCAAGAAAGATCGGAAGGAAGCAGCAAAATGGTATCGTGCTGCGGTTGGTCCTCCTGCTGCATCTTCGACCTCTCTTCTCATCACTTTCCAGGTGAAGCAAGGCCAGAGCGACGTCGGCCTCGCGTGGATATACAAAGAGAAGTTTCTTTAACACATCATCCATCATCTTGCATCATTCATTCATTCATGTCCGGACATTTACTTTACTCACTCAAACATATATCCGTCATTGTACAATACGCAGCATCCATTTTACCAGTTGACTATCTCCCCACAACATTCCCATGGCCAAAAAGTCACGGAGGGTGAAAGCAAGTGAATTCTCTAAGAACTTCATGGGTGCGGATGATTTCGGAAGTTGTCGGGCGACGTCGTGCAATCTTTCTATCCTCCAGACATTTTGTGGTATCCATTCTAATGCTTCGACGCCGCACCAGCACCCTCCTTCTCCGCCTCTGCGATGAATTTGCGGATACTGCCCATCCTAGACCGTCAGTCATCGTCGTGGTTCCGTACGAGCAGGAAAATGCGACGCACAACTCTTCCTCCTCACTGTTTCGGGCGGGACGTGTCAGCATTGAAGCATTCAGAGAGGAGCGAATTTGCGCACCCAGAACCGGCAGAGATAGGGATGGAAGCCTTGGCCTCTTCGACGGACTTGGGTGCAGCCTTGCTGCCGGAAGTCTTCCATACCCCGACGGCAGCGAGGGTGCTGAGAGTGGCCATCGACAGGTACTCCTTAGGGATAGCGCGACCGAAGATAACGCTGTCGGCGTTGTTAATGATGCATGAGGATGCAGACAAGGGCTCGCACTAGGTCATGGTTGTGTAGACGGAGGGTGGATTTTTGATGACGGCGACGTCGGCATGGGCCGGACGTGATGCTACGTTACCCTGTGACATGCAATGGGGATAATTGATCGGCACGCGAAGCAGTCCGTACAGTCGAGCTAGTTAGACAAATGAGAAGTGAGTGCTGGATAATTCATCATCACATGTCTGGGATTGAGAGTGGTGAGGAGGCCAGCCACTTCCAACGCTGGCAGATCCTCCAACCACACTGATTCTCAGACGGGACGCAATCCACAACATGCGCAGGCTTGTCTGAGACACCAGAAATGATACATTTGCGCCATGCGCTCATCATTTCGCAGCTCTCTAGGCCGATCCAGTTCTCAAGAAACCCATCGGTTTTCAATCTCAGGCCCAACTTCGGGGAGAGAGAAGAGACGGAGTTGACCCCACAGACGACCTCCAGAATCTTTTGTACGACACTCTTAGTAAGTCCCTTGCGGCCGGATGTCAAGGTGAGACCCACGGCAGCAGCTGGGAGCCCCGTGTCTGAGATATCCGCAATCTATAAATCTTCACAAGGGTGGACCATCGTTCAATACTTTTGTTTCTTCTTGACACCCATCTTCACCTGTTTCATAACCAAATCCTTTGCTTCACATGCCTAAACACACTCACATTCCCGATCTGACTGGCCGGATTGTGGATTGTGGCCGCTTGAAACTGCTTAGTCGTATCGGATCCGGCTCTTTCGGTGTGGTCTATCGCGCTCTCGACTTGACTTCGCCGGTCAGCAAGCCTCGATACTTTGCGGTCAAGTGCCTTGGGCCGCCTTCTAGGCGGATCTCGCGAGAGCTCGATGCTCATTACGAATGCTCCGAACACCCATCGATTGTCACTCTCCATCGAGACTTCTTCGACAGTGACCTCATCTTTGCTGTGCTCGACTTGATGCAGGGGACGATGATGCAGCATGTCGAACGAGGGCTCACATACGTCAGCGATGCCGCTCTCAAGTCTACATTTCTTCAGATTCTGGATGCTGTCGAGCACATACACGACAACGGTCTTGGTCATCGGGACCTCAAACCGGAGAACATTTTGTGCAGTGAAGATGGTCTGACGGTGAAGATCTGTGATTTTGGAGTCGCGGTGGACTGCGAGCGTGCACATTTGAGCATGGCGGGGTCTCTTCCCTACATGCCACCTGGTTCGTTCCTCGACTCCATTGAAAAGCCAATGAGATGCTGACTGGCTGGTCGAATGCAGAGGTCCTTGAGCTCGGTCCACTGATCAAGTCATATTCGGCTGCTGCTGGCGATGTGTGGGCTTGCTGCATTCTTTTGTTGAACATGATCGGCGGCCGCTGTCCGTGGAAGCAAGCAGACACTGGCGATTTCCAGTTCGCCATGTTCCTGGAGGATCCGCTCTACCTGATGGCCACCTTCCGCATCTCAGAACCTCTGTATCGTCTGTTACTTCGCGGACTGCACCAGGATCCCAGGTACCGGCCTTCTGTCACTGAACTTCGCCGCGGAATCAAAAAGATCAAGCATTTCTACAAGAGAGAGCCATCGGATCCTCTTGCTTTCGCTGCCCCTTTCATCTCCAAGATGAAGAAGTTGATTGTCTCAAAGCGCTCGCCGCCGATTGTCAAGCCTGCCGTTGTTGTGCCTGCAGCTGCTTCCAGACCCCCTCCGGTCACCCCGGTCCAGTTGCCTCCTCCGATGTCTCGTGGCGAGCTGTCACTGCGCCCCATGGTCTTCAAGACGGTCTGGAGCACCCCGTACGGCTCGGAGCCCCCTAGCGCTCAGCCGAGCTGGCATCGATCGGACCACGGGAGCTCCTCGCCCGAGTCCGACTGGGTGTCTGTTCTGTCTACGTTCAATTCGCAAGCAGAGGTCGTGTTCGCGCCTGTCGGCAGCGTCGCTATGTCGGCTTGTTCCTCACCTCTTCCTTGGCTCAAAGACGATGTTCCCGCTCCCGTCGCAAAGCTGGCTCTGTTGGCGCCTCCCTCGTTCTCAACCGCATCGAGCAGTGCTCCTTCCCAATCCTCAAGCTCGACTCGTCCTTCATTCGCAAACTCAGAGCTCGTCTCAAAATACTCGACGCACGGATCCGGCCGGTTTGGTCTTTTGCGCAGCTGGCCGCAGCAGAGTGAGTCTGCTTGAGGGCGGGTCGATATGAGATGAGGGGCTCGGCGGCTGAGTTTGGGCGGGTAGGTTATTCTTTTGCTAAATATCCATCATCTAGCGCGTGTTCCCGTCCCGTTGTTCCACTAACACCCCTTAGCTCCTTGTTCTCTCTATCTTCTCTAGCTCGGAGGAAGCTGAGAGTTTGGCCACCCCGATGACGCTTCCAGTGATGAGCCCTCCATGACTCCTCAAAGTTCTCGTCACGGCTTCTAGATCAAGCCCACAGTCGAAAACTGCACCTTAGGCTAAGACCTATCTTTTGACATGACCTAATCCCAGTTTCACGCTTATCTCGCAGACCAAACTCTCTGGATATCGACCCCTCGATCATAATATGCAGATAAGTCAATTCTTCTCTCCACCCAGAGAGGTTGAGAGGCTGGCCATCTCAAGGATATCTCGATGATGGGTCTCTGATTTCCGTCGCGAACCGCATTCCTAACAAGCCGTCTCGTCTAGATCGATGGACCGGCGTACTTATACAATTCGCTCGAAACACTCACGAAAAAGATAAGTCTCCTTTGCTTTCTTTGCCCGGAGGAGACTGAGAGTCTGGCCATCTCAATGACGCTCCAATGATGGGCTCGTTTGTTCGTTTTTTGCGCGCAAAAAGATTGTTCTAACAATAAACGCGCAGGCTGGTCTCCCGCTCGCGACAATTCCCACTCGAAGACCAATAGTCAAAACTGAGTCGCTTCTAACCTTCGCTCTGAGGAGTCTGAAGGGCTGGCCACCCCGATGATGACTCTGATGACGAGCATGTTTTTCGTGCATCGTCGCCCGTTCAAATGACTGACTAGATTTCTGTCAGATTCTTGTGCGAATTCCGCTCATAACGATAAAAAAGTAAGGACTCTGCCCCTCGCGCATCGAAACCGTGCCCGATACTCTTTGCAGACATTCGAGTGTCGGTTTTCTGACTGGATGGGCCGCTGGCATTGGATGCACGAGTGAGATATGGTCCCTGATGCGACGACTCGCCACGCTTGGACTCGCTCGCTGAGATCGACATGGATAATAACTTATATACAGTGAAGTAATTACTGTGCAAGGCAAGTATGACACTGCGCTCTAGTAGTCCTCCACTGACTTTCAGAACAGATCCCAAACCGAAACTCGCGGGAAGACGAGTTTAAGAGACTCGGCGTGATGTTTGGGCGCCTGGATTCTTTTCATCCTCTTGCGGCATACCCTAGTCGAACCCTCGCTTGTAACACCATCCAGAGCGTCCTCACCAAGCTCTAGTACAGTCACATTTGGATGCCGGATGACCACACCCAAAATCGACCCCAACGCGATCCCGCATCTGGCCGTGATCCGTAAGACGTAGAGGTACTCGCGCAGCTCCAGTGCGTCCAAAATGGCGGAATATCGTGCACCCGTCAGCTCTGGATGAGGAATCAACTCCAATGTCGTCTTTTCGCGATTGCCGAGTGTCACCAGCGTCAATTCTCCACCACGAAGCTTTTGGACACGCATCCCGAAATCCTTGCCTCCTTCATGCAACGGATCTCGATAACGCATCGTGCGGTGGGGGGATTTCCCCAAGTCATGTGTGATTCGGCTTTCATCGCACCAGGGTATATGGTGCATCGCGCGGTGTCTCGCGAGCAGGAAGGTTCCAGCATTGTACACGACGCTTGCGACAGCGACTACGGGAACAACTGCGATCAGGAATACGACGGGCAGATCCAGCAGACTGATGCCCATCATCCGGGGTTGCGCGAGGAGAGGGATGTATTCTGTTGGTTGCAAGCGTCGTGATGAAATCTTGAGTCGACCGTTCATCACAAAGACGACGATATCGAGTGCGCTGTGTGGGATGGCGGTGACGATGAACGTCGCTATCTCGCGTGTGGATGCAAACATCTGCATGGTCGGGGGAAGGATAATTTCGTCCAATTGGATCACAGATTTCTCGAATGAACCCAACAAGCGTATGAGCTTTCGTCCGTCCCTATGGCTGTACCCTGGGGGGCTGCCCTGCTCCAGTGAGAGACCACGCAAAGGCGCGAGACCAACCCCGATAGCGATAGCGAGGTGGCTGAAGCCAAGTGTGGTGGTGCTTAGTTTGCCGTTCTGCAGATCCTCATTCGGGAATCCTGTTGCGTGTAGGAAGGGAAGTACGGACAAAAGTCGAAGGCGGGACGAGACCAACATGAGACTAGAAAGGTCCACCGAGCGAAGAAAGGACACTATTTCAGAAAGGAGTTCGTCGGGGAGGTCGAGCAAGGTCATTCTCTCGGACCTCTCTCGGACCAGAGAGTGGGTGAGAATCGAGAGGCGTCGATATACATCTCGGGTCTACGAACATCTGGTCTTCAGGCACGATGTCACTACTCGGAGCTCACCGCCCAAGTCTCGACTCGACCTCTTGCGAGCACTCTCAGTGCGGTTGGGAAAGGTGCATTCCACCCACAACACAATGAAAGGAACAGTCTCTGATTGATCTTCCCACACAGCCTTGGAGTTTGACCTCGTTCAAGTCTGAAGAGATGTGTGGCTCGATTGGCGTTCCGGAGCCAGACTAGGTGAGGCACATCAAGCGCTTATCGAGCAATGAGGTCTCAGAAGAGCGCTAATGCCTGGTAGCGAATACGATCAAGCTGTCGTGGGAAAGTATTTGATGTATGATATCATAATCCCTCACCCCTCCTTCCGTACCAGCTTAATCGTGTATGGGGGGGAAACCACTTCCAGCCCTTCCAGCCATCGGGCATCCACACTCTCATTCAAACTCCAGCTCGGCACTAACGACTCTCTCTATTGATGCACGCGCCCATCGCGGGTTGTTCATCCGGTACATCCTTTCATCGGAACCAGAGGTAGGACTGAAGGAGGGGAAGGACAGTGGAACAAATCAAGGACGGGATGACTCGAACGAGAAAGAAGCATGGGCAGCTGCTCTTGAGGATGCCCTAGACGGCCTCAGCGATGCCGTAACGCGGGGCAAGTGGCTAGCCGGTATCAGGAGGAGGAGGCGACGGACCCCGCAATCACAAGCGCTTTCGAGAACACCTTCCAACGCAGAATCCGACGACTCTAAGGTGCTTGCTGAAAAGGTTGTCTCCAGCAGTGCTACCGCGCGAACCGCGTCGGCATCCTCAAGTCTCTCGTCCTCTTCTCAAGGCACTCCGACCACTCCTGCCGCTCCTGTATCGTTCCCTACAGACGCTGCATCTTCCGCGCTGCATCAGATCCGTGAACTCGTTGCTCAACCTGATATCCCAAACCCGAATCCTGTTCCAAAGCATCTACTGTTATGTGTTGCGCCGCAGGGGCAAACCACGCCTCGCCTTCCAAGAGAGGACGTTGGTTTCGATATCATTCCATCTGCGCACCCGAACGTGGGATGCACCTTTACTGCCGCAGTATTTGTCATGCCTAGGGAAATTGATCATGGCATGGCGACGAACGATTCGGCAACGATACTGTATGGGCTGGCCGAGTGGGATTCTAGTCAGTTACCATTCCTGCTCATTCGACACATTCTCATAGCACACAGCCTCTGTGCAACCAAATACGAAGTTGGTTGGAGGGACTTTCACATTTGCGGGCGTCACGTCGCCGTTGCAACACCACGCATTGAGCAAAGTCCTGAGACTATCAGTCTATATGCATCTTTCTTTAATGCTGGAGCAACATCTTCTATCCAATTCCGGGGTGGCGATTACTTTTCCTGCACCGAAGCCGCGAGTGTCGATAAGCACGGAACCGTCGCCGGCACCTCAGCAGAATTCTCAGACCCCCGAAAGCGTATCTTCTCGCAGCAGCCGCCGTCAGAACAACATTCTTCCGGGCATCCTGTCTTTCTTTTCGAAGAAGAACTCGTTGCATCGAAGTCACTCCATCGCTTCTACTCACCGGAGCGGGATGTCGCTCGATCTTTCGGCACCAGATAGTGCGCCTGCTTCAGCTATTCCTCGCTTGTCCGAAGATGGCGGTAGTCGTCTGCGAAGATTTTCTTTCATGGGCGATCCGCGAACATCATTCTTCCGTCCATCATCACCTACGACGCCACCTGCAGTCGAGCCAATACCCTTACCATTTACATCCGTGCTTGCCATGCTAAATACCGCATCCCCCAGTCTCTCCTCCTCTGCAGGAATCCGTGTTCCTCCGCCACGATTGATCGCGGATCTGGCCGAACGCGAGCAGTTGGCACCCGGACGACGTCTGAAAGGCGACGAGAAAGCCGGGTTGTCGAGTATCCTGGGTTGGGATCCCAGGGAACGCGATCGAGAAACCCGAGGCAAGGCTCTGTGTGGGTCACGTGGCTTTGCGAGGATGCAGGAGCTCAGCGCGCTCGTATCCAGACACGTGCCAGCATCTAGGGAAGACCAAGATGGTGAATGCTCCCAGCCCGTCTTTGCAACTTGCGATCAGCCAAAGTGGACCACATACCGGCATTATTCGAGGCATGATGTTGACCAAAGCTTGGGCGATTCAGTGCGCAGCTTGGCTGCCAGTGCAGCAGATCCGTGCCAGAAGCCCGGCTGCTCTTGGAAGCAGGGTGATCATGTGATGCGTCTGGTCCACGGTGGGATGCGCGTTGACGTCAAAGTTCAAGAGAGCACGGGCGACCGTGACGAGATTGAGTCGTGGCTCAGCTGCTCGATATGTTACAGTCGGTCAGAGAAGACCGAGATGAACGATGGGGCACAGTAGGTTGATCGCCTCATTTTTGGTTGTCGCTGAAGTGAATCCACAGATTGTATTCATTTGGGAAGTTCATTGAACTGCTCATCTACTCCCCAGCATTGTGCAGGCCAACACCGTTTCTGTGTATTCACACTACTCCCTCAAAGGATGACAAGGAGATTCTACCGATCTCCCGCCTGTACATTGTCCGGCATTTCCAAGTTCAGAATCGCACCGTGTCGTTTTCGCTTTCTATGATCGATGATATCTTCGAAGTCCGTGTTCCGAGGCTACAGATCACGCGTAAATTCGGGGACAAACTTGGCAAGCACGACTCACAGTCGACAACTACGTCTGTGATGGTCAACGATGCTGATGATGAGAAGAGAACGCTGAGAAGGGAGATCAAAGCGTGGTGGGAGGGGATCGCTGATCACATGGACCAACTGGTGCGCGATCTTGTCTGCAATGTTCAAGCGCCAGGCTCACTGTAGGACAGGAAACTAGTTTGATGGGCAGCACACTTGTCGGATTCCGAAAGGCTTTGCCTCGATTACCCTCTGTGGACGATGCATACGACGACTCTGCTAGCGAGGCGGAAACAGAGGATGAATTAGACGCCCTGACACCGAGGACGAATAAACCTTATCCCATCACCGGGCTCCCTCCTAGCGCCCCAACCACTCCGCAGATCTCTCGGGCAGCCCAGGAGTACTTCCCTGACTCTGTACCTTCCTTCAGCAGGGCTGCATCCGACCCGGTGCCGTTACCTGCTTCGGCGTTGATCGCACCGGGCGCTGATCCCATCGAAGTGCTCGGTACGATGCGGCAGACATTCCACCGCACGGAGCAGGATCTGTATAGCAAACTGGGTACCACGCCCGTCTCTTCCTTGAATGACGTCCGGCGTACATTCTTGGGCGCTGCGAGAGGTGCCGAGAAGAGGCTGATGGCGTGGCAAACGAAACATATTCCTGGCAGAGGCAAGAGGAAGGTTCAGCCGAAGATCCAGTCGGTTGAACCCGAGTGGTGGAACAGAACGTGTCATGTTGCACCCGGGTGCGATGTAATCATTAGGGAAGATGACTGGGGAAGCATCATTGCGTTTGCGATGAGGTACGTCGTGTATTTTCTCTGTGATAGCCGGGGCTGACCAGATGCCCTCAGCACGGCGGATTATAGACAAGAACTAGCATCTATGTACTATATCAAGAACAACTCAACCTCAGCTGCAGCGGCCGCAGCAGCAGCAGCACTAAATCCCCCCATAATCGCACCCTCATCATCATCATCATCCTCGTTCTTCTCTGCCAAACTTTTCGCCAGTCATCATCTTGCAGAACCGGATCCAGACGTTGAAGGCACGGTTTGGTATGAGCCAGAAGAATATTCGGCCGTCATTTCGCGCAAAGAGCATCCCCGAGATGCGACGTCCCTGCTCTCTCTCCGCGAAGTCCTGCGGCAAAAGTCTCCAACACTGGATGGCGCGTCTCTCGTCAACACCGTTATTCCCGGGGGGTCCCGGTTTGGAAGCCTGGGAAGTGCAGCTACGAAGGGGTCTTCTTCTGTCTCAAAGGCCTCAGGCTCGTCTCTTGCACCACCATCGGCATGGTCTAAGCCAGATGTCCCACAAATCACCCGCCACGAAGCGGGCGGCGAGGTTATTCCCCTCGACAGCGAGACAGCGGGAAAGATTCTGCAGGAAATTGATGCGGCTTCGGTGTCGGATGGTCATTCGACTTCGAGTTCTCGGCCAGGGTCCTCCATGTCTGGTAGCTTTCTGGCCTTCGGCGATACGCACATCCGCCGAGGGAAGGCCGCCAGCATCATTTCAGTCGACAGCGACCATACCATTGGCGGCAAAGAGGATAAGGAGAGGGATAGAGACCAGGATGAACGAACGGAGCCTCAAGTTGATCTATCGACAGCATCGCCTTCGACCTTCACAAACACGCTGACCAATGGGCTTTCTAGTGCGATGCGATACATGTTGAAGAACAGCGAGATCCCGCGTCCCTCGATCTTCTCCAAGAACCACCACGGCCTGCTTGCCCCTGCCGATGCATTTGCGATTGACGAGCGACCGCACATCAAATACGATTGGACTGTCGGGAAACGACTCAAATTCAGCTGTACGGTGTATTACGCGAAGCAGTTTGACAGTCTCCGCAAACGGTGTGGGATCGAGGATGCCTTTGTGAAGAGTCTTTCGCGGAGCGCAAATTGGGCTGCTGAAGGCGGCAAGAGCAAGTCCAACTTTTGGAAGACGTCGGACGACCGTTTTATCATCAAAACATTGGTCAATGCTTGGAATGTCGCCGATTTGTGAGTGACCCATGTTCAATGATCAGAAACAGAACCAAATGGATAGATAGGCAAGTCTTGATTGAGCTCGCGCCGTCATACTTCAAATATATGGACGCCACAGCAAGCAAGGCGACGGTGCTCGCGAAACTCATTGGTTTCTATACAATCGAAATTCGAAATCTGGAAACAGGGAACGTCCAGTCCAAAGCTGATCTGCTGGTCATGGAGAATCTGTTCTATCAGCAGACCGTCGACAAGACCTTCGATCTCAAAGGCATCCAGGGGCGCAAAGTCAAGTCCACGGGGAGCAAGACCTTGTTCGACGGGGAATGGATCGAAGGTCAACAGCGCACGCTGACACTGGTCCAACCGCATTCCAAAGCCGTATTGCGGGAGGCGATTAGAAGCGACGCGGAGTTTCTGGCGAGAAGCAATATCATGGACTACAGTCTGCTGCTTGGAGTGGATAAGGAGAGGAAGCAGATTGCTTGCGGGCTGGTCGATACCATCGGTGCGTTTCTTTCCGCGGAACAGTACGTGCAAGTCACTGATAGAGCTGACTGCTCGATAGGCAGTTATACCTTTGCCAAGACACTGGAGTACAAAGCGAAGCAAGGACTGAACTCTGGGAAGGAGGTGACTGTCATCCCGCCCACAGAATACCAGGAGCGGTTTGTCAGTGCACTGGACGGGTACTTCCTTGCTTGTCCAGACAGGTGGTCCCGCCCGGCGGATGATAGACAAGTCATTGATGATCCATGGATGCTGCCCAGTGTATTGTAGCGGGTGAGACCACTTGGACTTTGTAATATTTGTCTATGCATCAGTGTATCCATGACATCTGTAGCCATTCGACCTTCAGATAATTCACTTGGCAGAAGCAGGACGTGTGTCAGTGGAAAGTAACGTCGCGTTCGGAATCAGGTCAGATCCTCAGGGAGTCATCGCGATTCGTAAAAGCATCACGCGTGGTACAAGTATTACAGACAGCTCTGGTAAACGCCACAGTGAGCCTTCGCAGAATCTGTAGGGAGGTCCTGCACTGACAGGTATGCACGATAGTATCCAGATTGCCGAGGGCGGTTCTATACACCCCAATGCAGTAGACGGGGGATTCTGCGCCTTCGGGAGCCTCGTGCGGCCGTGTGTGCGGCTCCCACGGCATAGCGATCGTAACCGCCACTTGCACGTCCTCCAAAGCGTCTTGTAGTGGAATCGGTTCGGTCTTGGTGCCCGGCGGCGGCGTCCGACGGAATCTCGAGACGAGGGCTGCAAATGCACTTGTTGAGCCGGATGAAGGGGCTGGGTCGAGTGCCGGCGGCGCCGGGCGTTTCTGTCGCGTGACGGCGAACGGCTGCGGACATCGCGTTCAGAGCGACTCAGGGCACGGAGAGAGAGCACGGCAACGACACACGTATATGTTTTCCCACATTCTAACCGCGTCTACAAGCATCGGCGCGGCCGTGTCCAGGTCCCAGATGCGCGGCCGCTCCCGGAGCGCATGGCCCGGCTGGGGGCTGACCGTGACAAAGATGTTCTCTCGGCGGTTCCAGAAGCATGTGATGAATAAGATCGAGACAAGGGCAAGGGCGAAGACGATGGGGATGCCGACCGCAGAGGTGATCATGGCTGCATGAGACAGACAAGGAGAGCGCCCATTGTCGTGGGACCAGTCGCTTGCGGATGACAGGTATAAGGTGGCTGTACCTGCCGATGTCTTGCCGAGGGCTAAATTTGGTGCGCAGCAGGTCAGAATGATACCGCCGGAGGTTTGCTTTCAGACGATCTGGATACTTTTGGTCGTTCTCTCACCGGCGCCTCTCACCGCTTACTGTACATCGGCGCTGTCGCTCAACTCTATTCTATCCGTGTCAAATTTGGCGCAGACTCTCGAGATCTAACGACTGCTTCGTCTGATGGACGCCCATGCAATAGGCCTTCTCGTCATCCTTCATGGCGATAGCGCTTTGTGGGAGCGCGATAATGACAGCGACTCGGATTCTGCGCGTCGGGGGAACTGTGGACTCCATGGGTCTACACTGCTTTGTGAATGAAGCAGCCGCGGTTTGAGGTGTGTAAAACCAGTGCCAGAAACTGAACTCCTGGGAACTGGTGGTTACTAGGATTCGATCCGGGTTGGGATCATTCGGCTGGTTTCCGACTCCCGTAACTGAAATGGGCTTCACAAGACGTGGTTGAGCGGGCAGTTTCCCTAATATGTGTGACCGCTCCCAGACTGACCAACATCGCGTCCCACCGAGTCCCGGCAACACTCCCACCGTCGGCATCCACGAATATATCCCAGATCTTCGGACGCACGGTCTCTTGTGTCTTGTTCCCATGGGCGCGCCGGCTGCTCTCGGCCGTCTCGAGGCGGTGATTCCAAAAGTAGATGCAGACGACCAGTACCGCAAGTACGGCAGCGAAGATGATGGATAGGTTGACCAGGGTGGCGGGCATCGCGGACGCGGATGTTGAAGGGATGAAGGTCACTGGAGTATCGATGTTCTCCGTGGAGGATATCTATTCGGCCCGGCAGGCCCGGGTGATCGAGCAATCCTCACCTGACTGTGCATCTATCGCTGTGTCTGTTGCTCTGATTTTCACGCTGATTGTCGCGTCGACGGGAAGCATTGAGACTCAATCTTGCGAAATGTACTTCGTGGGGCATGTCTTCGAGCGTCAGACATGCCAACCAGACTGGCTTATAAATGTGGCCGATAGGCTTGCGGAGACGTGTTATGTTCGCCCAGAAGTTCGCAGTTTCATGGAAACTACTCACGCTCTTCATAGGACTGAGTCACGCTTCCAACATACTGCGATTTCATCACGAAGAACAATCAACTGATCTGTCTAGTCCAGCTGATCCACGTGACCGCGTTAAATGAGAAGATCTGGCGGCGATTTATAATCTTGTGCATGCATTTATCTTAAGCTCACTGAGGGAGCCAAACTTTTATTTGCAATTTTCTGTGAGTCGTATTCAAGCACAAAATACAAGCAACCGATTGATCCATCGGCGCATATTCTTTTACCTTGTCAGCAGCGAGACGCCGCAGTTGTAGATCATCAAATGATATCCTCAGTCATACCCATTTCCCGCGGAAAAGATACCGAACGCTGGTCCACCTTGCCCAAACATGAGCCGAAGATCCTCAGCAAGCTCTTGCGGGCGCTCATAGGCAGGGAAATGTCCACCGGATTCATGGTCTCGCTCGAAGATGATGTCGCCAATGGCCCGGGTCCAGCTGAGTATCACGAGGTGAGCAAGGGAACATGTGCGTCGAGGCATACTCTACCTTCGTGGGAAGATGATAATGTCTTTGGGGAAATGAGAGAGGCCGATCGGGATGTTAGGTGGGTCCGCAGTGGTGAACACATCCTCAAGCACCCCTTTTCCTGCTTCGTAATAGATGCGAAGCGAAGCAGTTGGGCCTGCGCGAGAGAACCAGTAGATGGAGATCCAGGTCAGGACTGACAAGAAATATCAATGGCGCGATAGAACATGGGACGTGACCTTGCCTTCATCGTCTTCCCAAGGATATGCGTCGGTCCAGGTGACCAGTTTTTCGTAGATCCACGCCAGCAATCCAGCCGGAGAATCGGCAAGAGAATATCCCACTGTCTGCGGGGCAGTCCGCTGTTGCACTGAGTAGCCGTTTCCCTGTGAGTAATACCAATCGACACGATCGATAGCAAACAGATCCTTCTCCGAAAGCAGGGATCTGTCGCCATTCTCTGATTCTACACCCCTGGAAATTGTTCTTCAACAGCCAGTCGCATAAAAGAACCAGCCGGCGCACCAGACCATATTGGTATGCCATGCTTTGACGTGCTTGGGACCATACAGCTTGCCCATCATTCGGGTTATCTAAGTGCCAGGCATTACGATACATCTTCGCGTTCCAAGCAGAAAATACATACCGCATATCCCCAGTCGCCTCCTTGGGTCACTGCCATAAGATTCAGTTCCAACACAGAATTCTGAACGCATGCCAACGCACCATATTCGTCGTAGCCCAACGCAAGCATGAGCTTGTGGCACACCTCGGCATGTTGCGCTATATCGAAGCCCTTCGTCTTTGGTGCCTGTGAGAATCCAAAGCCCGGAAGACTGATGGCCACGATGTGGAACGCAGGGCCATCGGAGCTGTCCCCTGCAATGAGAGGAATGAACTTGCGGGCCTCCAAGAAGCTGCCCGGCCCTGTGAGCAGTCAGTCCTGTCGGCCTCTCCTCGACGTCGCACAGCAGGCACGCACATCCATGAACAAAGAGAAGCGGGATGGCATTTTTGACGCTTGTGCTGCTTTGGTGCACGTAGTGTATGTTGAGCGTGCCATGCCCGTCCACGTCGATGTCCCTCGTGAACTGGGGTAACTCGGCGTTGATCTTGGCTTCGTGCTCCCGCCAATCGTAGCCACCTGCCCAGCGCCCGACGATCCGTTTAACATCAGCAAGTGGAGCACCATATGCCCATTGGGCGTCCTCGAGTTCGTCCGGAAACGTCGTCAGTTCGAGCTTTTTCTTGAGCAGGATCAGTTTATCATCAGGGATGGAGATCTTGAAAGGTTGTTCGGCCATGTATGTGGTGATTGTGAAGGAAAAGGTGGTTCTTCGCCATGATCTTCCGATACGTCATGCAGCGCTGCAGGAATTCACTGTTCATCTCTGAACCGCCGCTATGTATATGTAAGGTTTCCGCTCGGCCCGAACAGTGAGGGTTAGTTCCCAAGAACGCCGCCAATCGCCGCCTCAGGCCGCATCAGGCCGAGTGACATCAGCGTGACGCTTGTCAGGTGTGGTCGGCGTTAGGCGTGTGTTTTTCACCGGGAGAAACCGGGAGTATAACTTTGTCCTCCTCCTCTGCAGCTGCAGGCACCAGGCCTGCCTCGCCTCGCCTCCGGCCTGCGATGAAGCGACCCACCTTCTATACAGCTCTACCGAGGGTTGGTCGCGTACGGTCCAACTCCGCGACCTCACGCACGCTTTACTCCAACCCCAACTCCATCGCGTCATTTTTTGACGCATCCGCTCCCCCGCCTCCGCCCGCGAATGCCCGACTCACCACGCACCGCGTCCCTGGAGAAGCCAGAGCCGAGCTCGAAGGTCCACAAACGAACCCGCATCCTACCCATGCGCCGTTGGCTCTCGCTTCCCCACACGCTCCATCAAATAGTCACCCACATACCGCGCAGCGCGCCCTCTTCCTCTCGTACACACCGAACGTGACCCCGAAGCACCCTAATGCTCAACCGTCGGGGACAGCCCGCACACAGCGGAGACGGGGCCACAAGTACACGCTGGACATCGGGGCCTATGGGATCGCGAAGAAAGGTCCGTTTCCCCGGGTGCGGGGGTTGGATGTCACAGAGATGAACACCGACGCGCCGCTGGCTGTTCAAGTTGGAGAGGATGCCTATTTCGTACGAGAGAACGCGATGGGTGTCGCCGATGGCGTCGGTGGATGGTCAAGGGTCAAGAGCCTTGGTGAGTGTCCTCGACATGACCGTATTACCGTCTATCCAACAGCACGTTCTCACCTCCTGTCTCAGCACCACCGACCGGCCCAAGCGCCTCCGCTCTATTTGCGCGTCGCTTGATGCATTTCTGTGCTGACGAAATCGACCACGCAACACATGGCGCCAGAGTCCTCCACGCGGGTCCTTCGAACTGCTCGCATTCACAACCCCGGCACTCTTCCGCTTTCTGGGATCACTTGCCATCGTCTACGCTCCCCTCGCACGATTCATATGATCCGTATGTGCCAAGCTCAGTCTACGACTCGCACTCTGTTTCCCCTTCACTCTACGGATCGGCACTAGATGAACTGAATCTTGAAGACTTGGAAGTTTCGCTAGAGGAGGAACTGGAGGAACTGGCCGATGGACTGGACGTATTGAGCATCCTGGAGCGGGCATATGAACGCACAATCCGGGCGCATGTTGTCGAAGTGCCCGCGTCTCCCTCATCTCCTCCGGATCTCAGGAGAATGGGAGCCTCACTCAAAGTTCCGCCTGTTCAAACCAAGACGGTTCCTCTTCGGGTCGGAGGCAGCACAGCCCTGGTTGCTGTGTTAGATTATGTTCCAAGTCCTGGAAAGGGCAAGGAACCGGAAGGTTGGGTGAATCTAGATTCCGTAGAAAGGGTCAAGCCGGAACCAGTGCTTGATCTGGCATCCGACAACGAAGGCGAGCTCCGGCCTGTCCTGAAGATCGCGCATTTGGGTGACTGTATGGGTTTGCTTGTCCGAGAGGACAAGGTCGCCTGGCGGAGTGAAGAGATGTGGTGGCGATGGAATACACCGGTGCAGCTCAGTGCTGCCGGAGCTTCAAAACCTGTGTCGATACCGAACAAGGCAAGCGACCCCAGCTGGTGGAACTCCTGGTCGAGGGACGATCAGTCAGTTGGTGCCGAAGGCGACGTCACGCCGCGATCGGCAGCCCACACTTTCGTACTCCCGGTCCAAGCGGGAGATATCCTGATCCTGGCGAGCGATGGGCTCGGCGATAACCTTTGGGACGAGGATGTGTTGGACGAGGTTGCACGCGTACGCGAACTCGTGGGGCCAGTGAACCCCAATGAAGACTCGGCCCGATTGCGCCGACGGACGCTCGCCGGATTGCTGGGCGAAGCCTTGTGCTCACGAGCCAGGCGGCTGGCGACCTGCAAAGAACGCGGAACATCTTGTGCGGGGACCGATGTGCTGCAGTCTCCGTCGCCTATCGACGAGACACCGTTTGCCCGCAGGGCTGTCGAGGCTGGAAAGGCATTCCAGGGCGGTAAAAACGATGGTGAGCACTTTTGCCGACGATCCTGCTGCAGTCGACTTGACCTGACGATTTTGCAGACATATCCGTTGTGGTGGCGATGATAGCATCTGCTGGCCATTCGTCTCTTAATCATGTCGACGCAGCCTGGTCATGAATGATGATGTCATATTTCATTGGGCGGGCAGTGAGTTGTATAACAGTGTATGTAGTTGTAAAAATACAAGTGAGATATATCGATGATGCTGTAATGATATGCCATGTTATGCAGTTATCCATAATTCAGGTTTTCGACGGGTGGCTGCTCCCCGGCTGGTGGTCTTCTGGGCAAGCTGTTGTTTACCAACGGCGGTGGCGGCCCTGGAGGTCGGGCGGGCAATCCAGCGGGCAGATTCGGGGGGCGAGGCGGCTGGCTCCGTTGATCGGGGCCGCGCCATCCACTCGGTGGTCCCCGAACAGCCCCTTGTCCATGTCGACCGTTTTGATGGCGGCCTGGAGGAATGGGTGGTTTATACCCCATGTGGGGCTGGTGCATCTGTTGCTGTTGATGGTGGTGTAGTTGCTGCTGTTGGTGCATCTGCTGCTGCTGGTGCATGTGCTGCTGCTGCTGCATGTGCTGCCGGAGACCACGCTTGTCGAACTCGTGCGAAGCTTCGTACGTGGGAAGGCTGACTCGACGTTCAGCGCGGAAAGAGAGCATTTCACACAAGAGACATACCTTTTCGGGTCAGCGGGCATCGGGTCAGTCCAGAAATAGTCGTGATCCAAAGCTTGCGCTGCCGTGAGCCGATCGCGAGGGCTGCAGGTCAAAAGTTTGTCCAACAAATCGCAAGTTTCAACGCCGAGACTGAGTAGCGGGTTTGAGCGATTGAAAAATGTCTTGAAAGCGTCGCTTACAATTCATAAACACTCTTCAACTTGCGCATGCGAGTCTGGTCGAACCGTTGCTTAACGCCTTCGCAGCCCGGGAGGTGATCGTAGTTTGGCCAATTGTGCTGATTGGGCGTTCCACAAAGTGTCCAGATCTTCTCCAGCTGGTCGAGATCGCTGGTTCCCGGGAGAATCGGCCGTCGAACAAACATTTCGCCGAGAACACATCCAATTCCCCACATATCAACCTCCCCACCGTATTGCCGTGCCCCCATCAACAATTCGGGTGGCCGGTACCATCGCGTCACGACACAGTTAGTGTACCTGCGCTCCTTGCCGACTCGATTCACGTTGTCCCCAGAATCAAAGGCGCGCGCCAGACCAAAATCGGCAATCAAAAGCGTCCCGGAGTTACTGATGAGCAGATTCGCTGCTTTCATATCCCGGTGGAGGATGTGGTTCTGCAGCAAGTGGTAAAAAACAGTCGCGGTTGGGAGAGGTGTACCAACCCGATGCATGTACTCCGTCCCTTCTAGCAGCTGCTTCATGTACAACTTGATCTGACTCGGCTGGAGTTTGACGCGTTCGTTCTCGAGCAGACCTGCCAAGTCGTGGTCCATGTAGGGGAAAACCATGTAGACAGAGAGCGGCTCTTTCTCTGTGCTCCGAACAACAAACATGTCCAGTATGTTGACGATGGCAGGGTGTTTCAATGCTTTGAGAATCTTGATCTCCCGCAGAGCAGTGACTGGCATTCCCTCCTTCTCGTTGTGCATGAGGATGCGCTTCAGAGCGACTAGTCGATTACTTTGCGAGTGGATGGCCTTGTGGACTTCACTGCACGAATCGTCTGACTGATGCACCATGCAAGCCATAAAAACGACTCACCCGAAAGTCCCTTCGCCCAACTTGGTTGTGACCTGGTAATCTGATTGCTTTCCACACCCTTCGAACACTCGCCCATAGGCTTGCTTTTCAGCCTCACTAGAGCGAAGCAACGGAGGAGACTTCCGAATGATCGGCCGCGGAGGCTCGGGCCGCATGTCTGGTGGCGGTACAAGGGACTGCATGGGAGGCCGCATTGACGGAGGAGACCGTATATGGAGAGGTGCTGGGGGACGAGGAGGCAACGACGCCGGCGGCGGAGGAAGACTATGACCCAACCGAGGATCCGGTGGCGGGGGCGGGGGTGGAGCATCCGTAGGTTGCGGCGGTTGTATACCCAATGATGGAGAATGCGGGCGCGTTTGAGGTGACGGCGGCGCTATTCCGTGGGAGGAAGCAGAATGCTGGAGTCGTGACGCAGGAGAACGTGGAGAGAAAGGTGCGTGTCGCGGCGACACCGGTCGGTACGGAGGAGGAGACGTAGGTCTATAAAAGTCTCCTCGAGATGCCCCGTCGTAGGGGCGGTACTCGTCCCGTCTCCCTCGGGGCTCCCAATCGCGGGGCCGGTAGCTTCTGTCTCGATCATGCGAGTCATACCACCTGCGGTCGTCGTACCGCCGCGGTTCAGGTGAGCGTGGTCGGTGCCTTGGAGATGCTGAACGTCGTGGAGAAGGGGATCGTCGATGGCGGCTTGGGGGTGAATGATATCTACTGGATGAAGATGGCGCGTCTCTATGCTCCCCGCGTCCCACTTTGCGTTGTTTGGTGTCCATGCTTGGATCAGTTACTTTGGGTTTCTCGGGAAGGACGGGTTTAGGTGGAAGAGATTTCTCAAATATGTTCCCAGCAACAAGCGCTGCCGGGGCATCTTTCTTCTTGAAGGGGAATGGGATTTTCTCTTTCAAGGTAAGTGTGGGCTGGACGACAACGACAGAGGAGGTAGAAGCTGGATTATCGTCCGCCACCTCCCCCTCCTCGGGAGGAGAAGATGGGATATTCCTTTTGCTCGGCCGAGCGCCATCGGGTGACCGAGATGCTGGGCGTTTGGAGGAAGTTGACATGGAGGCCGGGCAAACATCACCAAACGGAATCTAGCTATGCTAGCGTAACGTGCGAGTATCCGGGTCCGGGCAGATTGTACTGAAGAAGTTCTAGGCAATAGACGCAGGTAGGACTTTTATGAGGACTGTTTTCGAGGACGGCGCTGCGTTGAGTTCTCGGCTGGACATTTTCCATGTGACTTGGCGCCCACACTGGTGAAAGCTACCAAACCAACCATTCTTTTTCCTATCGTAAGTAGGATACATTTCTATACACTTTAGGGACATAATGCACGCAGGCAAGGTTCCATCGAGTGCAAGACGTGGTCGGAGAGGAAAGAGGCATCGGTGGCTGTGCAACAAGCCCTTGACCTGTTTGTTACTGCAGCCGAATCCATCCAGTTACTCTCTTACACATTGTCAGACGCCATGGATTTAGGATCTAATTTTGCAAGCAAGCTGGAGCCTTTCATCCTCATGTCGAAGTCCGCCAAGGGCGCGGCTGCCGCAAAACTCGTTGGAGATGCGACCAGTGCACCAGGCGTCTTGGTCTTCTCCGAGCTATTGGAGCTTCCCAACATTCAAGAGGTGGGATATACAATGGATTCCGGACCTATGCACGTTCTGAGATCGGCTTAGCTTGGGAAGACCGAAGCTCACTCCAAGTCACTCGCCCTGTTGGAACTGTTTGCCTATGGCACCTATGAGACCTACATGCGTTCGCTACTTTGACCTCGATTCTCATTGATCCTTTTAATATCTCCTCAGTTAACAAGGACACTTATCCAGCTCTGAATGCTGCCCAAACTACAAAGCTCAAGCATCTGTCGATTGTCACATTGGCGGCCGAACGTCGCGTGCGTGGCCCCCCAACCCTGATTCTTCATATAGCCTTACTCTTTAGTTTCCAGATCTTGCCGTATAACGATCTCCTCCGTGCCCTCGACATGCCCAATGTACGGGAGCTCGAAGACTTGATCATTGATGCCATTTATCTCGATATCCTCCGCGGGCGTCTCGACCAGAAAGCTTCTCAACTTGAAGTAGAATACACCATGGGCCGCGATCTCGCACCGGGTGCCATCGATGCTGTACTTGCTGCACTGCGCGACTGGGCTAGCACCACGGCTGCTGTGCTCCAGACGCTCGACGCGAAACTCACTGCCGTTGCATCTCAAACAGCTTCTCGAAAAGCGGATCTGGCAGCTCATGACGAGGCTTTACAGAGCGTTTTGAAAGAGGTTGCGAAAGAGAAAGGAGGAAACCGGCGCGCTGGAGGCTCGGGCAGTGGGGGTATGCCTTATGATCCCATGGAGGTTGACGAGTCTGGTTCGGCAGCGGGAGTGAACATGGGGGTGTTGATGAACACTCTTCGCGGTCTTGAGGGACAAGAGAATACAAGGGGGAAAGGTCGCAAGTAAGCCCATCTGTTGTCGGCTTGGTTAGCGACTCATCGTTGTAGGACTGCGCCTGAGGCGGCGAAACCTGTGCGTAAACGGAATCGATTCTAATCTAGCCATCATCTGCAGTGTTGTACGATAGCGTATGAACCATCAGGCTGTTTCCGGTGGTGGATCACGCTCTCTCTCGTCCTTCACCTGCTCTTCTTCTCTCAGGATTGCCCTCGCGTTCACCAATGCCTTTCCCAGAAGATTCATGCCCCACTTCTTCTCGCCCTTGCCCGACAAGGCATTTGCCTCACTGCATCCAATCCCCCAAATCCTATCTCGGGGACTCGCCTCAACGAGACAGGTGTCTCCGGTAGCAAACAGCTTCGCTCGAAGCTCTCCATTCTGTCGGAATTTGTGCACGGATCCTTCTGTGACGATTCTTTCCCTATGCTTGACCCAGATCACATCGTCGAAGTTCTTGACTTGCCGACCGAGCTTTTTCACCGCTGAGAGCTCGCTCTTCGATGTCCCTTTGATGGCTCGGACCTTCTCGACGACGCTGAAATCGGAGAAAAGAAGAGCCTTTTGCTGGTGGTTATTGCCATATCAGCAACGATCACTTGAGTTGGAGTCCCGCGTGACTTGCCAGCATCATCCAGTGTTCGTTGGATGGAAAGTGTATCGTTTCTTCGTTCCCATCGATATTGACTTGTGCCAACGGGGCGGCGTACCACTGCGAGGCCCAACCACTAACAAATCCACAGACCATCAGATCTGAACGGCCGTCGTTCAGCCTTGTCCATGCTTACTTGACGTGGTCGGTCGACCAGAAGAATGTGTAGCCTGATGTTTCGGGCTCTGCTGTACGAATCGCGGGCATGCTTAATGAAGGGAGTTGTCGGACTATACAGAGTGGCTGTCTGCACTTTCCAATCTTAAGTAGTCTTCAAGATTATGACATTTGACACCACATGACTCCGATGTCATGCGGCCACGCGCCGGGCGGTCTGTCGTTGCTGCCGCCAATCAGTCAGTCAGTCAGTCGGAACTGGTTGCCTCAAGCAATACATCACACGACGTCTTGAAGATTTCTGTAAGATTTCTGTGTGCTATCTAATGCTAAGTACTGACTATTGACTACTGACTAGTTAAAATTCATCTTCACCCATTACCGGTGTTCAAAGTGATTAGAGCTCGGCTGATCGAGCGCGTTCGCGTTTGCGAGGAATGCTAGATTTCCTTGCGGCCTTGGTCCTCTCCTTTTCCCTTTCGGCCTGTGTATGCTTCTTGACCTGTTCTGTGAGCGCACCGAGGTGGTGCTGCAGCTGCCCTAGCCGTTTCCGCTGAGCAGGTCTCGGTGCCGGTGTGTACTTCGGAAAGTCACTCGGAATCAGCGGGAACATTATAGAGGGCGAGGAGGGCACAGTGGAAGACGAGGATGATGGATGTGAAGGTGAAGAGAGCAGCAGAGATGAAGGAGTCGACTCTTGGAAGCGAGCATCAGCCTGCTTTTCGAATCCCGCGTATGGAATTGAGGTGTGGTTGTGATACCATGTCTCGAAAGCATTCTCGGGGTCGTTCCAATTTGATGGGTCCAGTAACGCCGTTTCGTCTTCTTCTTCGAGATCCCTTTCATCATCTCCCAGCGGCTCCAAATAAGCCAACCCGCGGGCGGAGAACACATGCGGCAGATTTCCTCGCCCTCGGCGGGGTGCGATTGGAGATGCGTTCACCGTGATATGAACTTGCAATGTTTGCGAGTGAGACTGAGGACGCGTCAGCATCCTTGTTGTAAGCAGAACTATTTAGGTTACTCACATAGACGATGCCGCGGCTCGTTTCCCCTCCAGCAGGCCAAACATGCGCGATCGTAACATCCTCTTCCGCCATCCATCTGTTTGTATCGGGCTCTTTCTCCGTGTCCCTGTCTTCGTCCGTAGCGTCATCCGCAACTTCTTCCCCGTCAACAATTACAACCGACGCGTCGTCATCATTTGAGGAATAGAGAAAGGGATCGAGTATAGTGGAAGAGTATGCCCAAGTCGTTGCAGACTTCATCTGCCCAGGCTTGAACCCGGAGCTCAGCATCTTGACATCCTTCTTCAATTCGAAAAGATATCGTCGGTCCTCGCCGTCATCCATGTCCGCCGGTATCTGACCATATGCGCCGCCGAATAGAAAGTCGAGGAGGCTCTTGAGATGCACTAAAGTATAACTCTGCGGCACCTGGACGATACGGAATACACCCTCGATAGATTGCCGAGGTACTCCGCGTCGGATGAGTTGGAACCTTAATGGCAGATGCTTTCCGAAAGATGTCGGGGGGGGTAGGACTTGCAGTCGGTTCCAGGCATTCGTTCTACCGAACGGGTTCGAAGGAGTGTCCACGGGGTCTGACGACAGAAAACTGGTTGTTCGTGAGGACGAGGGTGTGGAAGGATAACGGAATGAAGGAGAGCTCGAAGCTGCGCCGGTGTTCTGTCGCTTCGAAGGCTGCGGAGAAGACGGGCTGCTACTACGCTTCCTGGAGCCAAGTGTGGGGGTGGTAGTACTTGGCTGCGTTGACATTGGGGAGGAAAGAAATCTGTTTCGGTAGGGCTTGGGTTCTTCTTGCGTCCCTGTGTATGAAAAACAGAAGGAGCAAACTTCTGCGACTATGGAAGGCTCGGGGAACAGAGCAGAGCTAGTGACCTTGTCACCCATCACAGTGACACGCGCTAAGTTTGTTGGCGCTTATTGTGCTCTTCCAACGCACCACGTGCACCGTGTCGCGTTTGTTGACATATATTGACCAGGATGCGTGATGATGTAATAAGTATGAGCTCCCAGCAAGCCTGTGCTATCTATTTGAACATCTGAAAAGACATGCAAATCAAGGGATGCGCCACATCGCTATGCCACTCCGTTCCTTGTCAATCTCTTTTTTGACTTGTTTGCTGTCCTTGCTGCGAACAGTGGCAGCGAGCAAGAGGCCGAGGGCATTCTTCAAAGCTTGACGGGAATCCACCTCGGCCGAAACGCCCTCTTCACCAATCGAGACGCGGTCCCAATCGACACAGAGATCAAGATATTCGAACAAGACGGCGACGATCCCCCCAAACTTGCCTCCGCTGATATCAGAGTCGCTGGCAGGCAACTCAACCTTCCACAGCTCTTGTAAAGTCATCGAATCCCATGCCACCAACGGGGCGCCCACTTTGACGGGCACGACGATGGCGGGGCATCCGTTCAGAAGGATATAATTTATCACACTCTCGCCCGGTCGAGCAGAGGTGGTCCACAGCGTCCGGTGCGGCTTCAGTCCCACAGTCACGATCACCATCCGCCGGGGTTTCGGAGGAGGAGGGAGCGCTGCTAGCACATGCTCCGGTTCAGAAGGAGAAGCAGGCCGCGAGCGCAACATGTTTGTCAAGGACGGCAGCTTGGGTATCAGGCCCTGTGGTTTTTCTTCAGGAGTCTCTGCAGGAGTCACCGGTGCAGGCTTGCAGAATGCAAGCACTTGTGCGGATTCGGCTAGCAATGTCTTGCCGATCTGGTAGTCGCCTGGTGATGCATGAGACCTGTATCATCGCATGCAAAACCAACAAACCCTCAAGGAAAGGCCCATGGCAAAAGACGACGTCCGGTGACATCGTCCGGGGGATAATAGGCCGTCGTGCACTGGCAAAAAGGTAGGGCGAGAACCATCCTTTCTCGATGGCCAGATAGTCTTTCACCGTTGAAAACAACGAATTGTCCCTGTCCAAGAGTTGGGAAATACATATCGCACACAAAAGATCAAACCCACTTGTGGACACTGCTTCGGAAGTAGCCCAGAGCTGCATCTGTCATCGTCATCTTGTATTTGAGGGTGATGAGCAGCTCCTTGACGCCGGTGGTCTCCAATCGCTTCGAGTGGATCGGTATAATCTTCTTGATGGGCTCGCTAACAAGCTCATCCGCCGCCGCTGCGGTCATTTCAAAACCAGCGTGCAGACCAATCTCGACCAGGATAGTGTCGCCAAACACAGAGATGACCTCCGTCCCTACAGAACCGAGCACCGGCGCAGCGACGACAGCCATGCCACCCTGGATCGAATTCTTCAGAATGCTGAGCGAGATACCGTTTCAAGGACGCACCGTCGCGGCAACCACAGTGTGAACAGCGAGATCACGGAAACGGATGCAGGGCAACATGAGGGGAGACGAGTCTCCCCACTATCAGAGGATATTGAGGGCCCTGTACTTGACCGAGATGCGGCGGCAAGCACTTACCGGAGAGAGACAGACGATAGATGTGCCTGCTGCACGAAGGGACTCGTAGCCAGTCATGACGAGGCGCCCGGTCATTGACTAGATGCGCCCGTCAATTCGTAGCCTCCCCAGGTGAGACTCCCTCTCTATGTACTCACGCCGATGAGTTTGCGGACGATCCAGGGCGCATGTTTCTCTTCTTCATCGTGTTCCTGGGGCACCGATGCTGGATCGATTGGCCCCAGTGCAGAGACTTCATGTGCCATCATGAGCGGGCTGTTGCGAAAGAGGTGGAGGCAATGCCATCCCGACCGCTCATGTCAAGATGCCATCGGATTGTTGATCTCGATAAAATGGCCAGAAATCACCTCGCAGATCAGCTCGAAATTGAATAGTGATCTTCACCGACCGCGTTCAAGTCTGTTCAAGTTACACAACAAAGGCGCGTTGAGGCCTACTTATGCTACGAATACAAAGTACACTGCAAACAACTCCAGTCCCCTTTCCATCAGCACGCATCACTCCATCCTACTCCACGAAGGAACTCCCTGCCTCTAGACTTTTGAAGTCTCCACGGAACAAAACACGACATCCACGATATATAAGCTATGTAGGACGTTGAAGATCCCGTTGGTTGGCGAGGGCTCGTTGAGGCCATCTCAAACACAGCACAACAGCCTTCTAGTACCGGTAGTGGTTGGCCTTGTAGGGACCGTTGACCGGCAGGTCAAGGTACGAGGCTTGGGTCTCGGAGAGAACCGTGAGCTTGACATTGAGTTGGGCAAGGTGAGCCCGGGCGACTTCCTCATCGAGCTCCTTGGGAAGCATGTGCACACCGAGAGGGAACTTCTCCGGAGTGGTCCAGAGAGCGATCTGAGCCAGAACCTGGTTGGCGAACGAACAAGACATAACGAAGGACGGGTGTCCGGTGGCGCATCTGAAATCTGTGGTGAGCAAGATATTCTATGGCGTGTCGCATACACGCACCCCAAGTTGACAAGACGGCCCTCAGCAAGGAGGATGATGTGACGACCAGAGGCCATGGTGAAGCGGTCGACCTGGGGCTTGACGTTGGAAGCAGACACAGCGTTAGCCTTCAGCCAGGCGACATCGATCTCGACGTCAAAGTGGCCGATACTGATGCTTTTGTCAGCGGCGGTGCCTAAGACGGTCAGATAAACACATACTTGCAAACGATGGCATCCTCGGGCATCTCAAGGAAGTGCTTAGCAGTGATGATGTCCCGGTTACCAGTGGTGGTGACGAAGACATTGGAACGGGGAGCAGCATCCTCCATTGTGGTGACCTCGTAGCCAGCCATGGCAGCCTGCAGAGCGTTGATGGGGTCGATTTCTGTGATGAGCACACGGGCTCCGTAAGAGCGCAGCGACTCGGCACACTGGAGACACCATGTTAGATAATAAAACAACTCTGTGAGACCACGTACACCCTTGCCAACGTCTCCGAAGCCAGCAACGACAGCAACCTTTCCAGCGAGCATGACGTCGGTGGCACGCTTGATACCATCGACGAGAGATTCACGGCATCCGTAGTAGTTGTCGAACTTGGACTTGGTGACCGAGTCGTTGACATTGATGGCGGGGATCTTCAAGGTGCCGTCACGGAAAGCCTTGTAGAGGTGGTGAACACCGGTGGTGGTTTCCTCAGAGACACCGTTGATACCTAGGGAGAAATTAGCGATGTCGAAGAAGATGGGCAACGTTCAACACACCAGCAAGGTATTGGGGGTATTTCTGGTGAACGATGGTGGTAAGATCACCTCCATCGTCAAGGATCATGTTGAGGGGTTGTCCACCAGCAAAGCCAGCGATGGTCTGCTCGATGCACCAGTTGTACTCTTCCTCTGTCTCGCCCTTCCAAGCGAAGACGGGGACGCCGGTCGCAGCGATACTGAGGACTTGTGAGATCACATCGATCACGAGACATTCTAAAACAAACTCACGCCGCGGCAGCGTGGTCCTGAGTCGAGAAAATGTTCTAGAAAACTAGTCAGACTTGAATCAAGTCGGAACTCGATCAGCGACGTACGCAAGACGACCAGGTGACCTCAGCGCCGAGGATGGTCAAAGTCTCAATAAGGACGGCGGTTTGGATGGTCCTGGATCGAGGATGAGAACATATCCAAACAAATCGTCTGAAACTGGTACATGTGAAGACATCCGGCGATACGAGCACCCTTCAAAGGCTGCGAAGGTCCATACTGACCAGGGGTGTCAACAACCGATCGAAACGATGAGAGACGGTGAACATACCTTTTTCCTCAGGTAAATGAGACCAGGCATCTCGTTCTGCATATAGAGTAAACACCAGACCTTCAGGGTCGAGAAAAAAACCAAGTGACCTCTGCGATTTCGATTTCTTTGCGACCGAACGCAGCGAGGGAGACATCTGCAGGATAGCATAAGAGACTTCCATATTCAGTCGCCTGATATACTTACCAGCTACCTTGAAGACCATTTTTGAAAAAGCGAGAAGAAAGTGGAAGGAGGGAAAGAACTTTATGATCGATGGATTGACAGGCAATTTATGGTCTGATTCGAGAAAGCGCGTCTCATCAAGCACGTGCATCAGTAGCGAACGTTTCGGTTGGGAAATGGCAGTGGTGAATCGAATCGGTTGACGACTTGGAATACCGGCTTACACACTTCTGTATGTACTGTATCTCAGTCTTTTGCCATTCGGCTCATTTGCTCGGCTTGGCTTTGAGATTCCGAATCCGAAGCACAGTCGAAGTACAGTCATGTGACTCTGGAACACTTGCCCTTCTTTGAACTTGAATCGTCGTCTCTGATTTTCTTTGTCCACCGTGTCATTAGCTCTTGGCAAGTCCTTGTTCAAGCCGACTGTCATGAGCCATGGAAGCACGCACGACCTACCCAAGGAGTGTCGTATCAGTGAAATCATGCAGTACATCTGCACCCCCCAAAGAGGTGCATTCGGGCCGTCAGTTCATTGCACGCCAGTTCCACGCTTGTTCCGGATGTAAGCTCGATGACTTCAGCTCGTATCTCTGATGCGACGAGGATCACAGATGCCCCAACATACCTGCAGTAGAAGTAACTCGGGTGCTCAACATTGATCTGGCCACTGGTGATGTAGCGGTCCCGAAGGACCTGAGGCAAGTCTTGATCGACACGCAATGTCGTTCTCACCATGACTGTCTCTGCTTTCTCAGCTCCCAGCTACCCACCGGCAAAGCCTGGTGCGATGTTGTCAAGCACGACAAAATACAAGAGCCGAAGTCCTGAATCTCTGGACAACATCGAGGGCGCTGTTCCTCCTCACTCTGTTCGCATCCCGCTCCAGATCACTTTCGGGCAGTCGCTGCCTGCATAGCCTTGTGTAACGTCTTTCACAAAGAACGGACATGTCTCCCGTCCATCGGGGCGGTCACCAGTCGCTCGCCATCCGTGATCATCCATCTGAGTTCTTGAGCTCTCTCCAGTTGTGAACAAAGATTTAACAAAGAAGTGCATGTCCGAACAGCCAAAGACATCAGACAAGACATCAGCCATCCTTGGAAACGGATGGATCAGTAAACGGGACGGCATCTTGGGCTATAGCTCCATCCAATCTGCCTGTAAGACGACTGAACCGTAGTCTGACTTCAAAGAAGCTCTGGTGTACTCCAAAGAGCCTGAGAAATCAACGTCCACCTCCGCCTTCCTCCATGCAATATCCGTCAAGGCAGACCTCGCATCTTCCGATGCGCTGATCATCCATCGAAATGCTCGCATCCGTCAATGCCGGTCAGAAATTGACGCTCTCCCAAATCTTGCCGCAGAAATCAACTTCGAAATGGATGAAACGGAGCTGGTGACCGCTGGTTGCCATGTTCAAAGAGGAAGGATCAGGCGAGGGATGGACGCAACAATAGTGCAGTCTTTGGTGGCTTCAGAACCGAAGCTTGAAGACTTGGACAAGTATCGTTCTCTGGACACGTCCCTGCCCCAGATTCTGCCCTGAAGATCTGTCCCGCCAGGGCTGATTCGCGCATCAGTTGTCGTCAGGTGGACTGCACGGGGTGATGCGGCTGATGCTCATGCACACAACAAAGATTTTCCCAGGCATCTGACAGCGGGATCTGCAAAAAAATACCTATCCGTGGGATCAATCGATCAGGTTGGTCGTCTCTCGGTTGCGTGGCAGGAAGCGACCATCGTGTACGGTGTACAGCCCGTCGCATCTCATTGCTAGTTAGCAACGCTCTGCTCTCATCCATCTCCCAGGTTATGCAACAGTGTTTTAAAGCCCTGCCGGCGCGTTGTCGCAATGATCTCAAGGCTCTTCAACGACCTAGAGTGATCTGCACTGCAATGTCTAACGATTCTCAAGATCAACCGCTCGGACGGACGGAATATAATAACCCTCATGCTACCGATAATATCACAGTCGTGCCTCTCCCTCATCTCTTTTCTTCATCGTCCCCTTCTCTTCTGGCTTATCACCGACGACACTCCGATACGACATCCACTAATAGTTCTAGACGCATTCGACCCTACCCAATCCAGCCTCCGCGCTACCACAGCTCACGCATAGACGACATCTTGCGCATAGACGATATTCTAGACATGGCCACTGCTCCTGCTTTCTGGAACTCTTCCTCTTCCTCCTCGTCCTCCTCCCGCCGTCGTACATCCGACGAGAACCAGCAATTCGCGTACTCGGGGTACCCCTCAATGCCTGTAAGCCGCATTTTCACGTGTCATTGACGCACTTGAGCTGATTCGTATCATCAGTATCCTGGTCCTGACACGTCTGATCACCGGTCATCCCGTTCATCAGGCTCAAGCGGCACGTCGAGCTTAAGCGCAGCCATGGGTGAAGTACCGCTACCCGCGAGCAATATGGCGCTCCTTCCAAACGCCATGGGATGGAATCAGCCACAGTCTTCCCTGCTCCCTGCGCAGTCTGGCTATGCGCCCAGCACGAGCACCCCGTTCTTGGACACCTCTGGATACTCTTATGGCAGCTCCCCGGAATCCATCTCTCCAGGGTCTCCATCTTACACGGCAGATGTTCGCGAGTCCTTCAGAGGTTATCCTGCGACGACAATCGACGCCTCCCACTCATCTCCACACCCCAAGGACATCGAGAATGGGAACCTTTGGAAACGAGTCCGGGACCTTGAGCGAGTGGTCGAGCGCCAACGCAGCCAAATCTACACCCTTGAATCTCGAGTGTCTCAGCGGTCTTCCGGCTCTCCACCAGCCAACAGCTCTCCAGCGCCTTCTGCCGCTTTCCAGGCCTCATGGCGAGCGCGGACGAATGCGCGGATCAGTCAGTTCTGCTCCGTCAATCGAGCCGGGAACGCTCTCTGTGCTTGGCACGACTCCCGTCGGGAACGTCGAGTGTACCCTCCGCGCATGGCACCAGCGGGCTACCTCAACTGTGGCTGCACGTTCGAAGAGGCGCTGTTCGAGGAGAGTCTTGCTCGGCATCACGTGGGCAGCTACAACCCCGGCGAGACTGTCCGCATGGATCCGGCTCTGCGGAAGCCGCTGCTGAAGCTGCTGCAGACGAGGTACGGTTACAAGGACGGCGACTTTGAGCGCGATGCGCGCACCGGAGACTGGATTCCGAACGAAGGGCCCGCAATCTGGGAGCAACAGATCCAGGCTGGCACCAACCCACGACGAGACCGCCACGCATGATCTCCTCACGAACTATATTTAACTAACTTACTTGGACGGACATTTGAGCATCTTAATCCTGCATAGCATCCCATCATCTCCCACTGTAGTACTACCATATTGTCTCACTAGTTGTTGTACAGATAGTATCCCCTGTAAATAGCTTATAACCCACCGCGTACTTACCTTGCCATCGAACTCTAATCATCGTAGTCAACTCGGCCAGACTCGGCCCAATTAAATCGCGTTCGGACCTCTACACTCCTCCCATCTCTTTGATCTCCGCCACGGATCAAACGCGTCGACTGTCATCTCATCTACTCCCTCCACCGTCTGAGATCCATGACGACCAGACGGTGTTTACTAATCCACCTTTGCGTCACTTCCTGCGTGGCGGTACTCTGGCCACGAAGTTGGGTGCCAACGAACATTGCTGAGAACAGCGGCAGTGCGCTCGCTTGGCTTTGATGTCCTCCCCGCGTTTGAGACACCTCACAGTCGCAGACCACGCGCTCGCGTCTGAAGTCACGGGTCTCTTGCATGATCACGGTACCATCCATCCCCCTCTCTCGCGTGCACCGATGATATCAACACGCGTGCAGATGCTCTGGAGCGGTACGCCCAGCGACCGGACTGTTTCGGCCGTGTGGCATCGAAGATCCGCACACAGTGCGGAGACCTAGAGCACAATATGGACGAGAGGGTCCGGGGTGCGTGCTCCCCGGTGATCGGCCATGCGACAGTCCTGAAACACATCCGGCAGCGGCCATCTCGATGACAATCTGCGAACTGGAAACAGCGGAACACTCTTCGATTCCCTTGGAGTGCGCCACGTACTCGGTGGACTCCGCGCGGGTGTCCCACAAGATCTCGCATGGGAAATGTGTCGAGTATGATCTCATTATCACCGCTTTCATTCGGGAAAGCGCGGCTGACTACTGAATGCAGGGCTTTGGGGAGGAGCGCGCAGCACTGGGCGAGCTATTCTGGGCATTTGCAGAGAATTCGTGCGGATGATTTATCCTCCTTCAATTATCGGCACCGAGACCTTCGTAGCCCAGCTGTGCTTTGCTTACCGTCGCTGGAACGATATAGGTATGATTCATTATCGCATCTTATCAGCGTCTCACGTCCATTGACGCTACAGACACTGCCAAAAGTATCTATAGAAACATCACTCTCAAGTCGGATGCGTTGATGGAGATCTTGCTTGCCAAAGAGCGGTCGGAAGCAAGTCACAGACAGCAGTGGGAAGCTCAAGCCGAGGTCGGTGAATGATGCTTCGCCGGTGATTCTGCTGCAATCCTCCGACAGGACTTGGGTGATCTTGTATTCTCTCTGAAATCGACCTCTGATGGGGTAGAGGCGCATATACGCACGACTCAGGCCCGCATACAGGCAGAGTTGCAGTCTGTGCGCATTCTCTATCTTGGTGCTTGATCTATTTTTTTATGCTGTATCCTAGGCGTTTGCTGAGCTTGCGATGTATCGTACCTCGGCACACACAGATGCGTCGGAACTTGTGCAGCACATGCGCATCGAGCTCAAAACGATAATGCGAGAGGTGCGTTCATAGTCTCAGAGGGTGCGGGTAACATGTCTGAGCTGTTGCGAACTAGCACGTACAATCTCTGCACCAAGTGTTTCCTGCACTTGAGAGTTCGTTAACCGATCATATGCAAGCTGCGCTTGCTCTATTTCGAGATCAGAGTGTCCAAGTCTCGGCTTCAGTCGTATGTGACTTCGCGGTGAAACAAATCATCTCCCTAGACTTTCCCTCAGGCATTTGCTCAGCACGAGTGGTCCAATCTGGTCGTCCAATTTGTGGATATGCATCAAGTGATCCTTCTCAAGCTGCGACACTTCTGGCTCTGACGACCCCCCGCAGAGGCTCGCGATTCTCTCGGGGAGCATCGTCGAGAATGCCGATCTCATGAACACATCAATCGAGCAGGCCAAGTCTGTGCTCGCCGCTCAGAAGGATGTTGAACGTTCGGCTTCAGGACTGTCGACCACACTACATCAACTATCGAACACCACACTCGAAACTCTTATGCATGTGAATGGCACTCTCAATCGATTGACCCAGACTACTCCTTATCGTGACTGGATTCTGTCGTGGATTACCCCGAGTACGACCAGTTATCTGAGTTATGAACTGCACCTGACACTACATGCAGCTGCATCCTTCATATCTGCAGACACCAGCCGTCTTGTCCTCGCCTTATCTCGATGGCTCTACTCCCTGTTTCAGTGCCTGTTCTTTGCATCCGTGGGTGGGAATCGTATCTGACATTCCGCGGATCTGATCAGGATCCAGAGCATCCTATTCTTTCCCTTGCGCACTATTCTTGCTAGAAATCCGGCGAACAAATCTCTGTCAGTTGCTGTGAAATTCCGAGCATCTGAAACCCTGTGAATCAATGCTATTCAGACGTGAACGTTGGCCGATAGAAACAAGCGATCTCGCACGGTGCGAGGCTCATAGCTCCATGTCATGTCGCTGACTGCAAACAGATACCCGAACTACTATCAGCAGTCCGAGCAATCATCGAACAGCATCGCATTACATCCTATGGACTTGTATCGAAGCCGTATCCCGGATAGACTGCTCAGAAAGAGGAGCCCGCGTTGGTAGCTTTTGTTGTCCCAGCAAGGAACTCGGATAATCACTCAAAGGACTTGTGTTGTACAGTAGCTCTGTTGTAAATTGTAACTTCGGTGTGGTCGAGGACTTGAAAGTGTCATCTATGGTGTCACTGTGATGCCTCCTCGGTCCGGAATGGGCATTTGTATCCACACTTCGGGACCTGTATCAAAAACATACCATCGGCGAACTACGCGCAAAACGTAGGCCGAAGCAAGAGCAGACCGTGCCAATACGTATGAGCAAGCGTCCCAACAGAATTTAGCCTAGGGTAGCAAAGTCTGCGTGGGGGTAGACCGTCCCGGGCGAATGAGCTACTTGGATATAGTATACGAGCGCGATGGTGGACTGGTGTCCCGGTCCGGAGATTCGTACTGGTATGACCTGTATCAGGGCACGCCTACCGAGGCCAGCCTGATTGGCGCAGGGAGCGCGGTGCAGATGACGAGACAGCAGACACGAGGATGATCAGGCAAGGCAGTGTATGTCGTGCTGTTTACATAGCAGTCGGGAACCGCCCGGTTCCGCAGTGAGTGCGAATCCGAGCACACGCGGTCGCGATATTATGTGACCCTCGGGGCTTAGACTTCAGAATCATCTGGCAAAACAGAGCCCATCCAGAGCCCATGAGAAATGTAGGATCACAGAAAACAAGGTGGGAAATCCCAGAACGAGGACAAGTGGTGTCTCATGAAAGAGTTCATAAAAGTGGAGGGTGCAGTGACGGTGTGACATTATAAGCGGTGCCAGACTTGTCGTTGAACGGCCAAGTGGCCCAGGCTCGTAGGATCCCGAGAATAAGAAGGGAACAACCTTCCGCATTCTCAATACTCACCTCGTCTGGTTCCTCGAATTCCATCCCGCCTCCGATCCCCTTTAGACCTCGGATTGCGGCTGAGATTTGCTTCCGCCCTCCATTGTTTGGCTATTTTGAGTGCCCACACAACCACATCCACTCAAGAGAGAAAGCTCAGCGCCTCATATCTCGCGTTCTTGGTACGTGAGTTAAATATACAATCTCTACCCGACCCGACCGATCTCTCTCTAGACATCTTGGCTGCTGCCGATGGCGTACCCATACCCCATGATGCAGCGCAGCTACATCCCTGCGAACTTCCCCCAGCGGCCCTTCGCTGGTGCTCCCCCTCCCCAGCCGCCCAACATGCAAGTCAACGCGCAGGCCTGGAGAAACGGGACGTGGGTGGTCAACCCCGCCTTCAACGCGAGCCGATGGAACGCAGCCTCGTCTGCGGCCGCCGCCGTGACTGCCGCGTCCTCGTCCCGCCGACAGCAGCCCCAGAACTATGCGGTGGACTGGGTCCCCGGGCCAGGGTGGGCTGAGCAGCGCGCGGCGGAGTGGCAGGTGCAACAGGCGCAAATTGCTGCCGCGGGAAGCTACAATCCGTACAAGCGTGTCCCCCGCGCGCCTAGTGCGGCGTATATGGCGTCGAAGCTTTCGGATAATCCGTTGGGGTTGGAAAACATGGTCCCGAGGTATGTCGCTCTACTGCGAGGGAGGGGGAGTGCTGTTTGATCACATTTGACCCAGAGACGAGCTTTTCGGCCCCAAGAACGACGAAGGTGCGATGGCCGCCACTCCTTGGGTGTGGAATCCCCGAGGGCTGGGGCCAGAGGATGCTACCACACTGCCCACAGATGTCATCAATGCTGCTCGGGCTCGATCACCTGTTCGATCGCCGCCGCCGCCATCAATCGCGCCTGCAGGTCTCAACGCTAACGCCCCCTCCGGCCAAATGCCCCCACCGATGTATGTGTCTCCCGGCCGAGAGATGCCGGGTCAAGCACCTACACCACAGCCCCGGATATCACCACCGGCGCGCAATGCGTCAGATTCTGCTATCACAACCCCAAATCGACCGAGGACACTGCAGCGAAACTCGGAGCCGCCGCCGTCTCGGGAGTTCCAGCCGACGTTTTCGTCGAACATTGTGCGCACTCCAGAGCACTACCGCACCCGAGGCAATGGCCCACCTCTCTATGGGCCAGCATTGTCTCAATCCGTGCCAAAATCCACTGTCCCCATCCCCTCTGTCCCCAATAACTCTGTTCCGGTCCCTTCTGTCCCTGTCCCGTCTTTTCCGACTCCCTCTGTGCCGATTCCCTCTGTCCCTAATTCTTCTGTGCCGATTCCCTCCGTGCCCCCAGGAGGGTCTGTTCCCACACCGTCTGTTCCCACGCCTGTTCCAACGCCGTCTGTCCCGCATCTGACGAGGCAGATGGACCGGCTCAGCACCAACTCGCTTTCGCGCACGGCGACTCTGCCTGCGAATTTCGGGGGCAGCAGCCATTTCGCCAGCAATAGTCTGGGTCGGTCTGGTGATGGTCACAGCATGAGCGGGGCGTCTCAATTGTCCGACGAACCTGGCGCTGGATTGCTCAGCCCGTTAATTATTCCTGCGACGCAGAGGTTACCGATCAGACCGCTTGGGCCATCTGCGACGTTAGATGTGATTCCCGAGGGCGGCAGTGTCCGCACCCCGAAGAAGAGACACAAGCATAAGATTTCGACCTCGGGCATGGGCGCGAGCCCAAGCCCCAATAGAAGTAGCCTCGCTGCGGCGAGTAGCAGCACGTCCCCGCCTCGACACGGGAGTGTCACTCCGCCCCGCTCGAATCCGCTCCCGGAACCCCCGCAAGACCCACCCCGACATCCTGTCTTCGGGGTCCCGGTGCAGCGGACGCCGCCACCAACGTGGCGCGCGCGGAGACGCGTGGGATTCTGGAATCGGCGGGGCGACCACCTGACGATGGATGGGTACATCGTTTATGCACCCGCCAATGTCGCATACCCGACGGAGCTCCAAGAATATCCGGAGGATGGCTACAGGGACCAGAAGGGCGACCACGTTCCTTTCTTGGCCAGCAGGCCCGAGTTGCCGGACTCTCTGCCCCGTCAAGGGCATCCTCCCAAGTTGCCGTATGAGAGATTTGTTGTGTACGAGTATCAGCAGTGATATTTTATCTTATTGTGTTGTATCTGTCGACTAGGCGAATATAGTAACGTTCATGGAATATATAATTAATCTCAAGCACTTGGCAACACGTATATATACACGGCAGGACATACACATACAGTACACCTACAAGCCAATGCCACCATGCTCCGCACGCATGTGTGCATAAATCCCATCTCCCTCCGGAAACGTCTTGCTACAGACCCAACACATATGTGTGTGACACTGCGTGCACGTGACATGGTGGCAGCCCTCCTCACGCTCGATGGGGATGCCGCACCCAGCGCATTTCTTCACGTCGTGGCCTTTGATCCAGCTCGCAAAAAGCTTATCAGTGTCCTGCCAGCTGTCCTGGCACACGATCCCGTCGTGCGCTTCTGTGTGGCAGAAGGAGCAGATCCGCAGCAGACACGAGGGACAGTGCACGACGGTCCCCTTGGGCCCCGTGCGGTAGATCTGCTGGCAGTCGGGTGAAGGGCAGTAGTGGAGCTCCTTGGCGTGGCTGTGGACAAAGGAGGAGAGTGCCACCTCGACGACCGAGTTGAAGTCTTTCTGATCCAGCACAGACCGCACAGCCGAGAGCGGTATCAGCTCAGTGCATTTCGCGTCTCCACCCAGGCACGTGAGGGGAAATCTCCGGTTCTCGATCGACGCGAGAATGTACTGGGAGAAGCAGATGCTGCAGTAGGCATGTCCACAGCGAGAGAGCGTGATGGGTGACACCACTGCGTTGAAGCAAACCGGGCACGACGTGGTATTGGCCACCTCGTGCCCCAAAACAGACTGTTGAGCCGCGTGAACAGCCTCGACCCCCGCACGATAAATTTCCTCGCCACCCCGGAACAGGATCTTGCCGTCTCGGATATCCACTACAACATTCTCGGGGCCAAACCGCCGGGCCAGCCCGCTCAGTTGAGACGTAATAAACGCGCTGATCACGCGATTTTCGGCTCGGATCAAGTCGACCCGCTGGGCTTGGACCTCATGCAGCTTCTGAAGGAGGTGCTTCCGCGCCAATGCTCGCTGGTACATGGTCCCAAACAGCTTGATGCAGCGCCGGATCGGATCAGATACGATCCGCGAACCTGTTCTGGCTGAGATCATTCGAGTGAATTGCATCCCGTCTGGTCTTGAGAAGTAGGCGTTCCAGACAGACACGCCGTCCACTCTGAGGATATCACCCCTGAGAATCCGTTCGAACTCGGCTTTGAGCATGCCGAGATCCTGTGTGGACTGAGCCGACAGGCGGACAAGCGCCGTCGACACATTCCGTCGAGTCACGACAGCCGAGCTGCCCATTCCGGCCCGATGCGCTTCATCCCTCAACGCATCGATGAGTCGGGCATCCCGGTCGTACTGCACAGTGGCCAATGAGTATATCAATGTTTGCACGTGCTTCACCGACAGCCGGGATCTGCCGATGCACCTGGGTTTCCGATTGTGCAGCAATCCAGCTGCGATTCGAGCTGCGGCGCGACTCTCGTAGACGGCCCAAGCTTTGACAGCCCCATGCGAAAAGGGAGCAGTCTGGACGTCAAGCTCTAGGAAACCGGCGCTTGTTGTCTGGAGCAAGTGCTTGATCCCTTCGACCGCTGGCTGGAGGGCAGAGTAATTGGCGCGCGCCCAAACGACTTCATCCGGATTCCCGAACCGAGCCATCATCTTCTCCGTCGCATCAGGTGGGATGTTGGTGATTTTGAGCGTAAACGCGCCTAACGAAGGCAGCCCGATGTGGTTCGCCGCATAGACATAGTTATCACCGAACGGCTTTGCTCGGGCCGATGCTAGAGCCCGCTCGACCCGCATATAGTCGGAATATCCACAATACGCTGTCTTGTGCGGAATCTCCCAAACCAGTCGGATGGTCCGGTCCTGCATCGTAGCCATCCCGGTCCTTGAGTTCACGGCAATCTGCGCACTAAGCCGAGTTTTGCCAGACAAAACCTTGCCGTCCAGAGCCCGGGTTGCCTGTTGCGCTGCAGAGTGACTGGCGAACCGCACTTTGGCAGACCCCTCCTTTTTGTCTTTGCTAGATAGAGGAACGACATCCAGGACTTCTCCGAACCCTTGCACCAGTCTCTGTATCTCTCTGTCCTCCAACAGGATCCCATTTGGCACGTTCCCGAGAATCAGCCATGCAGTCTCCTCGCTACTTGCGACATCAGACACCTCAAATCCCGGTCCGATCTTGACTTTTGTGTGGTCGTGCAAGATCACTGTGATGGGCGGTTCCGGAGGCAGCGCCGGTGGAGGTTCTGGATCGTCGTACTTGACATCTTCGTGGATATATGGACAGTTTGAGCCTCGATTGCATACGTTCCGGAGCCATTTACGGCAGACTTCTTTGGCTGCAGGCAGAGGACGGCGAATTGGCAGTGATTGGGTTGGTGTCACATGCGCGAAATTGCACTGAGGCCCAAATACGCAGCCGCCGGTGCGAGACCAGTTTCGGCAGATAGATGAGGACATGGATGTCTCCCGCTGTTGCTTGACGATAAGTAACACTAACGCGAAATAAAAGGACGCATGCTTACGGAAGATGTCACTGCTTTGGTGTCATTGCTATGGCTCTCCCCCTCCGAATCACTCCCCGCTGGTTCTTGTCCTTTCTGACCCCATAAATCCGTGTCCTGGTCGTGAAACGAGTTGTTGTGGTCGAACACCGCGGCTGGCGTAGATTGACTTTCATGACTCCAATTCGATTGAGCCGGAGCCGGGAACCGAACTACAGGCTTGCTGGTGCTCGGTAGGTCTTCCTCCGGGCAGGGAGGTGCAGGCTGCTGGGTACATGTCTCAGCGACAATGAAAGACGATGGTGGAATTTACCAGTACCTGGATATCAACAGTGTGCATTGGTTCCAGCCGTTCTCCGGCTTCGTTCGAGCCCGCCCGTGAAGATATGATTTCCTGTTTTGATCGACATCTTGAATGCGGAGAGGTTCAAGACGAACTCACCTCTAATTTCAGATGTCTTCTGGTACAGCCCTGGTTTCCAGCATTTTCACCAGCACCTCGACATCTTCCAGATAGCCCATTGACACACACTTCCTCAGTTTCTCCAGTGCCCTCACGTAGAAACAAGACATGAACTCGGAGGCACCGGCTCCTGAACGGACAGTACTTCCGCAAGAAATTCAAACATATTGGTGCTCCAAGGGGTGCTCGAGTTGGAAGGAACTGACACGGTCATATGAGCTACGAGCAACAAAGATGCATGACTATATCTGCCCACCTTCGTGGTCAGACCCAACAGACGACTCCTGCTTTCACCTTTACCCTGATCGTCGAGCGCGACCACATCCATCTGAGTGACGACTTTAGTCGTTCCGTTGCGAACCGCAAGCAACCCGGGACAAGCGCACATTGGGTTTAGGCGGCAGCAGAATGGGCTTAGATTCCAGCAGACGGTCGGGCGGTTTGGAGGCAGGATGACGAGAGGGGGACTGCATGTTGATATTGGGTAGATGATCGCATTCAGGATTCATAAACGGCGGCTGCATCTTCATGCTGGGGTTTGCGACCATGGTGAAAAGTGGGCGCCGAGAGGGAGGGCTCTGCGTATTCAGAGGAGCAATTCCTCCCTGCGTAGGGAGTGGGTTGCTCCTAGAGGGGCCCATAGACTTCAGAAGACGGTAGGGGTCGGTAGGAACACTCGAGTCAGAGCGGAACCGCGGTGGTATAGTAGTCACAGCCATATAGACCGAGGCTTGCATCTGAGAGGATTCTGATTGGAATCCACAGCTGATAACAGAGTTCGAGGAGTCAGGTTTATCGCACAAGGGTGGAGAAGTGTCGTTCGCCGACCACCTGGGCGCCTACTCACAATTTAGCAGAGGATGAGATCATGGGGGTGTGACTGACTCGTGACAGAACTTACGAAGTGTCTTCCGATGACAGCTCGAGTTCTCGTAGCAGTCATTGATCTAATCATTAGCCTATCCCAAATGTCTCCCACTACTACAGTCGATTTCAGCAATCGCCAGTTGAGGCTGGAGAGCGAAGAATCGGCGCAAGATACATTCAAAGACATAGATGGAGCCGATATCGAGCAGCTGATCCTTCGCAAAAATACTTTCGGAATCGGAGGCGCGAAGGTGCTGGGAGAGTTCATTCAAAAGACGCCAAAATTGAAGGTACGCGATCGCGAAGGCATATAGGATGGTGCTAAATATGGAAAAGACAGCGCTTCTGTCTAGTATCTTCATATCGCAAGGGATCGACGTGATTCCGCTTGCTTTGCCACACATCTGTAACGCCCTTCTCCAATGCTCCCAGCTCACGACCTTGGATCTGAGCCATAACGCATTTGGACAGCGCTCTGTCGAGCTCCTTGTTCCACTCCTTTCTCAATCTCTCTCTCTTGAGACAGTGAAGCTTGCGGACCTCGGTATGGACGGCACGGGTGGGCAGATACTCGCTGGGGCGCTGGTGACGTTGGCCAAGAACATCAAAGATGCGGGAAAAACCTCTCCCCTCCGAGTTCTCGTCACAAGTCAGAACCTGATGCGCGACGCGTCGGCGATCGTGTGGGCAGAAGTCATCCGGGCACATACCAATTTGGAAATCATCCAGATGAACCGGAACGATTTCTACGAAGACGGGACGATTGCGGTCGCATCGGCTCTGGTAGAGTGCACACGACTACGAATGTTCCACTACTGCGACAACGTCATTACAAATTCGGACGAGCGTGATAGCCCAAGAGGGTGGGAGAAACTGGTTGAAGCAATCGGGAAAGCGCGAGATATCGAGTCGCTCTACATCACTGGCTGTCTACTCGGCGAAGAGGGTGCCGACGCCCTATTCGCGCTCTTCGCTGAGGAAGAGTTTCCCAGACTTCACAGCCTCAAAGTTGCGGCCAACGACTTCACCGAAACACATTACGAGGCCCTGTGCGATGCCATCGAAAGTGGGAAACTCCCTGCGCTTAAGATCGTATACGCAGATGACGAGGTGGAGGATCAGCCTGTGTTTTCCAAGCTTGGAGACTTGCTTGAGGCTCGGGGAGGGAAGATTGTTCTTGATAGCGATGACAACGAACAAGACGAGGACGAGCTGGTCGTGGAGACGAGCACGGCACCAGCAGCGTCGGTAACACCAGCTGCGACAGACTCTTCCGTGTCCGAACTTGCAGACCTATTGGCCGGGAAGTTGGAGATCAAGGTTAGTGATCAAAACTTGCAATGTATCCCCAAACTAATCAGTTGCTACAGTCAGCGTAGGGAGAAGGCTTATAGCATTCAATATATTGGCCATTCTCGACACGAGCTTGCCAGCTGAACTTTGTAGAATCGAGTTGCATAAACCTGTGGCACTTGCTGCCAACAACTCTGTCACTCCAACTTGTATACACCTATTGTCCACGAGTGAGGATTCAGCGCTCAGCATTCACCCACGAAAAGCTCAGTGCAAGTGGACAACATCGAGAGAGATCCTGGGTGCTTCAATTCACACCATCTCTCCCACGTACTTTTCGCACGTCAAAATGGGCAGAAGGTAGCGATATCCTGAGTTCCAGAGGCGAGTATATGCTCGGTTATGGTGTTTATGAGAAGAGAGGAAGAGATATGGCGAGAAAACTCCATGTAAGTTCGACAGAGACCCGCAGTCACATATCAAAGAAGCTTCGTAGAGGGTCTGAATGCTCAAATGATCACTATAGGTCATCACAAAATGGAGGTGGTTGCCAAGCGGTATTTTACACGAGAGGCTGCGATTCAACGGAGCACTATTTCATGGCACATGCTCTTGCCTGAACAGTATGGTCTCGAGGTACAGGGACGACAGTCAAATACACATGCGAAGGAGTACAATTCGTAGCGAAGAGGATGTTGCTGGAGATCATCGCTGTTCCGGACGGGGTTCTGTTATAAGTTAGACGTCTGTGTGTGCGGCAATAGGAATGGGGACTGACGACTCCACTGGACGCTCAAGATCAGATTGTCATAACCTCTGCCGTTCACCTTTTCCATCGCCTTCTGTGCAACAGATCTTTCCTCGAAGCTGACAAACGCAAAGCCCTTTCCAGCACCCGTCTCGCGATCCCGACCAACGTAAACACGTGCGACCCGACCGAAGACACCAAAGAGCTCCCTGAGATCGTTTTCTTGCGTGTCCTCCGACAGATTCGTGACACGGAGTGTCGGCAGATCGTCGCGACCTCCCGGTGCACCCGGAGCTCCCGGAGCACCAGGTCCACGCGGGTTGCGTTGACTGGGAGGAATGTATTTCCCAGTAGCGTTTCCAGCGAGACCGTGAGCAGGGCCGGAAGCTTCAGCAGCACCCGACTCGTCGACAGCAGCGGGATCTGATGTGCAAGCGTCAGCTTTCAGAAGCAGGAGCTGAGAATTGTACCCTACCCATCTCCAAACCAGCCAGAGCCTCCTTGTGAGGACATTTGGCAGTAAAGTGCTCTCCCTTACACAGCCGACACACGACCTTGCCAGCACCAGCCTTGGTAAGTTTTGTCTTCGCACTCTCCTCTTCCACTTTATCGTCGCTGGCACTCTGAAGATTGTCAAGTGTGTGCCAAAATACGAGTAGGTGACCGTCACCTTGTTGCCGGCACTGATTTTCAGGAAGACTTCCTCTCCAACAGTAGTCGTAGCTCGATCGGGGCCCTTGGCTGAGCCCTTGTCTCGTCCGAATTTGGCCCATTTCAAGCGCTCTGCGACAGCATGGTCGACAACAGACTTTTGCAGTGTGCGCTTGCTGCGTCTGATGATCTACAGACAGAGATCAGCTTGTGCACCGATCTCTCGCAACACACACACTCACCTTTACTCTCTTACCATCCTCGTTCACGGTATACTCAATTGTAGTTCGGATCCCGTTCTCATCGATAGAATCCTCGTTCTTGGGTTGCTCTAGATATCAAGAACATGAGTGGATGAGATCCCGTGGTAGACTGAGACTTGCCAGCCTCGTCCACGTCGTCCGCCCATGAGGTCTTCGCGGGAGCTTGATCGGTGGTAGGTACACTAATTCAAAATGTTATTGACAGAAAGTCGGACGCAGAGGGAAGACAGACGCGACAGGCATTGGGAGAGAGTGGACAAGATTTTTTGCTTACATACACATCATCATGTCGCTCATCGAATCACCACCACTTGCTTAGACACAACTGGCGTTGACTCGTAGCCATACTGGTACACACGCTAAGTTTCCTTTGACTCGCTCTCTGGCCATTGCTCTGCACAAACAACTTATGACCGTGTCGGCTTGTTAAATAGACCCTCGCCGACACATGGGCTGAGCAGCAAGATTGAATGCACTGGTACATGCTAACGGACTGAAAAGTCAAACAGCTGCAGACCAGGGATATTCCCAATGAAGATCGCCCAGCACAAACCCATTCTTGATCGATTTCTCTGGCTTGCTGGATCCGATTGCCTGATCTTCAACTTTATATCGATATGGGTCCTTGTCAAGTGCTGGGAACACTGGAACCCACATCATCGTCGATGTGGACAGCGGGAGCTGTGAGCCATGATGGTACCCATCATCAGCCCGCATGATAGCAAAAGATTGTAATGGCTGGCTGCCGAAAACTTTTGAGAGCGGGGACAAGAAACGGTTATCATTGGAGAGGGTGACCGAGATGGGGAGGCATGATAAGTCGATAGATTGTCAACGTTTAGAAATATAGATAAGGTCGGGGACCGAAGAGGTCCGTCGGACGAGCGGCCTGACACCGAAGAGGGACACGGTATGCTTGCTGGTCGGAAGCACATACGCATGACTGATCCCTCGCGCATCATTTGCTCTTCTTCGCCAGAGATATAGAGATTGCGAGGACAGCCATGATCACAGAGGTCTCGCCGGCTGTTGAGTGAGCAGCACACCATGGCGTTTCTTGATGGTCACTCGATGCCGAGAGAATTTGTCATCGGGAGAGAAACGGGCTGTAGTGCACGGGAGAACAGATAAGGGGACGGGCTAGCGTGCACAAGGAGGTGAACGGACCGGGATGTGCAGACTTTGTGATACGGCCCGAATCAGTCAATTTCTACAAGACCGATCAACTTTTGCAGACGAAATGAGGGACTGAAACAAACCTTGAGTGTGTAAATACGGTTCCCAGCCTCATCCAGAGTATACATGAGATGCATTGCGGCACGGTTGAGAACTTGCGATGGTCAGGACTCAGAAAGCAGAAATTTTCTTCCACGTGACGTGAATGGTTTGCACAGCCGTCGACCGGCGAACTGACAACCGGTTCAAGCCTGGTCTAGTCTAACTCACTGGTGACTGCTCACCGAAAAGCCGAAAGATTGTACTTGGCAGCATGCCCGGTCATGGATTCTGCACACCGACTTACGACGATTCTTCAATCGCCAAGGTGCGAAGTTGTCACACTCACGGACAACAACCTCCATACATTGATTTGTTACAGTCGACGGTTATCTACTTAGAGGACGCTCTATGCGACTACCTAGAGCCACTTTCATGCAGACGATTCGGCGGCAGGCGCCTCAACGGCAGCAGCGGATTCTTTGGCAGTAGCGGATTCTGTGGCAGCGGCGACACCCTCTTTGATCAAAGCCTTGAGAAACGGTCAGATTGCACCCCTTGCTAGAGTCGGCATACACACAGCGAGTTTCTGAGGAACGGCACCAGGAGACTCGGCGATCTTGTTTCCCTTATGGAAAACCATGAAGGTCGGCATCTACCAGGAATCGATCAGACTGAGCAGGGGATGGCTTAACCCGGTGTAGCGCGTACCACGCGGACACCAGCCTCCGTCGCGGCGCGCTCATTCGCATCCGTGTCGACCTTGTAGAACTTGAGAGCGGCATTTTCCGGAGAGTTGGAAAGCTTCTCGAATATAGGGCTGATCATTTTGCACGGTCCACACCAAGTTGCCCAGAAATCGATGATAACGGGGGTCTCGCTGTTAATCTAGGCGATCAAGGTAACAATGTGAGCAGGTCAAGGACATCCCCGCAACTGGAGCGGCATACCGCCTCCTGGAACGCAGCAAAGTCGGCAATGGCAGTGGTAGGCATGATGTTAGACGGTGGAAGAGAGAGAAGACGCGTTTGGTTGATGTCAAACTGACGATCGGATATAATCCCCGATTCTGATTTGTGAGACGACCTCGTGATATTCATCATCAGTGCGTATTCGCAGACGCGTCTTACAAGGATATTAGCAATTCTTTCTATACAGTAGCTGTAATACATTTGTCTTAGTCATCGTTGTCCCAATTGCCCGCTTGCTGAGGGATCTTCGGGCCACCTGCAGGCTTGCTCATGATGATGCTATCGACATTGAGCACTGAGACTGCGGCTTCCGTGGCAAGCCGTATGGCCCATGCTTTGGACGCAAGCGAGTCGAAGATCTTGTGAGCAGCGGTGTCAAGTGTGCCATCGGTCTCGTTCTTCAAATGTTTATCAGTTTGGAGTGAAACAAGTAAGCGATTGGACGCACTTCAACGTCGACACCCCAGGGGGCGCTGCCGGCCTCGTGCTTGGCCCAGAGTCTGCTCACAACCTCGTTACCCTCAGCACCACCAAGAGCATTCTCCGCCAGCGTCCGCGGCACACACTCCAGTGCATTGGCGAACTTGCGCACACCATGCTGCGGCAGGCCTTTGAGCCCAGCTCCATAGTTCTCGATACGCTTCGCCAGCTCAATCTCGACGGCGCCAGCTCCAGGGACCATCCGTCCGTCCTTGATCAACCCTTTCAGGACGTTGGCGCCGTCGTCAATGGCTCGCTCGAGGTCATCCAATCGGTTCGTCGTGGCTCCGCGTAGCACAATAGTTGCTGTCCGGGTCGGATCAGCTTTGCTGGTTGGGTTGTAGCCCTCGTCGCCATCGATCAGCTGGCGGAGAACGGTGACACGATCGCCACCTATTTCGATCGTCTCGAAGATATCGACGTAGCCCATTTCTTCGGGCGTAGGGGGACCCATGCGTGCTAATGGCGTCGCACCAATTACTCGGCACAGCCGGCGAAGATCGAATTTGGACAGAACTTTGAGCACGGCGATATTATATCGGTTCAGGTAGTGCAGCGTAAGATCTGACATGGATGACCCGCCAATGATCACAGACACTCCGGAATCCGCGATTTGGGAGATAATCTGATAAAATCCTCAACGCGAAATCGCAATTGGGAGGAAGAGTTACCATTTCCAGATGTTTTTCTTCTCCAGTCGTAAAGTTCAGCATCTCCTCTGCATTTTTTATGAGCACAGTTCCTTTTGTCTCTGTTTGGGCGTTGTCAAGAGCCGAAGTGAACACAGCGACTTTGGCTCTTTTGGCGGATTTGACGGTGCCTGAACGTATCTTGATTGAAAAATCATTCGGGGAAAAAGCGTCCAGTAACACACCTTCAGGTTCTCTGGGAAATACCATGCCCTGAACCACACGACTGGCTCCAAGGCTGCCACCCATGATTTTGACCACTCGGACGTTGTCAACGTTGAAGTTTTTAGGATTTGTCGGCATGATCGCAAGCGCAGCCTCAGTTATGAGGTTGGCTAACTGATCTTCGTAACCATATTGTTTCGAGGCGATTGCTGGCTTCAGTGCAGCAGCCAAAGTTGAGGGTGTCAAGGGTGTCGGCAGGTTGAATGTGGACAGATCTTGAAGAATACACATCGGCATTGAGACTGGAATTAAGCGCCGATTACGCACTGTCTAGCTCCGTCAAAGCCTTTGCACATGCAAGCTCGTAGCCCTGGATGATATCCGCCGGTTTGAGCCCAGACACCAGGAGATTTTCAGCCTTCTTCAGAAGTTCTCCTCCAAGGATGATGACCAGATTCGTCGAGTCTCCCATCTCCGATTCCTGAGCTTGCGAGGCCATGACCAACAACTTGGCTGCAGGGTGCACGACCTCGATCTCGCGGATGATCGTAGCCGCATCCGAAGTCACAAACAGTTTCCCCAGGTGGTTGACAATGAGCTTGTTTCGGCCTAATCACAGACGTCAGGACGCGTGCGGTAAGCAGATATCGAATTTTTACCGTTGGGACCAAAACTTGTGCGGACAAGGTCAGAAAGTTCGACAACGGCCTCGATGTTTCGGAGAACGGCTTCATCGAGCCCTTGAAGGTGCTTGTAACCATCTTTGAAGATGGGGACGTTGCTCGCTTTGGGCACTTTGAGAGACATGAGTGATGGAGGGGGAGGAAACGCGTCTCGAAAATCGCACCGCCACCTGCAACTCCTTGATCAGATTTCTCCTCTCTTCCTCGCACAATCTTTATTTGGATCTACTCGCAGCGTACCTTCACTGTGGTCTACTATTCCAGGGCTTTTGGATCAGTTTCTGCTCCTGTTCGTCTCTCACATCAAAGTTAGTCTAGCCATGAATCAGTTCTCGCCTCAAAGTTCAGACACGGTCTGTGAATCGACTCCCAGGAGTCACAGTGATACCGAATCCCCGTCGCTGGATCTACACCGCTCAGACAACTATATATGAAACTTCTGGCCATTCTTCGGCCGCCTCCGCCGACAGAAATTTCGCACCTGTTCATCGCCGCTGACATTGACATTGACTGTACTCCACAAGTCCTGCAACCACCTGGACTTTCCTCGCTCCTTTCATCTCGCTCTGTATGGGTCTCTCAACAAGCTTTAGACGGTGGAATGGCGATGAGACATGCTATAACAGAACAAAAGGGTGGCCGTCTTCTTTCTCAGTGCAGAGCTGTTCAGACGGATGATTCGTTACGACACATGCTGAAATCCTGCTTCAGTCTCTCCCGCACATTTGTCTCGTCCTCATGGATGAGCAACTCATTATCGCCATCATCCAATGCGCTCGTCAGTCGCTGATGGTGCTTCGGCGTCGCTCAATGCCTGTTTGTCGACTTGCAGTCAGCTATGTATCGTTCTAGGCCCGTCAATCCACTGCTGCTTCACGCTCTAGCTCAATTTGATACCATTTGAAGCGATAAGCAACCTGATAAGAATTGGCTTCGTGAGAGCAGTAGGGTGTTGGTTTCCCTCCTTGTTATCGATGGAATCTCGAGAAGGCGCTATAAAGCATCCGTTTGCGATGCGATAGCGCCTTATAATGAAAGGAAGGGCGCCTTGGAAGCGAGAACGAGGGTTGTCAACGGACGACGCGGAGAAACAAATCCAAGGGCTTGGTCTATCCACTACTTTAAAGGCGATGGGTTTCTAGTCTGCACTAGTCTAATGCATGCAGAGTGTATCCTGAAGACGCGTATTCGACCAATGTACACGGAGCCAATTGAGCGCATTGGCAACAATTGACATTGGCATGGGATGTGATGGATTTTTCTTTTCGTTCTCATGGCCGCGGCTTCCAACCTTCACTAGAGAGCGTTGGCCTACAGCGATCGGGGCCAGAGTCCCTGAGTCTGACGAACGATCTTCCGCTTCCCCGGCGGCAAAAGTCCTTTATAACACCCCACTAACCGACGCCGGCACTTTGTCCCTCACTCGAACCATGACTCAAACGAAATCAATAGTCGTCATCGGCGCTGGTGCGGGTTTTGACCTTCCTTGTATGGGTTCTTGGGATCTCTAAATAGATAGGGGCGATTTTTTCTAGGTGTGGTCGGATTGACAACAGCATTGCGCATCCAGGAGCAAGGAGGATATAGTGTCACTATCCTGGCTGAAATATTCCCCAGGTACGTCATCGCAACTCCCATTCAGCAGTTCTTCTGGACGATGTCAGTGATACCAAGAACATCAAATACACTAGCCACTGGGCCGTGAGTCGCTTGCTTGTCCGATCCCCGGCATGGACCATAAAAATAATCAGGGTGCTCATCATGTCAGTCTTGCGGGTCCCGATCTTCGACAACGCAGTGCGCAGTTTGCTTGTCCCACACTCGACAAGTTCCACTGATAATCAGTGCTATCGATCTGACAGAAATGGATCAAGACACGTTCAAAGTGATGTGGGAGCTCTCCGCTCCAGGAGGGCCTGCGGAGGGCTGTTTCCTGAGGATAAGAGAGCAAGAATACTTCTCGGAGCCTATCGCTCACCCTGAGGTCCTGTCGGTGATGCCGGAGGTGGGTAGGATCTTAGCCGGAATTCTCGAATTCCAGTTTTAATATCGTCGGACAGTTCACCATGATTGCACCCGAGGAACTTCCGCCGAACTGCGCCCAAGGAATATCGTTCAACACGCTTACAATCGACAGCCCAGTCTACCTCAACTATCTCTTATCACGATTCCTCGCTGCCGGCGGGGCAATTGTGCGCGGAACGGTGCAGCACATCGCGGAGGTCATCGAAGGGGGCGGAGGGATCTTCAGCGCACGCAAGATCGTTTCCGCACCTGACGCCGTGGTGGTCTGTGCTGGTCTCGGCGCGCGTGCGATGGGTGGTGTCGAGGACAAAGACGTTTATCCGATCCGCGGCCAAACTGTGCTGCTGCGCGCGCCATGGATCACATTTGGTCGCGCAATCAGCAGCAAGAACGGATTGTGGACGTATATTATTCCACGCCGCAGCGGTGACGTCTGTGCCCTGCTTTTCGCGGGGACAATAAGCTGAGCCAAGCCTGCAGATCATCGTCGGAGGAATCAAAGTGGAAAACGACTGGTATCCAATCCCTCGACCTGAAACAACCCAAAACATTCTCGAACGCGCCTTCGCTCTCTGCCCCGAACTGGCGCCTCCAGAAATCAGAGCTGAACGAGAACCAGTCTTGGACGACCTCAAGCCGATCATCATTGAAGAAGGATGTGGTCTCCGGCCCGCTCGAAAGGGCGGCATCCGACTCGAGACGGACTGGGTCGAAACTGCGGGCCGAGGAAAGGTGCCGGTTGTCTTCAATTACGGGTGAGTGCTCACTCTCTCAAAACTGTTCCATCGAACCAAACGCAAAACTAGCCACGGCGGATATGGATACCAGAGTTCGTGGGGATCCGCGGATTTGGCCTTGGCCTTGCTAAAGAAGGCACTCGCCGAAGGAAAATAGAAATCGTAGCGTTTGACGTGGCCTAGATCTGTAGAAATCGCACGAGACTTTCACTCCACCTTCCCAATCCACCACCTTCTGAGAATATACCCATTATCCTCTCCTCCATTGTCAAAGTCGAGACGTCCGATGAAATGTTGCCCTGAAACAAGTAACGGAAACCAATATCGGTCGGCAGCCCACATGTCGTCGAATGGCAGATTGCTTTGAGAGAACCATTGTGGCCGCATTTCCTCTGACCTACATCCCAATGAGTGGATCGGGTTGCGAACGTGCAAGTAGACTCCATACTCCGTGATATCTCCACTGTACTCATCCGCCCGGAAAACATCAATTTGCATCCATTTCTGGTCTGGGACGACGAAGATGAGAGTGCCAACCCGGACAAGCGGGGCTGCGATGCCGGCTTCCTCCTAGTTGTGTTGGAGTTGTGAAACACCAAGAGAGTGACCTTTATGATGGCACCTGAAGCTCCCGTACAGCAGCTCCTGCGACTGTTTCCCCCGGCTCTACCTTCCCACCTTCGCACAGGGACGAGGGCAGAGATGTGGGAACCAAAGTAAAGAAGCCACACTACTCACCGAATCCGTTATATCTAGTCAAGTCGAATTGATCCTTTCTTTTCAGTCATTGGGGAGATTGATTACTTATTCACACCTAGCCCGCGCTTCTTGTAGCCGAGCAGCACGTTTTCCTCTCGGAACACAAATGCATTGGTGCAGTGCTTGAATAGATTACTTTGCGTGCCTGCATCCAATTCTGCATTTGGATACGCAGGCAGCCAGTCGTGATCGCCTATATTTCCGGAGGAGTATTCCGCTGAGTTGCTAGCGAGCCCCGGTGGGATAGCCATGGGCAACAAGAGATGTTCAGTTCGTAAGTTGGCGATCGCGGGGCATGAGGATCAATGATCTCATCAATTGCATCGCCACTTGATCTTATTGTTGTCACCTCGAACCTGTCTCGCCCGCAACTCCGTCTCATTCTCCGTTTCTTCGCCCGGGTCGTGGTCTCTGACACTAGAGCGTCTGTTTTAACCCCTCATTTTCGCGTCCGTGCTACCTTCGCTCCTGCGTGAACGCTCACTCACGGCCGAGGGCGATGCACAACACTCACGACTTCGGCGGCGGAGCGCGTCGCGGGGGGAAGAACAAGCAGTGGGTCGCGTCTGCCATGGATCAGCCCTTGTCTAGTGGTAGTGGTGGTCGGCCAAGAGGATCCCATGGGCACGGGAAAGGTCGGGGCGGAGGTGGACTGAAGAACAACGGATACCACTCAGAGCCGGATGAAGTCAAGCCCACCTCGAGCAAGCCTGCCTCCCCATACGAGCACCTGGAGAATACCGTAGAACTTGACGATCCCGTTTTTGCGCCGCTTTTCGTCGCGCCCGAGGACGAGCCCGCGAATCAAACGATGGAGGAAAAGGAAGCAGTTTACAAGGACGTGAGTATATCTGCCTAGACTTCCTCACCCCCTTTTCCTCGATGATATCGCTCTTTTAACATCGCCCCATTCTTTCTTTTCTAATCCTGTTTCGCTTGCTGCCTGTAATTGACCTGAGTGCAGCTTGTACATCTGTGGGAACTGGAGGCCAAAGTGGCCGTTCGTACGGGCAAAATGTCTTCTGAGAAGGGGGACATCCATAACCCTATAACAATGGCTGGTACATGTATGCACATGTGTTCCCGTAGAGAGCGGTATCGGAGGGAACGAGAGTTCAATCTCGAGGTTTGGGAACAGGTCAGTGTTTCTCTAAAACATATGTGATGGCCTGAATCTCATTGTGATCCAGCTACCCGGCACTCGATACGTAGATCACCCACACGCCGTGACAAAGTACGAACGCGCCCGAGGAGACAAAGTGACCCCATCTGACTTGCGACCGCTTCCGATCCTCAAGGTGCCAACCGCGCTCATCACCCTACAGCTCTGACCGATGTCCAGGCAACAATGGACTACATGCTACAGGATTTGATGTCACGTGGTGGCTTTGAAGCTACGCACAGTTTCATCAGGGACAGAACGCGTCAAATACGGGCCGATTTGACGATACAACGGCTTGCCTCACCAGTTGTGCTGGAATGCATCGAGCGGTGCATGCGATTCCATATCCTCGCCTTCCGAAAGATGCGCGATGACAAGAGTTTTGACAAGCCGACGGAGACTGGGCTGTTGTCGAATTGCACGCAATCGTTGAAAGAGCTGTACAATGACTTGCGCGACGAATCCGAATTTGGGCCTGCGTACGCTTTCCCCTGTGAAGTGGAGATGTGGATCTACAGATGCCTCATATTCATCCGGAACCAGGGCCCCGAACAAATCCCACCGCAAATCCAGGCACACCCACTGTATAAACTGGCCGTCCAGTTTCGGTCGCACGTGCAAAGCGCGAGCGGGACAATCACGAGAAGCAGCGAACTCAAAGTCGGGGGCCAGGGCATGGCCACGTTCCAGCAATTAGTGGAGAAACTGCTGGAAACAGAAGACGGGCGTCCGATGGTGTTCATGGTTGCATGCCTGTTGGACAGTATCTTCGGGACGGGGACGGTGAAGGAAATTGATGACCTCCGCGAAGGCTATACAGACTTGGATTTGATCGTTCGAGCAGAGCCATCAGAAGCAGACGAACAAGTGGATGAGGCGGAAGAAGAGGAAGAGGAAGTGGAAGTGGAAGATGAAACGGAGGAGGCTATGGAAGGAGAGGAGGAAGGAGTCACTGAGCAAGACGTGGATGACATGGAATCAGACTTGGATGATGAAGCTTTGACCGTGGCTCCTGAAACGGTTTCAACTTCTACGTTCTTGCCCCCAGTGACAGCTTCCGCATTTCCAACTGCAAGCTCATCTTCTGGCTTTCCACCATCTGCATCCGCCTTCCCAAATTCCAGCATCTCGCCTCTGACTGCGAATGCTTTCACAAAGATCACCTCTACGAGCAATGTTTTCGGCAATCGGTCGAGTGCTTTTGGGAACATCGGCGCTGGAAACGCATTCACTGCGATCGCTGCTTCTAGCAGTCGTCCGAACGGATCCCTGTTTGGTTCTCCCTCGACACGGATGAATTCTTCGCCCTTCTCGTCGGCAAATGGAACTTCGACATTACCGACCCCCGCAAGTGCTGCTCCAGTGACAAATTCATTCGGAGGTGGAGGAACAAATACAACATCTGATCCTCTCAACCCCAAGGCACCTGAATTCGTACCGTCATTTGGCCACTTAACGAACATGCCGCCGCCAGCACTCCCTGTTCCAATGCAGCCGCAGGCCATCGCCCCCGTCGCCCCCGCCGCACCATCTCAACCTATCCATCAACCCCAGCCAGCCAAACCTATATTTGGTGTGTCATCCACTGGGCTGGCGAGTTATAGTTCTGGTCCCGTCTTACCCCAAATCGATACCTCCTTGACCATCAAAATCAATGGGCCGATTACCCCAATCAATCCCCCCGCTCTGGAAAAAGTGCAGCCCGTGTCGTTGCCGTCGACGCCCACTGCGCCGCCCTTGCAGTCCGGCTTCTTCAATCTGACTGCAGGCTTGGGCGAGCCACTCATCCAGCCAATGAAAACCGGCAACCGTCTGCTTGCTTCGCTCAGGACGGATCTGGCGCCCAGTGCCGGAATGCTCAGTCCGTTGGTGATGACTCCATCATCGACACCGCTGAGAACTAGCTTCTCTCCAACGAAGCAGATCTCACCGCCTGATCGGAAGGGGAAAGGCAAAGCTACTGACATTGATCTTGAGACGCAGGCTCGGGAATTCGAGTCGCGTGGTCTTCTGGTGCGCGAGTCGTTTAAACGGTGGCAGAAACTAGCGACGGACCATGCGGAGTGGATCGCGGCCTGCCAGAGAGGCGAGCGTTACTCCGCTACGATTCGCAGCCGGAGATACGGGCGCTCTCTCAGGGATGACGACGAGGAGAGCTCCGCGTCCATGTCAGTCACGCCAACGAAACGGCGCCGGCAGAGGACGTATCAGCCCCGGAAAACGGACGATGAACTTCTTTCGCGGTTTGAGGAGGTGTGTGTGTGTGGTGCAGATACGGCCATGTCTCAACTCGGTCTAGAACAAGGCAGAGCACGACCGTCGCTGGGCACCGGGCTCTTTTCTCCAGATCATACGCAAGGCGCTCAAGCTCAAAAGTCAATGGCACATATGGTTGTCACTTAACCCCGAGGTTGATGCGACAGCGATCTGGGCTCAGACAAAATTCGATGTCGAGAAAGCCGATTCGAGCTGGGTGAATGAGACTGTTCTGGCCATCCCAGTGATCGCGCCAGGCAAGGGATATCCCGGATTGGTCGTTTTCGAGTGCACTCCCCTGGGCGGGGTGAATGACGAACTTGATCGCAAGTATCTCGTCCTCGACGACTGCTCTCGGTTGCGGGATCTCGTCAGCGCTTTGCCCGAGGACCGGCATTTTGTGCCCAGTCTGGTGTTCTTCGTTTGGCAATCCGGATTGGAAGATGATATGTTGGAGATGGTGGGTCGAGGTTCCTATCGACGATATCTGATATTTGACTCTCCTGGAGGCTAAAAAACTCGTCGACGCGGGCACCATCACTGGATTTCGCGTCGTTCCCGTTGCAGCAGTGTCGGACGATCTGGATCTCATGTTTAGTGATGCGTTGACCCACATGGATGTGGATGTGACCGGGCGCCTCGGGCAGGAGCTAACCGCGCAAGGTTCCTTCCTTTTTTTCTTCGTCAGATCACATTACTAACGGTGGACAGGTGTTTTCAAGAACCTCTGTGATTCTGTATACACCGCCTTCCTCGCGGAGTGGGCCGAGTCCTCGGAGTGGGGACTGATCTCCTCGGCTGTCGAGATCCTCAACGAAACGGCGAATCTGGCCTTGGATCTCGTTGGCCTGTCTCACGGACAACGTGTTTTGCCTCCGTTGCCGTCAGCAGAGATCTGGGATACCGAATCCGCCTTCGCGGCTATTGGCGCCTGGCTCCGTAACCCGCTTCTCGATGCTGACGGCGCAGATGCTGTGTGGGTTGATGTGAGGGCCTACCGGGATATTGGTCGCGGTGAGTATTTGTTCGCCGGTGGGGTCTCCCTGAGTTCTGAGCCAACCAGATTTTCCCCTCTTCCCATTTCTGGAGCATCTGAGAGAGTTGGTGGTACTGGACTCGACTGCAACATATTTTGTCTGCACCAAAGACAGTCTGGCCACCCTCGAACGCCTCAAAAATGCCGCTCGGGAGCTGCATTTCCAGTTGGCTTCTCGCGCCTTCTCTTCCTCCCGGCGACGGAGAACGCGGAGTGTCAGTGTCAGTGAAGATGCCAGGTTTGTCTTCTGGCTGCCGCTGCAGTGCTGTGAGCTGATCAGGAAACAGCTCATCGGTCTCCAAACGACGACGGATGTCTGTCTCGACATCCCAGGCCAGCCCGCCCCAAATCAACGGAAACGGAACTGCCCACGGAACACCGATACCGGGAACACCATCTCCCACTTTGAGCACCGTGTCGCTCGATCCGGCTGTCGTCACTGTGTCAATGCTGAGGCAACTGACCCAGGATCTCAAGTCGAAGTACGGCAAACGATAATCTTTCTATATTTGTGTAGCATGACATATCTACCCTGCTTTCGAATGGCTTGCGATCGCCCTGGATTGACTGAAAACCAACAAATGACTCTATTTACAAGCCCGTTTTCAGGCCGAAGCACAGTTGAACGTATAAAGCTGAGAATTTACGTTAATGTCGAGACCCAGGCGTAACCAGTGTCGCTTACGTCACCTGACTCACGTGAACATTTCTTTTTTTCCTCCGTTCTCCGTCGCGCAGACGAGGCCATGTCTTGCTCACTGTCCGCCCGCTGCATTCGGCGTACAATCGTCGGCCAACCCCAGTCATCTGTCCAGTCCGTTTCCTCTCAAGTGCCAGGTAACGTCGTCCCGGTTTCCGCCGTTACACCTGCTATATGCATTTCCCCGCCAGCTGCTAGACATTACAGCGTAGCCGCACTCAAAACACGTCCCGCTCCCCCGCACACGAGGCGAACCGAGCCCGTATTGTCATATGCCCGTCCTGCCGCGCTCGAGCCGGACGTGCGATGGATGGAGAAGTCGGATGTGCGGCCGCGAGACGACCAGGTTGGGGTTGCTACGTACAAGCCCGCGGCCGCGGAGCTCAGGCGGCGGCCACGCGAGGTCGGCTCCTCCACCACGCGCGACCGAGTCCTGCACATTGCGGAAGGGTCTGGCGCCGCGGCGCGTCGGACGGGGTCAACCATCACCGCGACACGCTCGAGGTCAGAGACGCGGCAGGTGTCCGGCGGCTCGTCGACGCCCGGCCGGGCCTCGAAACCAGACGCGCTGTTCTCGGAGCATTTGAATGGGCTGTTTGAGCCGCTAAAATTTCCGCCTGAGTTGTCGGCGAGGATACTCACGCACGCGAGTCATCCGGCAGCGTTCCACGGGCATAATGGGCAGTTTTCTTTCATGGGTATGTGTCTGCACAAATATACTCTCTCCTCTGTTCGTGGGATTGGACTGTCTGCTCACTGCGTTTCTCACACAGGTCGGCGCGTGCTCGAATCATACCTGCTCATTCTCTTGGCATCTTCACCCAAGCTGAAGCCCAGCCATGACTTGCAAGATATCGTATCGCGAGTATTGAACACGTATTTTCTCGGACAGCACATCGGCTCCCAATGGGGTCTCGGACGTGTCATGCGATGGACACCAACAGTAGCCGCCTCCATGCTCGAGGAGGGATCGCCTCTGAACAAAGAGAAGATTTTGAAAGACGTCGGGTTGTACAAGGTACAGGGCGACGCTGTGACCGCTGTAGTCGGTGGGATCTTCCAGCAATTCGTGCGTCTATCCGTTGTGATGCAGGTCCTCTGACTGATAGTGGACCAGGGTGCGTCGGTTGCACACCGGGTGTTCCATACGCGCATGCTGCCTCTTCTGCTGGAGCCCGTGGGTGGTCTCCCGGCTACGTTCCATTCGGATGCGCTCCGGGCTTGCTCGCGATTGGGTGGAGCCGAGGGGAAACTGGTCCATGAGACTTCGCCTGCATCACAGACCAAGGCTTCGGTGGTGATCGAAGCTGGAGATAGACAGACATTACAGCTCTAATGACAAGGCGTTCTTTGGGAGAATTATGAAAAGTTCAATATAATCTTAATCGGCATCAGGTGGAGGAACAGGAGGAGCAGTTGTTTTGAGACCGGAAATCGTAACAATAAGGGTGCAATAGACAAGACAGTCCGCCTGATTGAATGTGCTGGCATTCGTGTTGGAGTAGATAATCAGCGGGTGTCCCCGATTCGTTGTTTGAACGTGCACGTTAAATGTACAGTATTTTAAAGTAAATTACAACAATAAGTAAACGACCCAAACTGAATAAATAGTCCATATGGTCTTTCCATCAGAGGGACCGAGAAAGAGCGCAGGATTAAAACTCCGGGACCTTGTTGTAATCGTCGTCCGATAGTTTCATGCGGTTGTCCAGGCCACCCTTGTTGCCGTTGCGGAAGTCCTGCTCGGAGATGAGGACGTGAAAGTGGCGGAATCTGATCCACCTACAGCCATGACGATGTTTTCTCCCCGATCATCTTCCATGCGGCTCGCGTGCGTGATCCGAACACCGGGCATGCCCACGCGGGGATTCATACCGCTGATGTTGTGCTTTGGGTCGGAGGTCGCGTCGTTGAACATGGACGTGTTGGCGTGTGCTTGCATAGCGGACACGACACTGCCACCCTGGAGAACGGGGCGCGCATTGAGCGTTGCCACGAGCACATTGGAGTATAGGCGACCGATCGTCAAGAAGCTGAGGACAACCATTGGTCAGTCCATCGCGGCACAACAGCCCGTTCGTGCGACTCACAAGATGAAATGCCAGTTGAAGTGGGGCATGCTCAGCCATAGGATGAGGTCGACGACGGCTCCGGTCGTGGTGATCAGACCGGTCTCGACACTGAACCGGATGAGCTTATTCAGCGCACCGGAGGTCCGCGCGAACTGCGAGCCTCCCTTGCGACGGGCGAGCTAGACCGGTCCGTCAGCACAATAATCGGCTGGCAAAGGGCAGCTCATACAATGGTGACCAAGGCGATGGTGATAAGAATATCGCAGACCCCACTGCCGACGAGCCAGATCTGTCGAAATGCGCGTTGAGAGAGAGTGAATCAAGTGAAACCCAAAGATGCCGACCGTCACTTCGCTTGTCGACTGGAGGAGTTTTAGGGTGCTCAGGTTGCCCAAGGTCACCTACAACCTGTTTAGATCAAATCGGGACGGATCGAAGCGACCAGAATTACCGCAATACCGAAATAGAAGGAGGCCGCCATCTGCATCAGTGAGACCTGGATAACTGTCAGCTACACGGCCTCCGTCGGCGAAGGTGAGACAACTCACCATGCTGATGACAATGGGCACCCAGATGCTCTTCGTCAGAGTCCAAATGCGCCAGACGTAGAAGCCCTGCGCCATCGAAGCGACTGTTCGGGGATTAACAGTGGGCGAGCAGGAGAAAAGGCCGAGACGTACGGATGCCATTCAGTTCCGGAAGCGGGATGAAAGACCAGGGAAGGAAAAGAAGGGTGTTTGGGTCGCCCCAGCCGTCGCCGAACATTTGCCAGGCGGCGATGGTAGAAAAGATAGTGAAGATGGTCTCCAAGAAGAACATGGAATAGACCACAACTTTCATGAGCTTCCGGTCGTTGGGAAAACTCTCAGAGTAAATATCTGCGAGACGATGAATTTAGGCGCGAGCACGCCGGAGTGAGCAGTCCACGAACAAACTTGAACAACGAGGACCCCGTAGAGGAAGTAGGTCCACATGTAACCGAGGACCTGCCGACGCGTATTAGCCATTACTGACTCTCCTCCGTCGAGGTCGATCGGCTCACCATCGGGCCGGTTCTTCGTGGAGAATAAGCATAAAGGACGAGTTGGACAAGAAACAGACGTACAAGAACGGGATGTTGATTCCAGGAATGTGCGGGGGAGCCATCGTTGGTAGAAAGAGAAAGGGGTGACCGGGAGTAAGACATTTCCATGCAACCCCAGAAGCTTTAAAGTCCAGCAGACATACGCAGATGTCCGCTTGTCCATGAGGGGATACTTCCGTACATTCGCACCCGCATGGCCTTCCATCACGTCGAGAGACACAGTTACAAGATGCCTACCACTGATGACTCGGGGGAGATCTCACCAGCCAAGAGCAAGATGACCACAGTCCCAAAGAAGGAAGCATGGGTTACATAAGATCTCGACTTCCGATCCTTCTCTCCTCAAGGCTCCCGCGAAATAATCGCAGCCACAAGTGAAGCCAGCCATCGACTGTTCTATATCTGCTTCGTTCCTGACCACAAGCCTCATCACATCTATGTCAGGGTATATCAATCATTGCAGTGAGGAATGGTTCTTTTCCTCTGAAAATGTCTATGCTCCACTGTTGCTGATATCTGCTGTTAATCTATCCCTGCAGACTGGTCCTTGTGTTTCTGGTGGCAGACTGGCATTTGACTCAGAGCAGTGCACCATGTCTCAGCCGCCGAAACTGCGACCTGGAAAGTTCCGGTCCAGCCGCGTTTCATGGTTCTGTTCCAACCTTGGGATGGAGCACCCGATGAATCCGACGTCGGCGGAGACAGTTGGGACCATGGCCACGATCTGGTGATGATCAGCAAATGGCCCACAGCCTGGGTCAGCAGAAATGCAAGTCCGAGCTCCATGGCGCGTTCTAAATGCAACACAAATGATCATCAGCTGGCGCATCTGGCGCATGATATCTCAGCATGACATGTCCGGTCTTCGATGAGCTCCGTAAACGTGATGATCGACGGGCCATGATTCGGAATGTTCTCCGCTCAACGCGACTCCTCGCTCGATTTCACAGAACCCGAGCGATTGACGGACGCCCTCGGACACCTGACTTCGAGAGGCGTCCCATCATGTTCCCGCCGCTGACAACCGAACGGCGTCTGACGGCGACAAGCTGATGACTTCACAGCCTCCGTGGTGCATGTCGAAATAAGCACCTTGCTTTGCTTGGCCTCAGATCAATACCGCCCTCGTTGTGCTCCCAATCCGGAATACGATCAGCAATCCCAACGCCTTCTTTAACTCTCCGATATCGCTCTTCCTCTCCTCAGTTCAATCTCTGATACCCAAAATCATTGGAAGACTGTAACGATTGCAGCCCAGGGATTGTCCAACACATGCTCATGGGGAGGACATCGATGGGTCGATCCACATGAACGATATCAGTCAGAGATGGGTGTCTGTGATGTTCGACACTGATGATGGACGTTACTAGACGCTGATGATGATCGTATGTGTTCTGGCAAGTAGCAAGGATATCTGATAGATGGGGAGTTGCTACTTCCGCTCTCTCTAACGCGGAGAAGACAACGAGGGTTCGGGTAGGTCCCTGAGATCCCCGAGGTGCTGCACAGGTTTTTGGACGTGGCCAACAGTGACTGATCGAGAATTCCTTCTGTATATGCCTTCGCACTGCCTATAAGAATCACACCCGTTCGTCGACACAACCCACCCACTCCACACCTCCAATGACCGCCCCCCATTCTCTCGAACCTTCATACGACCTCGTCTTCGCTGGCGGAGGTACTGCCGCATGTGTCACTGCGGGTCGTCTCGCAAAGGCTTTCCCTGATCTCAAGATCCTTCTTCTTGAGAGTGGACCATCGACCAAGGATGTCAAAGACCATGTCATGGCGGGACAGTACCTCAAGCACTTGATGCCGACGTCCAAGGTCACCCAGTTCACCCAGTCGCAGCCGTCCGAGAGCGTCAACGGACGCTCTGTGATCGTCCCATCTGGACGCTGTGTCGGCGGTGGATCTTCGATCAACTTCATGCTGTACAACCGGCCCGCAAAGTCCGACTTTGACGCGTGGGAAAACGATTTTGGCAACGCCGGGTGGTCTGGCGACGACCTTATTCCACTGCTGGCCAAGGTAGGAGGAAGTTCCCATCCCCGCGTCCGATCGTGCACTCATCCCTATTTCCTTCTCAGGCCGAAACCTACGAAGTTGATCCTGCCCGTCCCACGCATGGATCCACTGGCCCGCTGAGAGTGTCGTCGCTCGGAGGCCACACGCTGTTCCCGATCGCCAAAGAGTTCCTCGAGATTGGCCCACAGGTCGAGAAGAAGCGCCCTTTGGGGAAAGAAGGGAACTCGTTTGGCCCCGAATCACTAAACGTCTTCTTCGTGAGTCGAAGTTGCTTCTAGGTAGTGATGATCATTCGCTTGACCTGACTCATTGTTCTAGCCCATGCCTAAATGGATTTCCAGCGACGGCCGTCGCTCCGATGCGGCAGTGAGTTGGGCCACAAGGCATCTTTGCTCATCGATCTGACCTGTCTAGCACTACTATGTCTTCAAGCCAGACTACCCGAATCTGACCGTTGCTGACGGTTGCATTGTCAACAAGATCGTGGTCGAGTCCGTCTTTTCTTCTGGGAAGGTCTCCAGAACTCGACTGAACGATTGCGTAGAAACGGCGTTGCCACCGGGGTCGAATATCTCTTCAACAAGAACATCCACGAAGATGCATCCCAGGACATTCGAACTGTCAAAGCGACCAAATTGGTCGTTGTGTCGGCTGGTGCCATGGGTTCGCCGCTGATTCTCGAGCGCTCTGGCATTGGGCGCAAGGATATCTTGGAGAAAGCCGGCATTCCCATCGTGTCCGAGCTCTCCGGGGTGGGCGATAACTACCAAGGTATTTCGGTCCTTCTGATCGGCAAATGCCAACTGAACAATGCCAGATCACACCTTCGCGGTGACACCCTACATCGCGATGCCCGATGCTCCAACAATGGACCCGGTCTACCGCGGCGAGCCCGAAACATGGGGACCCGGTCTGGCGGACTGGGAGCAGAACTCCAGTGGTATCTTCGCCACCAAGTGCGCATCTTATCTCATCGGATTCTGCCTTATCTAATCTCCTTCAGTGGTGTCGACGCCGCCATCAAGATTCGGCCGTTCCCCGAGGAACTGGCTGAAATCGGACCTGAGTTCACCGAGACTTGGAACAAGCAGCTCAGAGATTATCCTGACAGGCCTCTGTTCTGGCTTTCCAATGTGCCTGGGTTGGTATCAGCACATGTCTGGTGCTTCCATCATCGCTGATACATCAGCACAGATTGCCTGGAGATCAATCTGCCCTCCCGCCTCTGCGGTTCTTGTGTTCGGCCTGCTTCTTGGTCAGTTCATGATCACGGACTTGCCGGTGTTTGTCTGACTCCTCCAGGGCTATCCATCCTCCCGAGGCTATCTGCACATATCGTCCGCTGATCCTTACGCCCACCCTGACTTCCAGGCCGGCTTTTTGTCAGAGTGAGTACCGAACCAAGGTCCCTTGAGCCGCACTGACGAAGATAACCTTTGCCAGCCCTGCTGATGTAGCTGCGATGCGCTGGGGCTACAAGAAGGGACGTGAAATCATCCGCCGCCTCCCCTCGTTCGCGAGTGCCCTGCCTCCTGCTGGGCCCCAGTTCGGCGAGGGCAGCAATGCTGCATACACTGAAAAGGGACCTGTGCCCATCGATGCACCGAAAATCGTCTACTCGGCTGAGGACGACAAGGCCATTGACGCCTATCTCCGCCAGTGGGTCCAAACGACCTGGCATTCGGTCAGCCCAGTTTTCCTGTTTGGTCTATTCTTGGCCTGATCTTTCTCGTCTAGCTGGGAACCTGTGCCATGAAGCCCAAGGCCGAAGGAGGTGTCGTTGACAGCAAACTCAATGTGTACGGCGTGAGCAACCTTAAAGTTGACGACTTGTCCATCGCTCCCTCGAACGTCAGCGCCGTAAGTCTGCCAGCATGCTCAGTCACACCAGAAAATCAGGCTGATTGCCTGTCTAGAACACCTACTCGGCAACTGTTGCAATCGGCGAGAAGGCTGCGGTCATCATCGCCAAGGAGCTGGGTGGCTCACTTTGAACAGAGATCATCGCGTCTTTGTAACCCAATACAAGTTGTATTTTCGGTATATGAGAATCCATGTGTAAATTCCGACTGGACCACGGAGACTTGCGTCGGCACACAGGCCTCGCCGGAAAGCATGTTAACCATGCATGTGATATGGGCCAAGAATAATCCTGCTGCGTGAACTTTGGCATGACTTCGTGTGGGCGACAGATCACCTAATACAGAACCCAGCAATCATGTTTATCTGATAAAGATGGGGAGTTGATCATACTCTGGCCTGGCCAGCGGCTTCTAATAAGCTAGTATACGGATCGAGTAGGCGAGAAGTGAAGGAAATATACGCATTATGTACCGAGGCCTATGGGGGATATAAAATAAGATTCACTCTTCACCAAGGCTGAGATTTGAACATGCGACCCTCTAGGGTCAACGCGGGGGAATATCGGAGCTCGGAGCAGACCGGGTGCAAGGAAACTGGTGTCGACTGAACTAATATGAGAGTGGAAATGTATAGACAAGGCAGGGCGGCCGCATAAGTAGATGAACTTAAAAAGATATAGCTCACTTGATTCCGGACTGTATTCAAATTGTGGACTCGAAATCGACATGTAGCAGTCTTGAACTCACCGGCTCTATTCACATGTGTAAGGCCGGGTGGTTTCGAGTTCTGGATTTGATCCGCCCTAACTCCGAGTCGGAACCCGACCCCATTACATGACATCGACCATAATACGGTCTGCAGGCTTTTGAATTTAAAGCTTTTCGGCCAATGTAAACGGCAAAGTTACGGAGCGTGCCCGCGGGCGAGTGCACCGTTACTGCCAGTGATTTCACGTAGGATTCCGTCTATTCAAGGGATCACGTGCTGGGACGAGCGTGTGTCGGCATTCGCCGAAACCCCAAAGTTTTGGGCTTGTCATTATTTAACAGTGGGGTCTAGATCGACTCTTTCTCCACAACCCCCATGTCGTCCGTATATCCTCGCAAGGCCTCGCCACCCATGGCCGATCCCGTGGACATTCCGGAAATCGAGAATTACGTCTCCCACACTCTCAAGACGACGAAGCCGTTGCCTCCCATCACTTGGAGCAACCTGCTGAACGAACTCAACTGGCTCAATGTGGCCATTCTCACTGTTACGCCCGTCATGAGCATCATTGGTGTCTGTACGACTAGATTGCGATGGGAGACGGCGCTTTTCTCTGTGTTTTACTACTATTTCACGGGGCTTGGTGTGTTCTCTCGCTTCAACGCCTTGCGAAAGCAAGATTTACATTCATGCAGGAATTACGGCGGGTTATCACCGTCTCTGGGCCCATCGCTCGTACAATGCCGGAAAGCCATTACAGTACTTCTTGGCTATTGCTGGTGCGGGTGCCGTCGAAGGGTCGATCAAGTGGTGGTCCCGGGGCCATCGTGCTCACCATCGCTACACCGACACCGAACTCGATCCTTACAACGCCGGAGAGGGCTTCTGGTACTCTCACATCGGCTGGATGCTGCTCAAGCCCCGCCGCAAACCCGGTGTCGCTGACGTCAGCGACCTCTCCAAGAACGAAGTCGTGCGCTGGCAACACCGTCACTATCTCACTCTCGTTGCTGTCTTCAGTTTCGTCGTCCCCACGATCATTCCTTGGCTTTTGTGGAACGATGCGCGCGGTGGCTATTTCTACGCTGGCTTCGCCCGGCTCTGTTTCGTTCACCACTCCACCTTCTGCGTGAACTCTCTCGCGCATTGGCTTGGCGATTCTCCGTTCGACGACAAGCACAGTCCTCGTGACCACATGTTGACTGCGTTTGCTACGATTGGCGAGGGTTACCACAACTTCCACCACCAGTTCCCGATGGACTACCGAAACGCGATCAAGTGGTACCAGTACGATCCGACAAAATGGTTCATCTGGGTCTGCCAGCAGCTTGGCTTCGCGACCCACCTCAAAGTTTTCCCCGACAACGAAGTTCGCAAGGGCCAGCTTACGATGCAGTTGAAACGTCTTCGCGAGACACAAGAGAAGCTGGCGTGGCCAACAGATAGCAACGATCTGCCTGTTATCTCATGGGAGTCCTTCCGAGAACAGGCGGCTAAGCGACCGCTCATTCTCATCGCTGGCTTCATCCATGACGTAGCCTCGTTCATCGACGAGCATCCCGGTGGCGCGCATTACATTGTCAAGTACATTGGCAAGGATGCCACCACAGCGTTCTTCGGGGGTGTATATGACCACTCGAATGCTGCTCACAACGTATGTGTCTTTCTTCTGTGTCTTGATTCCGAGGCTAACCCAAGCGCAGTTGCTGGCAATGAAGCGTGTCGGTGTTTTGCACGGTGGACTACCTCAGGGCGTGGACGAGCACGCTATCCCTCCCTCACAGCGGCTGAAGATCGCGCGGTATTCTGAGCTCAGTTCACCAAATTGCAGCAGCGCTGTCTCTGACAACGAGGAGGGATTGTTGAACTGATTCGGGCGTGGCAAAATAATACACATTCGTCATTCATAGAGCGTAGGAGCACTGGGGTGTTGTGTTGCAATGCAAATGTTCTTGTATGCAAAAACGGCCAGGCAGTGAGATATTATCATGCATCGTCATCTTGGAATTTCGTGGGGTACATGTTGTAGTAACACGATGATACAGATACAAAGTCTACTAGGAGGGCACATCTGGTCTACATATCCAGCCAGCCAGGCTCTATGCCTTGCTCTTCGTTGTGGTCTTACTGAACAGTTTGGCTTTCTCGATTGCAGCCTGACTCTGCTTGACGAGGTTCTTCTTGTAATCCGTAATGCTGATGTCCGCCTTGGTCAAATTCTTGATCGTGTGGTCCGCGACCTCCCACAACTCTTCAGCAACTTGAGAGATCAGTCGGAAGTCGTGCGATACGATGACGACTCCGCCCTCGAACTCCTTGATTGCCTGCGCCAAAGCGTCGATCGACTCCATGTCCAAATGATTGGTGGGCTCGTCGAGGAGAAGGATGTGCGGATGTTCCATGGCCAGCTGCGAGAACACCACTCGATTACGCAGTCCATCCGAGAGCTGCTTGATGGGCGAAGTCTGGTGGGCACCGGATAGACCGAAACGACCCAGCTGCGACCGCCAGCCTTGGGTGTCGATCTCCGGAAACTTTTCATGATAAAGCGACTGGAAGTATTCGATGGGGGCCTGCTCGTAGGGCAGTTGATCGGCACTGTGCTGAGAGTATTTTGCCAGCTTCAGGGCAGCCTGGGTAACGAGATGAGCCGGATTTCCTCATCGCAAAAAAAGCACACTGACATGCTTGGAAACTGTGCCTTCGCATGGCTGCAGCGCTCCAGTGATCAGATGAAGGAGCGTTGACTTTCCGGTACCATTGGCACCGAGAATGGCTACCCGTGAGTCCATGCTTGAAGGAATCAGTCGAAGGTCCGATACAAAGCATGTCGACTCACTCGATACCGAAGCTCAGCTTTTCATATAGGTAGTCCTCCTTCTTGCCCGAATAAGAAAAGGCCACAGAGTCGAATGCGATGATGGGCGGAGGCAGCTTGCGGATATCCTCGAAATTGAACCGCAGCGCCCGTCTCTCCTCAACTTTCTCGATCAAGCCAGCAGCCTCCATCTTGTCGATAATCTTCTGCTTGGACTTGGCCTGTCGCACCAAGTTCGCATATGTTCCAGCAGATGCAATGAACCTGATCTCATCAGTAAAGATGATACGGGCAGAGTGAGGACGATGATACTGACTTCTTGATGTGCGCAATTTCTTCCTGTTGCTTGTGGTACGCTTTCATTTGGTTGACCTCATTCTCCGTCTTGGTCCGCACGTAGGTGGTGTAGTTACCCGTGTAATAGACCAGTTTCTTTTTGTGCGTCAAGTCCATGATGTTTGTGCAAACACTGTCCATGAAGTCCTGCGAGTGACTGGTGATGACCAAGATGTGGTTGTAGGTGCTGAGGTACGCCTCTAACCATACGACGGCTCCGAGATCGAGATGGTTGGTAGGTTCATCGAGCAGTAGAACGTGAGGCTTGATGAAGAGGGCACGTGCTAGGGCCACACGCATACGCCATCCACCACTCATATCCTTGGTGGGCTTCTTCATCATGGTCTGCGAGAACCCGAGACCGTGAAGAATACTTCCGGCCTTGGTCTCGAAGGTCGCGGGGTCCATTTCTTCTAGCATCTCGTATGCGGACTCGAGAGCCAGCTCATCGACGTCATCAGCAACAGAGAGCTCCTCAATGTGGGCCTCGAGTTTTGCGACTTTGGCCTTTGCAGAGGCCACAATGAAATCCACCGCGTTCACGTCAGACGGTTCGGCCTCACCGGACACGAGGTAGATATCCATGTGGTCCGGGATCTCGATGTCTCGAGCGCCGATGGATTGCAGGAATGTCGACTGGCACGATCGTGATCAATCCTGCATCCTGTTCAAGCAAAGGCTCACTCACTCACCTTTCCCGATCCGTTAGCACCCAGTAGACCATATCGCTGTCCGTAGTTGAGAGCGATCTCGGCACCCTCTATCAGGAGCCGTCCATGAAATGATAGAGTGTAAGAGTCGATTTTGATATCCCGTCCCTTGACATCGGATACCAGGACACCAGTAGCGCTCCTACACGGCGATGAGTCTAGATTTGTGCGCAATGCAAAGTTGCGAGACTCACCGATCGGTAGCGAGGGCGAGCTTGGCCATGCTCGTCAAGTCCTCTGTGCTGTTCGCAGCAGTGACGCTCGTCAATGGAGTGTTCGCGGAGCTACCATCGCGAGAGCCGAAGGTGGGTGTGCCAGTCGTAGAGCCATCGCCTCCGGTCGCAGCTTTCTTGGCTGCCTTCTCTGCGAGTCGCTTTTGCTTGGATGCTGAGGGAGCCATCGTGGTCGAGAGTCAAAAAAATGACCGGGACCGCCTTTGGCAGCTGCCTTATTGGGCTCACGTGCTTTCTCCACCCTTTGTCAGAGTAGCTTTTTTGTCAGTTGTGCAGTCTTTTCGGCCTAGACGACTTTCGATAACACCGTCCGAACCTCTCATTGCGATCGCCGGCGTTGGACATCTCGATCTCGTTTTGCAATATTGTACATGACCAATTACGAAGTGTCCATCTCATCACCAGCAGGAATGAGAGTCACTTCTTCGTTAACAACAAGGCTCCTGATGTTCTCCGTTTTCCAAGCGGTAGTACCCCGGCGGAAACCATATTGCCGTTCCTTCTGAACCCGCTCATTCGGCATCTCGACGTTGCGGAGCATCTCGGTATGCGATGCAGTGATGATGCACGCGTCTACGTTGGAACCCGATCCGAGATCGTTGAAGATACCAGCGGAGATGGCATCTTTGACAAGTTGGAGTGCATCCTCGCGCTGCGCGTACGTGGAGTGAGCGCGGTGTGCGGAGACGCAGACATGCATACCTCCATGTCAGCTTTCCAGCCGCTTTCAAACACAGCCATGGCTGCAAGACTACCCGATCCCATGGTCACGTAGGGAAGCTTGTCTGTTGAACCGTGAGGGTGGATGGTGAAGAGATGCGGGCCTGTCACGTCGACGCCTCCCAAGACTAGAGCAGCACCGACATGACCTTGGTATCTTATAAATGGATTAATTCATAGCCTTCTCAATTGATAAAGAATGCAGAAACATACCGGAATAGCATCTGCTTGAGCATAGTCATGGCCGTCACAACGCGCGGTTTACGTCCAGTTGATAGTCCGTGTAGCTCCATGTTCGAAGATATAAGAGCAGTAGTGAATTCCGTGTCGGCAGCAGTTCCAGCACCGCAGCAGCGTATGGAATCTGTGATGTAGTGGATCTGCGTCGAGAGTGTTGAGCGACGCGCGTCCATCTCGCCTGATAAATGCACACCTTTTCGCAGTTCTTATCCGCTACGATGGCTCCAGCAGTTGCTCTCGTATCGGCGCCGAGCACAATCCCATCTTTGAAGAGACATCCGACGATCGTAGTCCCAGTGCTCGTGGCCCTGGGCAGCGGCAGACCCTTCTCAGCGATGAAGTTGTTTCTGAGGAGGTTTGAAGACAGCAAAAGAATGTGGGTTTGGCTGACCGTAATTGGTTAGAGAAATCGAAACCGGGCGAAGAGTACACAGAGGTCATGGTATTCGTTCCAATGTCCGGTGCACTGAGGTGATTGAGATTCAGAGGACGCGTCGCACTCACGTGAGGGCCCACGGCTCATACTGACATCCGCAACAATTCATCACCGATCTCATCACCGACCTCCGTCCCTTCTCAAGTTCCACACCGTAATGAGCGCGCGCGGCCCACGCAAAGGAGAGAACTACGAATTGAGCATCGACTTGAACAGTGGATGGCCGGACAAGCGAAAGGACGCTATCAAGCGTGTTATTGCATCCATGACTGTGGGAAAAGGTGCGTTTAACTGGCCGACATCGTTCCTTGCACCAAATAACCGACACAGTTCCTAGACGTCAGCGGTTTGTTCCCAGATGTACTCAAGAACATGCAAACGGATGATCTCGAGCAGAAGAAGCTGGTGTATCTGTTTGTCCGATCTCTGCTCGTCGTCCCTCATCCTCATCGTAAAGCATCTAGGTATCTCATGAACTATGCGAAGACGCAACCAGAACTGGTCATTCTGGCGGTGAACACTTTCGTTAAGGACTCTGAGGACCCCAATCCCCTTGTACGAGCACTGGCGATACGGACGATGGGCGTGTTACGGGCCCAAAAGATCATCGACTATCTCTGTGATCCTCTGCAACGATGCCTACGCGACGAGAATCCATACGTGCGGAAGACAGCAGCACTCTGCGTCGCCAAGCTTTACGATCTGAAGCCAGAACTGGTTCTGGAGAATGGGTTCTTAGATCAATTGCATGACATGATCTCGGACAGCAATCCTACGGTGCGTCAATTCCGCAGTGTAACTGCGCATGCCACAATCAGGATATGTCCAGGTGGTCGCAAATACGGTCTCCGCACTCACTGACATACACGAGGCCGCTTCCTTGAATCCTTCTGGCCCCAACGATCCGGGTATCTGGACGCTGTCCTCTCAAGTTTTGAATCGACTGCTCATTGCTTTGCCTGAATGTTCCGAATGGGGGCGTATCACCCTTCTAAACGCGTTGGCTCGCTATGGTCCTCAGGATGAAAAAGAGAGCGAACATATCTGCGAACGGGTCTTGCCTCAATTTCAGCACGTCAATGGCAGTGTGGTACTTGCCGCGGTCAAAGTTGTGATGATTCACATTCGCGGTGTTTCCCGTGAGGATCTGGTCAAACAATTTCTTCGGAAAATGGCCCCTCCTCTTGTCACATTGTTGTCTTCGCCGCCGGAGGTCCAGTGGGTTGCGCTGAGAAACATCAATCTGCTCTTACAGAAACGACCTGAAATCCTGGCAAACGAGATGAGGGTGTTCTTTTGCAAATACAATGACCCGCTATATGTCAAGGTCGAGAAGTTGGATATCATGGTCCGCCTGGCCTCGGACAACAACTTGGATGCGTTACTCAGTGAGCTCAAGGAGTGAGTATTTTTCTTTGCCACCATGTTGTCTTCAATCTGAAAATCTGCAGGTATGCTTCTGAGGTTGATGTAGATTTCGTTCGCAAAAGCATCAAGGCTATTGGGCAAACCGCGGTTAAAATCGATGCCGCGGCAGAACGCTGCGTGAGCGTGTTACTGGAACTTATCGGAACTCGGGTCAGCTACGTTGTGCAAGAGGCTGTTGTTGTCATGAAGGTAAATACCGTTGGACCCATCAGAAAGCGACTGACCATTTGACAGGATATCTTCCGGAAATACCCTTCGACGTACGAGGGTGTCATCCCAACACTTTGTGCCAATCTCGAAGAATTGGACGAGCCAGAAGCCAAGGCGTCGCTGATTTGGATAATCGGAGAGTACGGTAATAAAATCGACAACGCGGCGGATCTACTGGCGATATTCGTTGACTCGTTCATGGAGGAAACCAATGTCGTACAGCTACAAACGCTTACGGCCGTTGTCAAACTGTTCCTGAAGAAGCCCGAATCATCTCAGGGCATCGTCCAAAAGATCTTAGACACGGCAACCAAAGAAAGTGACTCTCCAGATGTGCGAGACCGAGCGTACATTTATTGGAGACTGTTGTCTACAGACACAGCTGCAGCCAAGGTAAATCAAGCGTTTTTTATGTTTCTGTCTGATGCTGTTTCAGGCTGTAGTTTTATCCCAGCGACCGCCGATATCTATACCCCAGACGACAGTAGCACCTGCTCTGCTGGAACAGCTCTTGGGTGAAATTTCAAGTCTTGCCAGTGTCTACCACAAACCAGAAGAGACGTTTGTTGGGCGTGGACGTGTTGGAGCAGATTCTCTGCAGAAAGGCGAAGAGTGCGTCCTGATCACTTCCATTTATCTCTCTTGACATCGGAAGCAGGGATGTCTTTTCTGCACGAAAAGCGCTGGAAACTGTTGCCCAAGGACAGCAAGCAGAGAATCTCCTGTGCGACTTTCACTTTTGCTTTGTTAATCGTTTCCACTGAGCACTCAGCAGCGATTTCGGTGACGATACCATCACTAACGAGGCTCCCTCTGGGCTTGCCGCAACTCAGATGTTGGCACAGCCAGCGGCTCAAGGCATCGTCACTGGGCTCTCGGAGAACCCTCTTGATGATCTCGTCTCCATTTTTGGTTCTGCGAACATGGGAATGGGAGGACCGGGCCCTATGAGTGCATTCGGTGGCAACGCGTTTGGGGGAAGTGTGTTTGGATCTCCAGCATCAGTGTCCGCTCCACCGGCTTCGTCGTCTGCTCTGGCGCCTCCAATACCAGCACCTCAGCAATCGCAGCCCCAGGAGGACTTGCTTGGCCTTTTCTAGGTTATTGATTTACGCACCCGATCGATGTGTATTGTATCCTACAAGCCAAGTACAGTTGGAGCACAGAAACGATCCAATCACTTGAGAACCTCCTCCCGCTCTAACACCGACTTTTCGAGCTTGATGAGAATGGTTGTGCGTGAGGGATGCTGGGCCGTGGGGGTATTGTGAGCAGTAACGCGAGCGGGCTAGGTTGCCGGTCAGGGCTCATCGCATAGCAGACAGAAACCGCACACGCACAAATCCCAGACCATCCAACACGGCCTCAACGATACCAGCAGTAAACGAGGAGCAGCTGAGTTGACTCATGTCTTTCGGAACGGATATATATCGCTCGACGAGTGGGTCGTTGTCGACGATCATGTACTCGTCCGCATTCTCGACACTCTTCTCAATCGCGTCAGCCGGTTTTCCAAACACCGCACGCCATACTTGTGTATGGATGGACATTAGAGCCGGCAGGAAGCGTATCTCGCGCTTAGGGGCTTTGGAGGCAGCTTCAGCTCGCCATACCATCAACTCGAGCACCCGCGTTCCGATACGATATCCCAGCGTGTTCAGCCTCCTCTCCAAGTCGTTTATCCCGCTGACCCTCTTCTGGGTATATTGCACGATCTCAGAGAAGAGAAAGGTGTAAGCCGCGCCAGAGACTTCGGTTATTCGTGTTTTGTTCAGATTCCGGTCATATATGTTTGGTCGTACACCAGCAGGTTTGGGGGCTGGGGTTCCTGGACCTGATGGGAGGGAAAACCGCGTGGAAGAGGCAGCAGGAGAGAGGTGTTCAACAGAGGACGATTGAGATGAAGTTGAAAGCACAGATATGCGTGAATGTGGTTGGGAGTAAGCCATATTTAGCAGCCTCCGTCGCTTTCATTCCAGATGATACGCACAAACGATAGGGAGGGAACACGAATCATAATCTACAATTGTCCTATTCTCTGCGCCATCCTTTCTTTTACAGTCTGGTATGCGCTCATAATGGTCTGCTCGTTGATGACGATTTCTGTCGTGTCAGCTCGGGGTCTACTGACGCGCGAAGCGATGGCGGTCGAGTCGGTGTCGACGATGATACTATAAAACGCGTGAAGTTTGCATTCCAGAACCGTTACGGATACGCACCCATCGTCGATAGTTTCGTCCAGACACAACAACACCAGATCCAGATTCTCCAATACGTTCCTCTTTTCGACCTGATTGCGTAACAAAAGGGAAAGGGCCTCGAAGAAGTTGTTCAGCGCCGTCGAAAGCATGAGCTCGTTTTCGGTGGGACCAGCAATCAAGTACATGATGAGGTCCAAAGAATGCTTGTATACTGCAAGGTGCCCATCGTACAAGATGATATCGCCTACAAGACCAGGGGTGAGATCTCGAGAGCGCACGGAGCGAGGATGAGGAGCGTCAGAAAATAAAACTCGCCTCCTTGCTTCTTGGTCTTCTGCCACAAACCCTTCTCGAATGCCTTCTGCTCCTTCAAAGTGGTAAACTCTTTAGACTCGCCCTGCGGATAGCTTTTGGGATTGTAATATTTGGCCAGGACACGAGAACCCTCGCTATCCAGGATGATGAACGACTGGATGCTGTAGAGAGACAAATTCATTCCGGACATGATGACCCCCGGACACGTCAAGCGTAGTGTGAAGAGGATGGGACGATCACGTGAGATCGTGCTCGTCCTACGCAACCCGATTAGGAAGGGCGATGCAGACCGCACTTATCTTTCCTTGCGATGGTTCTTCGAACGATCTCCGACCAGATCCATGGAAATTGCTTTCGTGGACACTTGGAGGACATCTTTTACTGCGAGCCAAAACATGCTCCGTCGATGAGTAGGTAATGATGCTGACTGGATAGCGAGATCAGATGCCGTTGTTCCGCCTCAATCTCCTGCAATCTCCTAAATGGAAGCGGGGGTTACGGATTACGGATTACAACCGTGATTGCAGCGATATGCTAACGCGCTCACGATTAGATCATGGATTTTCGGATTTATAATTCGAAGTTCCGTGACGTCACAACATTATCGCCTCTCATCTACCGCCATGTCGAACACTCTCCCTGAGCTCCCGTACGCTTACGATGCCCTCGAGCCCTACATCTCGACGCAGATCATGACTCTCCATCACACCAAGCACCATCAGACTTATGTCAATGCTTTGAACGCTGCTGAGACTGCCTACGCCAAGGCGGCAAGCCCGAAGGAACGCATCGCTCTCCAGGCAGCCCTCAAGTTCAACGGCGGAGGTGCGTGCATCTCTCTCAACGAGTCATGCAGACGGATTCTTATCGCGTTCATCAGGCCACATCAACCACTCGCTCTTCTGGAAGAACCTCGCCCCATCGGCGGAGAAGGGCGGCCCCGGAGGCGCTCTTAAAGACGGTCCCCTCAAGGAGGCCATCATTGCTCAATTTGGCAGCCTCGACAACCTGCAAAAGGAGTTCAACGCCGCGACTCTCGGTATCCAGGGCTCTGGCTGGGGCTGGCTCGTACGTGGTTTGTTATCTCTGCACGAAATGGCGTGCTCAATGATATCAGGGTCTCAACCCTGCTACCAAACGCCTCGAGATCGCCACCACCGCAAACCAGGACCCTCTGCTCACTCTTGTCCCCCTGATTGGTGTTGACATCTGGGAGCACGCTTTCTACCTCCAGTACCTCAACGTCAAGCCTGATGTAGGTTCAAGTCTAATTTCATGTGCCTTGCTCTGAATGCTTTGTTGCAAAGTACCTCAAGGCAATCTGGAATGTCATCAACTACGAAGAGGCTGAGAAGCGCTTCATTGAGTCCTCCAAGCTTTAAGTTTTCGGGCTTAGCAAGTGCATGAATACCTGATGATATGTTCGGGGGTACTGATCGTATGCGCAGGATCTTGTAATCCACCCAGTCCAATACGTCATTCAGAATATCGAAAGCAAATCAAATAACCCAATGGCTTGGAGTGCAAAGAAACGCGGATGCAGGTTGTATACGAACGAGATGTAAATTGAAACTGAATGTGAAATTATGGCGAACGAGGTTTCAGCGGAAGATGATAGATATGTAGTCCTTACCTAAGCGCGATTTGTCCAGTGTGATAGTGCACGGCCACAGTGGGTCGATGTGCTGTGGCTGTGAAGTGGTCTGATTTCGACGCTTCTCTCAAATGGGCTCAGATGGTAAAATGTCGGGCAAGCACGAGACGCCTTCTGCTCCTACTCTCATGTCTGGAGACCTCGGACTTGACCCCAGCGACCCGCTGAATCTGCTTCTTCACAACAGCGACCAGCATAATCAACAGTCGGACACGAGCACAGACACAGACTCAGTGGACGCACCCACTCCGCCAGATTGGAATTCACTGTCAGCTATGTGGCCTTCTTTGGATGAACATGTACCCGGCGGAAAGGATTTTGGTGTTGGAATGGATATGGGCATGGATTTCGGGCTGGACATGGACAATATGGACATGTCATTCGACGCTGTCGGGATCGAGCCGCACTCCCTTTACCATTATACGGCCCCGGAGTCGTACACTGCACCCAATCCATTCCAACTATTCTTTTTGGATCAGCAAAACAACGACTCCAAGGCCAATCTGGCGTTGGCTTCCCCATTGTCGGACACCGCGAGCGGCATTTCATTCAACTCCCTGTCCCCACCGTCGTTCTCTCTCTCTTCCCCGAGTGAAGCGGAGCGAGCTCCGTCATTGAGCTCAGGGTCTCCTTCCCCGCTGTTGCTTCCCACCCCTCCGCTCCCGTCCGCATCCTCTCCACCGTCTACTTTCATGCTTTCACCCCCATCTGGCGTAGAGGACTCCACTGAACTTGCTCTGGCTTCGAAGGTTCTCAAGTCAGCCGGAGTTCAGTTGGGAGCGCTTCCCGGGCAAGGAGTCTTTGATCTGGGGTTGAGCATGAATCTTATCCGGGACCACGCCCGAGGAGTGGTCCCCTCCTCAGCGACTTCGCAACTTCCATACACGACGGAACCTACTATCTCAGCTCACAGCAATTCGGCGTTTACTACTACACCCGTAGTCTCCTCGGGGTCTCTCATGGACGCATCAACTCCAGTTGCAAGCTCGTCCCGGCCTAAGACCAGTCACACTACGATCGAACGGCGTTATCGAACAAACCTCAATGCACGCATCCTTGCCTTGCGTGCAGCTGTTCCTGCCCTGCGTGTGGTAGATCGTGCCGCCGCACTAAAGGCGTCGACGGAATCGTCCCATTCCAATCCTATTCCGGGTTCGTCTTCTAACGTGATCCCGAATCCGTTCATCCCTGCGGACTCCGACGAAGAAGATGTGATCGACGCGCAAGGATTGGTCGATGGTGTCAAGTTGGCGCGCAAGAACTCCAAGGCAACAGTGCTGTTGAAAGCAACCGAGTACATTCACGTCCTCAAGAACCGGGAGCGCCGGCTCAAAAAAGAAGTCACGGGGCTGAAATCGCTGATCAGATCGCTCGTTGGTGGTGGTGACGCTGGTGAGAGGGTGATTAGAACGTGGGAAAGCGAATGGGGTGCCTTGGAAGGACCGGGTGTTACACACGGTCTCACTGGATTGGAAGAGGATGATGATGAAGACGGGGATGACGATAGTGACGAGGAAGGAAGAAAGAGAAAGAAGCCCAAGATGGATCCCAAGCCAAAGGCGACTAAGCCGGCGCCCAAGCCCGCGGCCGTCACAGCTCAAGATGGACAGCCGACCGAGAAAAAGAAGCGTGGCCGGCCCAGGAAAGTCGTCCCGACGTCTAACCCAGCTACATCCTCCGTTCCACCGCACACAACAACTCCTCTCCAGTCCATCTCCTCAGAAACGTCGGCTACCGCTCCTGCTAGACAATATCTTCTCGGTGCATTTGCCTTATTCTCGTTCTTCGCCAATGTCAAGCAGTCTCCGCCTGTCCATCACACTCACGAGGGTCATGTACTGGCGCGCCTTTCGACTTCGACTCCACAGAACGTCGGGATTATCCAGTCCTTCCACCTGCTTGTTAGCGTGCTGGTGCTGACGAGTGTGACTTGGCCCCTTGTCCGATGGGGCTGGAGCACATTACGAGCACCGCGAACCAAGCCTTCTGTACGGTTGGTGGTAGAAAGCGAAGACACCGATTCGGACGAGTCCGTTTCTGTCTCCAGCGACGAAGTCGATGCTATCTCTTCTGTTGTCAAAGACGCGGAGCGCTGCATCCTGAATGGTGCTAATTCTCCCTGCCGACTTATCTTCATTACTGATATCCTGATCAGATAATTCCCGACTGTCATCGCGACTTTCTGCTGCACTTCGCCTCAATCGTAAATCTGAAAGCCGACTTCTTGCACTATTGATGCGGCCTGTGCCGCTGATTGGTGGACCTGTGGCTAGAGCGCTTTGGGACGAAGGAATGGGTCTCACCGTCGAGGACGCTCTTGCTCGCGTGTCTTGTTGCCCTGAAAAAGACAATGCAAGTCAAACGCAACTCGTGTTGTTAGATCGATCAGCTGACTATCAACCAGGTCCTTCGAGCTCTGGAAGGCACTCTTGCGACTGAAGGTCTTCGAGATGTTGCTGCCAGATGTTTTGTTCAGACTGTTCTCGGAGATTCGATGCCGGGTGATGACGCAAAAGCACTGCGAGTTGCCAGTGAGCTTGGCGGTAGGGTGGGTAATCTCGCCAGTCGAGTGCGACGCGTTCAGCAAGGGTACAATCTGAATGCTCAAGTCGGCGGCACCTGCAGCGGACAGGCCGAAGCGGACACTGTCAAGTTGCTGCATGCGACGAGTCTTTATCGGCAATTTTTGGAGACTCCGACTGCATCTGTAAAGCTTGCCCTGCGAGCCGCTTTGGGCAGCAGCAATGTCTTCGAGGAAAGCAGGACTGTTGAGGAAGCGAAGGATCTCATCGTGGATATGCTCACAGCTCGCTAGATGTGACGCGGACATCTTGTACACTATTTATCTACAAATACAATCCATAAGTACTGTATAACATCGGGTACCGGGCCACCTTAACGTTTTTGGCCTGGTGCTCGATACTGATACATAAAATTGGGTGGCCTATGTATTCTAATCTATGGGCAAGGATCCTATCTAAGACCTCTAGATTGTACAATAGCTGGTTGCTGCTTGTACCGAGCTCTGGAGGTCATATGGTCAGGTTGATCCAAATCAGGAAAGTATTGTCATCCGGGCCACCTCGCCCTCAGTGCAATGAGCATAGGGTGACGAATACACACCTGGCAGATGAACGATGGAACCCCACCCAATCGTCCTACCAAGTCCTAGCGCGACCCCTTGAGCCATTCTTACATATGAGCCCACTCCTCTAGCTGCCATTCCCATCCTCAATGACTGTTTTAATGTGTTTCCTGCTGTTATGCAGGAGTGATGGTCTTTCGGGAGGCTAGATGTGCTCTTATTCAAAGGATAGCTCGAATAGATTCTGTAAGTGTCCATGCTTGACGTCAGGTCCAACAAATACAAGTGTTCGGGCCTCAGAACACAAGAATTCACACGACATTGGTGGGAACACAGATTCGGACCGCAATCCCGAACGAGTCAATGGATCAGTCAACTTCAAAATTGGTACTCAGACGCTCTGAGGGTATTAGTCCCTTGAACAAATATGAAAAACTCGAAATATAGTACTGTTAGAGCGTAGGGGGCAAATGGCCCATTTCCTGATTCGGCCCACATGGTGATATCATACAGTACCTGCTTTTAAATACATTCCGTCACATAGGAACTCATTGTTTGGATTTCTAATATGTATGTTGCAAGCTCTCGATCGTTCCCTGCCATCTGACCCACGGCGTGTCCCGGATCACCATTATGTGCGAGACCACGACCAACGGCCATTCAGAAGAATCCGAATCAGTCCGCATGAGCACAAACGCCTGCTCACTGGCGAGGCGACGTCCATCAGGGTCGACGAGTTCGCCGTAGAGTGTTAGAACAACATTCGACCCTTCGAGCACTATGTCGTAATCTACGTCAACCTCGCCATCCGCAGTGCTCGAGTATCGGTACCGCTCCAATACGGGCAGCTTCGGCATTCCTAAATCATCTTCAATACCAGTAGTCCAGATTGAGAGCCGGAGACTCACGTGATTGAGACAAACCCTTTCTCCGGAAAGTAAAATGCACGGGGTGTGCGAAGTTATTGTTTCGGAACGAAAAGACAGCATCTCGAGCATATAGCTTTCCCACAGCACTCCGGTCATGGTCAAAAATCGAGATGTAGCGTTTGACGAACTCGAGAGTGAGTGCGATGAGGTCGGCAGGCGGTTCTGGATGTGAATCGGAATTCGTCGCCAGCGGTTCGACGTCCGCTACTACATCGGAATCCTCGTTGTCATCCACCAAATCGATGACCTCCATTGCCCTTTCATTCACAGGACGCAACGTGTCCAGCCAAACATCTTCCTCGCTGGACCTAGGGCATATTTACAAAGAATCCGAGACCACATACGCAAATCCGACGCACCATTCGATGACCAGGCCATCATCTCTGTTGAAACATTGATCCAGCCGGATAGGTTTATAGAAGCGGACGCACCGGAACAGCACTCTTTCAACTTTTAATCTCAAGTCTTTCAGAATGCTTCCCTCTCGACGCGCCCATCTCCGTCGATTCTCAAGGTAGTTCACATCCTGTCGTTCGCAATCTGGTGGAATGGGAAAGTATCGCTTCAGTCCAGAACGGACAGCTCGATGAGGAAGTGAGGATGAAGGAGGAGGCGATGGTGACCGTGGTTCAGATTTCACCTGGTTAGTGGGGGACGGCGTTCTCAGTGGAGACAAAGAACCGGGTTCACTCTTGAATTGGACCGATCTGCGAGGAGAATTCAAAGACGTGGGTGCTTCCTCGACTTCACGTTCTTGTACACGTCGGCGCTTCGCGGGTGGAGGAGTTCGGGGAGCAAAAGATGCACCATGCGGACTAGGAAGCTGAGGACCCGAAGCAAGAGGTAAAGAAAACAGTGAGGAGATATTTGAGGAAACAGATTCAGGTTCCGGGACAAACGGTCGGTCCAGATGCGAGTCGCGTCGTACCGGCTTCAGAGGTGGCACATGTACTCTGTTTTCGCGACCGGCAGCCACAGTATGTGGAATGAAGGGAGGAGATGGACGCGTAGACTTCAATCGTGGGTCTGGACGTGGCGGTGTGGGTCCACCAGTGAACAGCATAGAACGGAGGGTGTCTGTCGATGCTTGCGAGGACTGAAAGTTCTTCTCGGCGCCTCGTTTAGATGTGGAAGCTCGAGCATGAGGTTGTGTATTATGAGAAAGAAATGTTGAAGAGATTGATGTGAGTTTCCCTCTTCCGCCTCGACCGCGACCCCGTCCGCGAAATCCTCTCCAAGTATCGAAAGTCACATGGGCCTGATGCTGCTTACTCGACACAATGATAGCAGGACCGGCTTGGCGTTTATTGATAGCCTCGTTAGGCTGGTGGTCTTCACGATGAGGACCTGACTGGGACGAAGGCTCAGAATGGTGCTTCTTCTGGTGGTAGGAGCCGTGGTTGGCTTTATGGACCGCTCCACGCATGGATGCACGAGGATCAATGTGTTAGCTTATCACATCTGTGGCCGTGTCTAACTTTGTCTGATCTGACCAAACAGTGCACTGCTGCTCCCCCTAGTCTTCCCACTGGCACCGGTCACGAAATGCAGCATTTCGGTAAAGGCGCTGTCCGTGTGGTAAAGAACTACACCAAGGGATACTCGGAGACACAGTCTAAAGTGCGAGATGCGACGTCGAACGATCCGTGGGGCCCGAGTGGGACGCAGATGAATGAGATTGCGCAGTTGACGTACAACCAAGGCGACTTTGTGGAGATTATGGAGATGCTGGACAAGCGTTTGAACGACAAGGGCAAGAACTGGCGGCATGTGTTCAAGGTGCGCAAGTTTACCGAGAAGATGATGGGCGTTGACCGTCATCCACTCCAGAGTCTTACGCTGCTCGATTATCTGCTGCACCAGGGCTCTGAGAACGTCATAATCTACTTCAAGGACAACCTCTACGTCATCAAAACTTTGAAAGAGTTTCAATTTGTGGACGAGGAAGGGAAGGACCAGGGCGGGAATGTGCGCGCCAAGGCTAAGGATATAACCAATCTACTACAAGATGAAAGCCGACTACGTACCGAGCGTCGCGCGCGAGCCAATATGCGCGAACGGATGGTCAAGGGATCTGGGGAAGAGGATGGCAACACAGATTTCGATGCTCATCGCCATGCTGATGAGAACGGCTCACGGAGGGCCGGGAATCGCGGCGACGATGACGAAATGCGCAGAGCCATCGAAGAGAGCAAGAAGTCTTTGCGTCAGGATCAAATGAAGAAAGAGGAAAATGAGTTGGCGGAGGCGATCCGGTTAAGTGAGGAAGAAGAGGCAAAGCGACTTAGAGGAATCGAAGACAGCAATGCGAAGTCACTCTTTGATGACCAGACTCAATTGTGCGTTTCTTACCTATCCATGAACAGTCTCTGATCAGCATATAGACCAGCCGCTTCGAATAACCCATTTCCTATGTTCAATGCACAACAACAGCAGCAGCAGCAGCAGCAGCAGCTTCAGCCTCAATTTATCCAGCCGCAATTCACCGCTTTTAACCCATACCAACAGCAAGCTGAGATGGAGGTTCGTTGCTCGCTTTCTATCCTGACGCTCGTTGACCATATCGCTCAGGCTGAATATCTGCGACAACAACAACAACAGCTGCTTCTCCAGCAACAACAGCAGCAACAGGAAGAGTGGGCTCGGCAACAAATGATGTTGCAGCAGCAGCAGCAAGCCCAGCAGGACGAATGGATGCGGCAGCAAATGATGGCTCAGCAGCAGCAGCAGCAGCAGCTTATTGCGCAGCCAACTGGATTTGGAGCTAACAACCCATTTGCCATGCAATCTCCCCCACCACCCGTGCCTTCCTTCTCTCCGAGCCAGCAGCAACCGCCGCAGTTCAACCTGGGTGGAACATACGACAATGCGTCTACTCCGGTGCCTTCGTTCCAAAGCCCAAGCCCTCAGCCCCAGCAGCAGTCACCCGAGCCAACGTCAGGATCTCGTTTCAAAGTCAAAGTCAATGATGGTGACAACCAGCATCTCGCGTCACTGTTTGCCAACCGGGAAGATGGACAGGATACGTTTGGTAACACAGGCGCACTCAGGTGTGTACCAGGTCTCCGAGCACGCAGTCTTTCCCTTACCACTCGTTGCAGGTACGGAACCACTGCTGCTGGATTACGGGCTTTGCAGAATTCGTCGTCTTCGGGGCACAACCCATTCCAACGACAACAGGCTCAACAAAGCGAGCAGCCGTTCTTTAACATCTAATTCCTAACACGGAGTGCTTCATGTATTATAATGATGGATTCTCAAAGTACAGCTGTGCGAGCCATTAAGCATCGACCCCTTCACGTGGACCCTGGTCCATATGCGCATCCAATCTGCCTGGACCATTTGCTGTAGCGTCGCTTGAGGTCGGGTTTCCTAGCATGAAACTTGAGATATGAGAAAGTAATACCCCTCCGACACTCTCACCTGGCGGGGGAGGATATGGATATGGCGACCCATTGGGGGGGAATCCAGCATTGGGTCCATCGTAGTGCATGCCCCTGCGCTGTGATATCTTCGATATCAAGTAAATGAAATGGAACAGATCCACGTACGGCCTGATCCCAGCGGTCCCAAGCTTCAGCTAGCATGGGCTCCAGACTGACCAATTCTTCGTTGGTCATATTGAGCGTTCTCAGCAGATGCTGCCGCAATAGCGGAGCACAGGAGAATGACAAGAGGAGGGTCGTTGCGAAGGTTTGGCCGCCATGTGGGATTCCGGATGGGAAGGGCGGTTCTGGGCCACCTGGCTGGACACCGAGAGCTTGCAGGTCAGGCGGAGCCATGAGCATGGGTGTATAGTTTCCCTCGGCATCCACCCGATAGTGGACAGCAGCGCCTTGTGCGATGAGAGATGGTGGAACAGAGGGGTCGTCGATGGGAGGGAGAACCTCGTTCCCCATATCCAACCCCAGCTCACGCATTTTGCGTTGTTTGACCAGCTGACGATGTTTTCTCTGGCGCTCCCTAGCGGAGGCCCTTACGCGTTCTCGGCGCGCCATTTCTTCTGGACTGAGGTTGTCATCCGGACCCGTTTGACCAGGGACCTGGGGAGGGGCAGAGAGATGATGAAAGTGGGGATCCTGCGGGTGTTGAGACGGGAAAGCCATGTGTGGCGCGGAGGGAAGGGATGGTATTCCGTTTGTGTTTGCGGCTCTATCTCGCTCCCTTTTGCGCCGCTGACGTTCAGCAGCCTTCTCTCGTTTGGCACGCTCGTTGGGGCTTTCGTTCTCGCGGAGGCGTTTGCGGCTAGCCGATGGACTGGATATGTCTGTGTACGGCGCGTCACGGTCCATAGGCGCGTCGTGATGTGACGAATGCGCGACAAGACGAGGTCACCAGAAGGTCACCGTGGGTCACGGTCAAGAGGTGTTGGTAAATAAGAGCCAAACATCAGACATCAGACCTGGGCGAGCCAAAGCTGCATGGCCTAGGCAATGGAATCGGATACATAACGACATAACGACTAAGCACACGTGGTACCCGTAGATAATCACCACTCTGGCGCATCGTGTAGGATGGCATCCCAGGCAACATTATGCGAGCCCCATTCTCGCTGCGCGAGGTTCTCGAACTCCGTGAAATTTTCCAACGAAGAATAGCCCTGATGAACGATTAATTAGTGCTGATCGATTTGTGTCTCGAAAACAAGAGGACCGACATTCAGCCATTCGAGGTTCGAATAATAGACAAAGACCTCTCGGTTCCTGCAAATGTTCAGCACACTGTGCGGTCGGTCACTGGAGACTCACTCGAGTGGCCACGGCTCGACCAAACGTCCACCGTTCTCCAGCGACTCGTTGTTCAGCCATGTTACGTACTGGCGGAACAGGGCTTCCGCTGGCTGCGTGGCGAACAGCCCTCTAAAGTGATATTTTCCACTTTCGTAGTCCTCGGCCATCTCCCGCCGGGTCGGCAGATGGGCGGTGCCTTCCCACACTTTGGCGAAGGCGTAGGACTGATACCTTCCGATAGTCCAAGGACGCACATTGGTGTAGGCCAGTGTCGGATCAGGGATGTAGTGGCCAGTCCAGTGCAGGTTCTTCGGCTGTCCGTCCGGCTCGCTATTGTACTTCATCTAGTAGATCCCAGATGGGCAGGATTTGGCACGTACTACTCGGGGAAGAAAACATTCGAGTGGAGGAATCCGGTGGCAATAATGATCTGGAAATGTGACCTTGTAAGCAGGCGACGTATCTTCTGGTAGGGGGCCTCCGAGTCGTTACCTCGTCGAAACCAGTGAGAACAGTTCCATTGACCAGAGTTATGCGTCCGTTTTTGATTCCGTCATTGTATGATCCCAACGGCTCGAATGCAGCGATCTCGGGGACAAACTCGGTGGACGGTGGGAATCGCAGACGACTGCGCAGTTGAAATGGATGCAAATTCTCGTGGGGCTAGATGTTGCTGGTGTGAGAGATCTGGAACGGATTTTCGGTTGATCCATACCCGAACGCTGGCTGTGATACTCTTCACATATGGCGCAATGTCGCGCGATATCTCGGAGGCAGAAACAGAAGCTCCGATGACAAGAACATGCTACATGACGAAAGTCAGACGACCTTATGTTCTGTCCACACTGAGCGCGTACCTTGTCCTGGTAGCGCTGGGGACGCCGATATGACTGAGAATGGTAGATGCTATGCTGTCCGTCCAATTTGGCGTTGCTCCAGTCAACGATGCCCCGGATATTCGGCACGTGGGGCGCCACATACGGCCCAGTGGCAATCACCACAGCATCGAACTCTTCAGCCCACCATTCCACTTTGATGCGCTTAGTTTCATCCAAACGTGTCAGCTTCCGGAGGATGAGCCGCCAATTGTGTGCAGTTTGATTCTTTTCCAGTTTCTCAACCTTTGTCGAGTATGCGGTAGTGCCTTCCGAATTGTCGTTCACGTTGAGTGAGTGCAGCGAAGCATATGCGCGGACATGGCGCTGAATATCGTGATTGGATAGAATCCAAGGCTAAAACATCCAATCAGTAAAGCGCAGAGCAGCCGGGTAGGTGTGCGCACGGTATCAGAGCGATACGGAACTTCGGGCAGTTCTGTGATTACCTGTCCAGCGCATGATTAGACTGGAATGTGTTTACAGTGAATCAGAATCTCACTGCAGGAGAATTGGTGTGCAAGCTTTCCCAAACAGGTCGCGGTTGCCAGTGCTCAGTCCACCGATGTTCCAAACTGAGATCATCTTGACCTTCGGCATAGTACTCGACGGCGGGAAGCACATCTGGAATGTCAGCGGTCACGTTGGTCGATCTGTCCCTATTAATAGTTCAGTCGGTTGCGCCGGCGCGTGGAGTCTGCATGTCACCCACGGGTACGACTCTCTCACAGGCGTTTCTTCAGTGTAGAACCAATTCCCGCCTGGGCCAGGAGCGCGGTCGAAGAGTCGCACTTCGAATTTGTGTTCGCGCAACTTGGCTGCCGCCTGTAGTCCGGCCGGTCCTGCACCGACGACTGCAACGCGTTTGATGGGATGATGGAAGACGGTCTTCTCGTTTGGTGATTCAAGAGAGAAAGCGGCTTGCTGCTGGCTGGCTGCCACAGCAAGGATAGCTAGCAGGTAGAACGGTCTGAGATGTATCATCCCGAGTCCCATGCTGCTTGGATAGGAGTTTGGGACCCAGCAGCTTTGGCTATAAGTATGGAGAATGTAGCTCTGATCAGCATTGTGCTAGAAAAACGCGAAAGCACGCGATATGCGATTGGTTTCGCCAACTTGACTTCGGATGACTGGCAATCTGGTTCGGGCGGTATCAGTGAAAGGACGAGGACCCGTGAAGCCGGTCCGGCACCGGATCATGTCATCAAGGTCATCTTGCTGACGGGTTGCCGATGGTTTGGAAGTTGTCCACGATTATGCAGTGAGACGATTGGACCTATGGCTACTGCCCATCTTCTTCTTCTAATGCGATCGATACTGCCGGGTCATTTTGCATACGCTGTTCGGTCGCCCGTTTGTTGGCGCCGGTCGAGTAAGCATCGAGCTCGGAAGCCCGCCTCAGATTGCAATGGTTCCTCTGGTTCATCTTCTCCGAAAACAAATTATATAAAATGGCTTACGCCTTGAATTGAAGCCCGGATGTTTCAGCTGAGTCGCTGACGAGCACACTAATGTTATTAAAGCATTTTAGGCCTCAAGCGGTCTTGATCTTCATATGAACGCTCTTCGCACGGGTCAGTTGATCATAGCCTGAATTGCCATCAGTGCCAATCGCGACTCGCAACTAGCCGAAACACCCACCAAATTTACTTAAACTGATGCCACGACCGCTGTCCTTGACCCCAGTCCAGCTCAGTGCTGGATCTAAAAAGTCGCAGCGATTCAAGAAGACCGTGCCAGCCTGCACTTTCTCTTCCAGCGCCAAGAACGCTTCTTCTGAGGCTGGATCAGCGGCAGCGTTGGTCCAGATCGAGGCGGTCAATCCGTAAGGCGAATCGTTCATCAATTTGACCGCCTCTTCATCTGATGAAACCTACTCAAAATCAATACGACTCTCAAAGCTTCGAAGGATGGCAAACCTTCTGGATGCCGACAATGGGTCCAAAGGTCTCCTCCTGTGAAATCGATCAGCAATTGCATGGACCCGTTGTTCTCGGCGTAATTCGCACCATCATGACATCCATAGCTAAAACCGTGAAGTTACAGGACGATATAACCCAAATATTCCAAGACAACTCACTGTGGTTGACATCCACCAGGACCTGCGGTGCGACGTAGGCTGTACCACTGTCTGGGATCAGGTACTGAGTTCGCACCGACTCGACAGACTGACGGTTTCGCGATGGGGAATAGTTCCTCGGGAACGAGGGCCTTCGCACCAGCGGCGACCGCATCCGAACCTGCTTGCGAATCCTCGTTGCGCTGGCGACGCTGACCACTGGACCAAGGTTCGTCTCGGGCTTGCTAGGATCACCAAGCTTATACCCTTTCACCATCTCAACGAATCGAGACACGAATTCATCATAAATGGACTCGTGGACATATACACGCTGGCAAAAGGCTCGAGCTCCAGATCGCAAACGAGGAAAAACAGAAGCACACACCTCCACGGCACAGCAACTTTGTCCGGAGTTGAACATAGCTCCGTCAACGACCTCTCCGACAGTATAATCGAGATCCGCGTCCGCGCGGACGTAAGCAGGGTCTTTCCCACCGAGCTACCGAGCGATGAGTCGGAGACGGGTGGAACGTGAGTATTAGACTCACCTCTAGAGCAACACCTTTGAATCCGGGTGCCTCGACAGCCGCTTTCTCAACCGCACGACCCCCAACGACACTCCCTGTGAAGGACACGAAATCGATTAGGGGATGCTGTATAGCATGTATTGTCAACTCCGGTGAAAGATGCACCGCGGCAACAAGATCTTGAGGGAAACCTGCACTGATCAAACTCTGGATTGGTTTGAGGTCAGATTAACAATTATCGGACGCTGAATACATAGGATTACCGTAGCGAAGCGTTCTGCGCTCGAAGGAGTTTGGGGCGAAGGCTTCAGCAGTACCGCGTTGCCGGCAAGGAGGGCGGGGAGGACCGAATTGACCGATGTGAGATACGGAAAGCTGCAGAAGACTGAGAGGAGGAAAGGGAGTGTCAACGGAAGGTACGAACTTCCAAGGAGCAATTACAAGGACCACACCAAGTGGCAGGCGACGGATAAATCGTTTAAATCCAGGTTTGTCTGTAGAATCCATAGAAACGTCTGCCAGGGACGACTCCGCAATCGACAACATATATCTGGCACGATCCAGAAATCCGCGAACTTCTCCTGCACCCTGCGAGATCGGGCTGCGTAAAAAAAGATAAGCGGGAGAGTCATTGCTTCAGGCGCAGTCACGTACCGTCCCATTTGCTGAGCCAGCTCCGCCGCCACACCCTCGCTCGTCTGACTGAAGTTGTCAATGAACTTCTGGGCGATGGCGATCCGTTGTGCGACAGGGACGGTGACCCATTGCTGTTGAGCAGCGGATGCGCGCTGAATTATAGCGTCGAGTGCGGCCGAAGATGGATACGTGCGCTCGACAACGGGTTTCTGGTCATGAGGGCTGATAGTCGTTTGGATGACGCTCATTCCGAATACCTTGACGCCTGCGAATGGTCAGATTCAAGGAGGAGAGACGACCTACCTCCGAGTCTTACGTACACAAATGCGATAAGAGCATGGTATCGATAAGATCCAGATAAGATATCGTCTGCGATTCGCATGCTCAATCCCGGTAGTTTTAATTGGTGATGGCTGAGGATACACTTTCGCCCCATCATGGGCAAAAAAATGTGTACAGGATACGAATACGGTATATATTATACTAAGTAAGGCTGTCCGCATCATTGCTCTTCCGCTGCCTCCTTTTCGAGCTTCTTCTTCATGGCACTCACTGCGGGCAAACATGAAAGGGGGCGGAGCCAGGCAGGAAATAAACTTACCGTCACGTGAGATTTGTCCTGAAGACATCCAACCCTCTGGGAATGCATTTACAATCTGAAAGCGTCAGAGTGAGAAACGAGGGAGGGGAAATTCCTACTCGTTGATAAAGT